GAAGGAAAGAAATTGCATTTGAGTCACGATGTGAGTATTAATGTGGTGATCTAGTTGCATCCGACTAACGAGTCACAAATTAAATGGGATGGGCATCCTATGTAAAATTGATAACTAAAATCTAAATTTATTAGAGCATACTTAGTTTGTACTGGATTCAGCGTCATCATAGGTGTCTCTAGTAGTATCTTACAACGCTTTAGTGATTGACTGGTCATTTTATCCTTCATTCCGTCCATGAATGTAATGGTCATTATTTTTTAGGTATACATATGTCGTCAACTAACTGACTAAGAGAGTCACGAAAGTGAGTGGTTTTCCGGATTCCGTAGCTAAAAGGATAACGTGATGGTATTTGAAGCGAGCAGTACTAGGTTTGAATCTCGAAGTGATTATCATCTCTGGGATGCAGGTATATACAGGTGACGAGTCCCAAATAGAGTGAGACCTGAATTCTGGATTCTACTACTAGCCACATCCTATCAATTCTATCCTAAATGAGAGAATATTATTTGACACGTTTTTATAATGAATACTCATTTAAAATATATTTCTCACACTAACTAATTGTTGAAGTTTGGAGAAATCAGTAAAACTGGAAATGATGAAACAGTTTACAAGCTTCATGCTTTATTTATTCCTGAATTCACTGAGTGACACTCATTCATGATCCATTACAACGAAAATAAACATTGAACTCACTGACAATTTTGTACAGTAAGCTTCTCTTTTAATACCCTCTTAAACCGATCAATTTTATTTATATGCTAAGATTAATGCGACGAAGAGGATAACGTTTCAAAAATTATGGAATGCATAAATTAATGATATATGGATTAATGTGAATAGTTTAGACCCTTTACCAATGGTAATATAAACATCACACTCGTTGGACAAGTTAGTAGCTCTCTGGACTCAGTAACTCAGTGGACAACACATTCAAGCTTGAAGCGAACAGTACTCGGTTCAAATGAACACCAACAATGAGATGTAGGTGCATTTATCTGTCTATATCCAAAGCATGGAAGAATAGACGTCCTGGATAATGCTTACAACTAAAATCCATCTATTCTGTGAAATGGTTAATCTGATCACAAAACGTTAACATTCACATCATGGTTGATAGTCAAGTTGAGTTAACACAATAGGACACTTTATATATAATAAGATAATCTATTAAAATAATCATTCTGAATAATTAATGATAATATATCAGAAAGGGGTTTTGTAGAGATTTTAGTAATTTTATGTTTATGTATATGTTCTTTCATTGAAATGTATCTGTATACTATGAAGTCTAATTAGTCTTAAGAAAGAAAAAACAACAATCATTGACGATGTTTTCCATATTAGAGATTGGATTATAATTGATAATCAATAAATCTTAATGAAATACTATTGTGCATGTACCATAAAGCATCAGTAGTTTGTTGTTGCATTTTTGAAGTCTTATAAGACAAAGACTACAAATGAATAAGTTATTTAACAATATTTATTCTCAAATAGAGCCTACTTAAACTGTTCTTATCAAATACAAATTCTATATGAATGTATCATATTGATAATCTAATTGGTGCAATGATGTGTTAGACTAATTTGAAATTTCCCTTTATTATTTTAGTAGGTTAACTTATTAAAATCAAATAGTCTATTTTTTCAGGAGTTTTTGCGTAGATTTTAGTATTTTCATAGTTGAAATCATGAGTCAAATGAAGCTAGACGAATATGGAAACACTGAACAGCTGTTTTGTCCTATCATAGGACTCCTCAGCAGTAAGCATCGACGATCCCGCCTCGCAGGATTTGAACCTAGGACCTAACAGTCTGGCTCATGAGTGACTCATGAATTTGAGTCACTTAGACTAGTGGCCACATTGCAATTTGATCGATAGCATTTGATCTGCACTAAGAAGGACTTGACACACATGACATTGATCACCACCCAATGATCAATCAGTTGCGATAAAATTAATAAAATCACCGCACAACTCCCTTCTGAGAATGAATAGTAAGCAAAGATGGATAGTGACTAGCATTGGAATCCAGGACGCGTGTTTCGTCCCATTAGGGACTTGTCAGCTGGATGTACCTGCATCTCAGAGTTGATGTTCACTCTTGGACTCGAACCCAGTACCTTTCGCTTCAAACGCCACCGTGTTATCCACAATACTAAATGAATTTAGAGAATGAATATTTAAATTTTACTGATCCAAATCAGATTAATTTGTTTTATTCTAACTTATTTGAAAATTTTTGACTTTTTAAATAAATTTAATAAGATAGGTATCAGTGACAAGATGGGATTTGATACTTTCAAATAAATTGAGAATTGGGTAGAAAGTTAATAGTAAATGTATTCTTTGTTATAAAACAACGAGTAGAAAAATTTTACTTCTGACTTTTCATGACTTAATGTAATCCGTTTCTTCAAAGTGTCTATTTACTGTGAAGAAGTGGCTTGAGTTTAGTTACGAAACGTCAGGAATACGATTTTCTACCCATTGGGATATAACAAAAAATATGTTTATTATTATTTCAATAGAAATTTCTTTTTCAGGATATTGTTTCACTTAGAATATAAAAAAGTTAACACATACTATGGAAACTGTAATAATTATACAGGGGATAGTTCAAGATTTTATTCAATTACATTAACTTATGATCTACTAATCATAATGATTTACATCATTCTAATTTATTATCTTGTATTATTTAGTGATTGCAACCGTCCACCATTGTATTCAGTAAGTGACTATCTCACAACAGACCTGGTTGAACTCCACTGGTCAGTGCTTCTCACTAGAACTCCATGAAATACCTCTTGAAGCCAGTCACTAGTGAGCACTTGATGGTTATTATCAGAAGGGATTTTGTGGAGATTTTAATAATTTTATTTAGTTGAGATTATGAGTCAATTGAAGCTAGACCACCATGGAAAACTTAGAAGGACTAAATAGCCGTTTCGTCCTTTTGTGGAACTCTTCAGCAGTGCGGTTGCTCAATTTCGTGGATCGGTTGAAGTCAGACATTAACACAGTTGGATGCCGGATCAATGGTCTGGAAGCTAAGCTCTCGCCAAGAGACCGATAGGTCCTGGCTTCAAATCTCGTGAGGTGGATTGTGGATACGCACTGCTGAGGAGTGCCACAATAGAACGGGACGGTCGTCCAGTGCTTCCAGGTTTTCCATCGTGTTCTAGCTTCAATGGACTCATGATTTCAACTACATAAAATTACTAAAATCTCCACAAAACTCCTCCTGATAATCTTGTATTTTTCAATGACTGTATATCTTAAATAATTAACAGTCTTTAAGTGTTTTCAACAATATTTATTACAGTATTACAAAAAAGGATACTCAGTCAATTTTTATTAATCCAACTTTTTCTAACTTGTTAACCTTTTTTTGTGTGTGTGATCTAGATACCACACTAAAAATGGTGCCTAATAACTTGGTTCAGTTACTCACACCAATGAAGCTTTTTACGAATTGTGATAGAGCTGAAATATTTTATTCTTTGTCTGATCAGATTTCAATATAACTATAACTAGATGTTTTGGCATACAGAAATTGTAAGATTTAGATAAGATAGAGATGATTTGTAGCTCAAGAGAAAGCTTTGTAGGTGTCATGTTCTCTGAACTGAATGGCTCGGTTAGGAATAATTGCAATAAAATTTGCCTGGAAAATTAGAGAACACAATGACGAAAATGGAAAAACTAAATATCATTGACGAGATAAGCTGAAATAACTGAAAAACATTACATACGACATTGTGGCTATCCTTTCTGTGTGAGTTTACATGCACACCAACTAGCTATTAAAAGCCATGACACGTCATCGCACATATCTATAAATGTAAACAATAATGGATAGGAATTCAACTAAGAAAATGTCGAAATATCGGAAAGAGAAAACAAATAAACCTAAAGAATTTTTAGAGCATGAAGGTCAGGTCACTTATTAACTAATATACTAATCCAAATTGACCCTTATTGGTCAGCTATTAAAAAAGACAAACAAATGGAAGGTCAGAGGTCAGGTCAAAGAGGAAGACAATTAAAACAAAGATATAAACAATGAACGGTGAGCAACAAGCATTCAAATTTCATGTCAGTAAAAGAGGTCTTTAGTTAAGTGTGGATGAATCCTAATAGCTCATTCCCTTCTGAGATAATTTTCTGAGGATTGTTGTCTAGAAGAACAATTAGTGGTTCACGATTAAACCTTTGGGGTTAGAGGAGATGACACTTCAAAAAGCTGCACTGATTCGAAGACTACCTCTAGACAGGTGAATAGAATGATGTAACAGGAATAAAATTTTGTCTAGATTTTATGCGATACTTGCAAATGATGAAAGAGTCCTAAACTATTAAATTATTAATACTTTACTATTTAAATGTCGAAGTTAACTGAAATGTTTTACCTCACTAATTAAATGTAAAAACATTAAAGAGATCAAGCAAAATAATACCTGAAATAATTAGAAATAAAAGATCATAGGGGTACAAAGTCAGTTAAGCGAAAAGAGGAAATTTTTCTGAATGGTCTCCTTGCTTTAGTGGATGATGTTTAATGGCTTGTGAAATAAGATGAATATGCATTTTCCTGGGTAATTTTTAGGAAGATTTAAGACACGAATGTTGCTTAACATGGCTTTTAAAACGATCGATATCAAGTTTTACTGACAAAAGGTTGACATTATAACACGAAAACCCGTTTAGTTACTTTATTATTATTAGATCATAGAATCATTTATTGCGTATAAATATTTGTGAACGGAACATACAGCTCGGTATTGGGTTCAATCAACTGCCCAGTGCTCCTGGGTTTCAATAGTTATTTAGCTACAACCAGTCCGTGATGTGAAATTTTGAGTTGAATAATCTACACAATGTTCTCTAACTAGATCACTGTTCATTTAGGTTGTATTTTTTTGTTATTTTAACAGAGAATCTCCATTTGTGTCACCGTCAACTTCTTTCTTTATTCTTCTTCAGGATTATTTAAACTAGAAAGAGGTCAACGAACAAAAATAATTCCTTCCATATATAATCATAAACAAATAGAATAACAAATGTTTCTGTTCAATCAACAGTGAATATCCGAACTCGTGATAAGAAAAAATGCTGGGGCGTGTGAGGATAATCTATTTGGTTGAACTAAGATTTTGTCTTTTTCAAATTTTTCAGCATCACAAGTGCTGATCCACATGGTAATGAAATAAGCAGATTTTGACCTCGTATTGATAAATAGATTTATTCTAATATCCATTAATTTTGATAGACACAGTAATTTGTTTGAAAACTAGATGAATAAATATAAACCTATTTAGCCTAAGGAAAAAAGTTAAGATTTATGAAAAATAGGAGGTCTAAATTTTTAGCTTATTTAGTCCTGGAAAACATATCATAAGGATATGCATCTTGTAAGGTAGTAATCAGAGTTAGTTAACGGTAAACCCTGAATCTAGGTTTCGTGCTACATGGAACTCGTCAGTAAGGTGTACCTGTAATACTGAGGGAACTGATACTCTCTGGTAGATTTGATCTAGTGTCACCCAGCTTCACAAATACAGACGTTACCACTGAGCTTTCTGACATCTTATAGGACTGTGATGTATATACAATCGATTGATCACTGGGTAGTGACCAATGTCATATATGTCAGGTCCTTCTTAGTGCAGATCGATTGATCAACAAGTTGTGAATGCATCACAGTCCTATAGCATGTCAATCGTGGCCCAGAAAGCTCAGTAGTAACGTCTGTATTTGTGAAGCTGGGTGACACTAGATCAAATTTACCAGGGAGTATCAGTTCCTTCAGTATTACGGGTACACCTTATTGACGAGTTCCATGTAGCACGGAACCTAGATTCAAGGTTCCTTGTTAACTACCTTCAATCACCACTTTACATCTCAACATAGTGCTTTCGGTATCGAGTCACCTAGACTAGTAGCCACACTGCGAATTGCCCGAGAGAGTTCGATCTGCACCAAGAATGATCTGACATGAATGACATCGGTCAATACTCAGTAATCGATCAGTTGTGAATATACATTTTCCCTCACAAAATGCATGAACCATACCAGATTTTATTCTAATACCTATATGATTAGATTCAACAAGTCATAAATTTTTTGGCTCCGTGATACTGTGACAATTTTACGTATTAAAATTATTTGTTTTTAAGGGTATTTTCGTTTTATTTGCAAGTGTTTATAACTTCCCTTTGTTGATGCCAAGGACTGAGATTGGTCAGTATCTGTGCATCTGATCTGATTACCTCAATATTGTCACTTAGTTACAAGTTTTCAGTACAGGAGAACAGTGGATTTCGGGAGTCGCATTTTATTTTATTTGGAACTCGCAAGCTCCATGTACTTGCATCTCATTGTTTACATTCACACTGAATCTATAACCCAGTACCTTCAAGATGAGCTTCTTGATAAAAATACAAACTCTTACAGATAAAATTCATATCCGTTACACGAGCTAGTGACTATATTCACTCATTAGCTTATTAGTTAATATCTTGGTGTTTGAAGCGAGAGTCACTGAGTTCAAATCTGAATGTAAACATGAACGCTGAGATGCAGGTACTTACAACTAAGGAGTTCTACATAGGACAAATTTGTGGGTCTTAGATTCCATCGTTAGCCATTACGCAAATTTATTAGATATTCTCGTATCTTTTCTTCATTATCACACAGATAAGTCTTTGGATATAAAAACTAACAGTCGTTTACCGTACTATTATAAATAATACTTATAGAAGTCGGTAAAACCAGTTTAGTTTTTAAGTGTAGTGATAGATTTTTAATCGAACTAATCATTATTTATCATATTTCCTCACTAAACTCGGATCATTTTGAAGAAAATACTGAAAGGCTAAATGCTTTAAATACGAGCATGGTGCTTTATTAAGTTTATATTACTTAAACAACAGATCTTTATACAAAAACCTTTACTAATGGTAACCTTTATGGTTCATTTAGTTTCACCTTTAAGAGGACCGGAGAAGGAGAGACAGAGTCCCTTTTACCTTGTCATTTATCACTAACTTGGAAATAGTTTATATAGTTGAGATCATGAGTCAATTGAAGCTAGACCACCATGGAAAACCTGGAAGTACTGGGCGGACATTTCGTTCTATCGTGGGACTCCTCAGAAGTGCGCATACACGATCCCACTTCACAAGATTCGATCCCAGGACACATCAGTCTCGCGCGAAAACGCTTAACCTCTACACCACTGAGCTGGTCGGCGTTCAACGGTTTTAATGTCTAACTTCAACCAATCCACAAAATTGAGCAACCATTCAATAATGTCTTGCGTGAGTTGATATCTCACAACAGACCTGGTTGAACTCCACTGGGTACTGCTTCTCACTAGAGCTCCATGAAATACCTAATGTAGCCAGTCACTAGCGAGCACTTGATGGTTATTATCAGAAGGGGGTTTTGTGGAGAAATATTTCTTAATCAGTTTGGGATAATTATTATTAAAGCCAAAAAGTAGTATGTTTGCTTGTACAGTTTATCAAACACTGCATATATATGTATAATTGCTTCTAGTTGTCGTAATCAAATAACAAAATTTGATCCTTTTGGTTTCTATAAATCATAACTTACAACTTGAATATCTTAACACATCCAAAAGTCATGTGTTATATTAACCTATTCTTTATTAAATATCAAGTTTGTACTTTAGAATGATGAGTTGTTTTTGGTAAACATCTAAGTACTCTGCTACCATATTTTGGTAATAAGTTCTTAGAATTAAAGTGACTATGTAGTTAAAAAATTTTAAAATATAATTATAAATTTCCACTGGAAGTTAATCTTGATAAAGAGAGAAAAAATGTTTGATATTTAAAGTTTCATTTTTGAGATTCGGGTTTTTCGGGATACACTGACAATGGTTAGTAACATCTATATTTGATAATCCTTACTTAGTTACCTTTATAGAGTTTTATTACGAAAAACTTCTAATTACAAAACTATATCAAGAAAATCATAAATATCAGTTTGAAGTGGTATTTCTTGTTATTCATACAATTCTTTTAAATGATATATATTTTCCTTAAATATTATGTGTTGATAACCTACTTCATTTTGGGCACCTGGGCAGTATCACAGCCCTCACACAAATCAAATGAGATTTGTATGGCACATATATATCTGGTGCCGCCTTGAACCAATGTTTATGTGTTTAAATAAATAAATAAATCTGTTGATAATATTAAGACGTTGCTGGTCGGCGGCCTATGTTCCGTTGGGAGTAACAGGCGTAGGTAAGTAGATAAGTAATATTAAGGGGTATTAGAAATAGGATTTCATCAGTAAATCAAAAAGATCTTAAAAATTAAGTGGTAATCAAACAATACTTGTATTTGTTAGAATTGATTAGATATTGATTTAAATGATTTGTAAATTGGATACTTCATATTAGAACAACATATATAAGCGAACAATATTGTTTTCGACTAGATCCTTATCAGGCTTTACTCTAATATACAGTAATATTTATATGCATATACAAAATTATGAAACTAATCAGGGCAGTTTATGAGTCAATAATAACAGTGGAATAGATTACATAACTAACAAGAATAATAAGTGAGAAGTACAAATCAGTAGTGTGATGACAGGTGTACTAATTGTCAACTAGTAGCCTGATGAGGATCTAGTCGAAAAAAATATTATTCGCTTATATATGTTGTTTTACTTCATATTAGTTTGATTCCTTTCCTGTACGTAATATTTCATTATAAAATTTTACCGCACAAAATATAAATTGATTTTTTTTTCTGTTTTGTTTTATATCATTTTGATTATGGTAGATAATAACCAGATGCTTATGGATTATAATATCTGTGATAAGCATTAATTTTGAAAAATGTCAACGTCAGCTATCGTGGGTTTATTGTTATGTAAGGTAGTTGATTGGAAACCCTGAACCTAGATTTCATGTTAGCGCTCTATATGATTTGTTGATTTGAGGAGCAGTATGAGATTATTAACCAGTTGAGTCTGTTATTTGCTAATTTACTGAGGAAAACCAAAATAATTTAACTAATATCTATGGTCCTGACCGTGGCTGGTACGTTGGTACGGTCGTCTTTCTTTGCTATCATGACCACCCAGTATAGTACCATTAGAAAAAAATTCATTCCTTGAGATCCTACCATATCAAATAGGTTAGCTGGTTAGCAGTAAGATGGAAGTCAGCAAATCAAAATCCCGGGAGGAAGCTACGCTCAGCCGTACATGGATGAAAAGAGAGTGAAATTTTTCCTAGGAATAGTCCACCTTTAGTGGTACTTTCTTCATGCCATTGAAGAGGGACAACGAAAATGTTCGTCCTAAAACAGCAAATCTCGACTTTGTATAACGTTTATCCGCCTCAGTCGTAAGGATTGGAAAATATAAACCTAGTGTAAAGAAAGTAACTAACACGAAAGCTATTTGGAATCAGCCATAAGCAGTTGGTTTGTGGTCTCTGAGTTCAAACACAAAGGTTAACTAGATCACCACTGTCAATCCATTTTTGTTTTCAGATCCTTTAAGGAGAAATCTCTTTCCACGTTATAGGGTACTAAAAAGTGTCTATCACCCACGCACCCCTAGATGCGTTCGATTAAATAGTGTTCGCACTAGAACCCATTCCTTGATTTCTAATATTTTTTATACTCCCATCATCGATACTAATACTGTGGTTTGTTTTTATCTTTTGCTGATAACCAATGCTAGCGATCCCATATTATGAAATGCTATCCTTGATCTCCTTGCACTCGACATAAAACCATATTTTAAATCTACTAATATTCAAACTTCACGTCAAATCGAAGATTAAGATAAGCTACTTAAGATCGTTAGCTCTTATACCACTGATATCTAGAACTTAAGCGTGCTGGGTTAAGAAACAAGCGCTAGATGCACTTGATGTACCTGGAGTCTGGGCAGCAGCTTGCTGTGATCTTTCCACCGTAGGGACAGCAACAAGTTTGAGAACTAATTCTGGATCGCATGCTTAGATCCCTACCAGGGGTTGATGTTACCACGCATTTGTCTGTTCCTTATTGGGCTCAGAAAAATCTAACATGAAGATGTCTTCAAGTCTTATTCAGAGATGCAAGTATAAATGATATGTTTATGATGGAATTAGTTAAGCATCTAGTCCATCATGAATGGAACATTCATCTTTAGATAGGATATCGTGATTTGCTGTCTATTGTAAATGAAGCATTGATATCTGTTAGCAGACCAAACTGGATGTTATGGGAAAATTAGTGGATTTCAGACTCTTGTATTAAGTTAATATATGCTTAGCAGCTCATTGCGGAGGGTTCTGAACACTATATAAACTAGAGAAACATAATTATGAACTAACGAAAGTTTATACAGTGATCGTCAGCAGTGGTGTTTACGTAAGTAAAAGCAACTGAAAAGGCGCCAGCACCAATACGACTAGTATTACTGTCTGAAGAGGTTGAAAAAAGGTCAGGTGTTAGTGAAATCACCTCTTGAAAGAATGGAGTCGTTATGTACTCTCGGACTGGGTGACTGGAATAATGGGCAGAGTACTTCAAGAGACAGTTCAACTGGCACTTATATACTTTACAGTTACCCACAACTTGTCTAAGACCTGAATATTAGGTCAGTATCAGACCTTAGCAAAGTTGTGAAAGCCATAATAGAATGAAATTGAGTAACGACAGCTTGTTCTTATGGTTTAGCTTTGGAGGTTTCTAAAGACAGTAGTTCGTTTTCCGTACTCGGGTTAATCAAGATGCTAGCTAGAGTCTGTGAGATGGTTGACTGGTTCTATTCTCCCAAAACAGAAAACTAATTTTCATGAATATTTTCAAACTACAGTTATGACAATATATTTCATGTCAATCTAGATTTAACTACTTGTATATGGCGTGAACAATCAAGCTAGAAGATAACATAATTAAGGGGTAATACTAGTTATGTATGGAGAAAAATCTGTTTAGTAAAATGAGTTATGATTAATAGCGTGAAATCATATGAATTTTTTTTTTAAAAGACTGAACCATATGTCGAAGTTATTGTAAATGAGGAAAGTTTAATGCGTAGTTGAGAACGTTTTATAGGAATAAGGAGATGGTGGATGTGTCGGTTGCTAACATATTTGAGTAAGAGCGGGTGACGTAGTAGTTGTTAAAGGAAAGTGAAGAAATCAAATTTGTTCCAGTTGATGTGAGCGGAACGTAATCATGAACTCTGTGGTAGATTATTCAGAACTAATACAGCTTCTTCTTTCTCGATATGATGTTCACTATATATCATATACAAAAACGGTCCCTTAATAGGACGAAACGGCCGTCTAGTGCTTTCAGGTTTTCCATGGTGGTCTAGCTTCAACTGACTCATGATCTCAACTATTAAAACTACTATAATATCCATGAAAACCCCTTGTGAATTATTATCATTAATTATAGAGTAACTCCATCGTTATCAAAGCATAACTTCACTTTCAAAAAGAAAAAGAAAAATATTAAAATGAAACTTCACTATTTTAAATCAAAATTTTAATACTACAAAACATTCATATAATAATATACAAAATATTTTTATTACTATTCTTAAACTGGTTAGCGTATTTTTTAGCGAGTTGATTTTCTACGGGATGGGGTCGCTAACCATATGCCTAACCCTATTCCTTTATCCGGGCTTGGAACCGGCAGTGGCCACCGGAGGGGGCTTATAGTTAAAACTATGTTATTATATATATACAATCAACGTTCTGTTATATTGTGTGGGTGAGTGCGTGAGTGCCCTGTTTAATATATGAACGTGCTGATTCCCGCTAATGAGAGAGGAGTGAATTATTGATCAGACTAGTGATACACAAAAGCCGTGTGAGCAGTCTTGAGTACTTATCAGTCCTGCTATCTGCCTAGCCTAGCCAGTTAAGTCCAGAACATCAATAACGGCCTCTGCAATATGAATCATTATTCACAAACATATTGGGTTTATAAACCAATCAAACTGACCACATCGTACCAACAAAATAGAAAATAACATTTGTACAATATTTAGCCAAATATGGCTGTGAATAGGGAGAACAGTAAATAATGGACTAGGGATAACTCAAGAATGGTAAATGGTACAGTAATAGTTCATAGGTCAAAATAAAGCTCATAATAAAAGGAACATGAATATAAACAGTTTAGTTACTTAGCAATTATACAATAGGAATCATACGCATCATATTGGTCCATAAACAGTCCTCAGACTTACCATTCATATTTCTCCACGGGATATAACACTTTCATACATTTTATACCATTATCTTATTTTTGTATCATAAATATTTTTCTTTTTTTTCTTTTTTCTTATTTTTTGTTTTAGTCGGAGATATATTCCAACCATTTCAAATGATTATTCAATAAAGTTTTGTACATAATTTCTTGTTTGTAAATTATTATTTAACTTCAATCTTATTACTTATCATAACTGCATATATAACAATGAAATTACAATCTGTACAGAATACTTCTAGAACAAGTAAGGCAACTGATTTTTTGATTTATGTAATCAAAATATTGATTAGTTGTGTTAAAAAATATTTTTTTTCTTTTATTACCTTAGTTACTATAATTTTAGAAATATATGTTACTCTTCGAGTGAAATCTGATTATATCTCCAATAGGTTGTGATGATTAAAATTATTTGTGAGTATTTTTCATAGTTGAAATCATGAGTCAATTAAAGCTAGATCACCATAGAAAACCTGGAAGCACTAGACGATCGTTTCGTCCTATTTCGGGACTATTAAGCAGTGCTCATCCATCAACACCATCAGATGCCGGCTCAGTGATCTAGTGGTTAAGTGCTCTGGCGCGAGACTGGCCAGTCCTGGGTTCGAATTTCGTGAGGCGGGATCGTGGATGTGCACTGCTAAGGAGTCCCTAACAGGATGAAACGGCCATCCAGTGATTCCAGGTTTTTTATGGTGGTCTAGCTTCAATGGACTCATGATTTCAACCATGAAAAATACTGAAATCTCCACAAAACCCATACTGATTATTTGTAAGATTTGGTTAGTTATTTGAAATAATTAGTTTAAATTCACTTGGTATTGTTTGTTTGAATCTTCCCATTGATGTTTAGGACTTCAATTGATCAATCTCTTGTTGCACATGTGCATCCTGTGCGGACTGCCTGGATATTGCCTGAAGTCACAGGCATTATAAGCAATGATGGATAGTGGCTAGCAGTGGAATCAAGGACGCGCATTTCGTCCTATTTAGGACTCGCGCGTTACGGTATGAACGCATATTTACAGTATTATACGACTAAGCATCTGTAAACCTTCTCTAATATGTGGAAAAAAACAATTTTATATGCCGTTCACATTCCACTTGATAAAGCTGTTACTCGACATATCATTCACAATCAGTGTATAGATGGCTATATTTATTACCATATGCAGTAATATTAACAGTAGCATGACAAATAAACTCAATATGACGAACCTGACAACATTAGAAACATGTAATAGTAGAAAATGAACATACGTTCGGAAAATGCAATTAACCACACAACCAACACTTATCAGTTTTAACTTCAGCTTTATAAAATGATTTTGTTTTTATGAATGTTTTATTACTGGAGTTCTCAAGGGGAAATAAGACTTCTGTCCATTAATACATGGATTACCACAACCTTGAGAGTTTGCTTGATAAGAACAACTATACGAGACGCTTGAAACATTTTTATGGACTACAAAGCAAGTTCATGCATTGTTGAAATTAGTTTAATTAGTTTTCACCCCCTAAAGTAAATCCCACAATAGTTATGTTTTCATCTTAAATTGAGTATATTAATTCCAGAAATTAAGAAACCATAAAGTTAAATGTACATCCGATCTTCGAAAATATACCTTTATTTAGAATTTAAGTTTGAAATACTTGGTCTTATAATTGCTCTCTCCATTTTTAGTTGCCTATTTAAACGTAAGTTAACAGATCTTTCATAATCTCATATGGTAAAGAAACCGATTTCTCAAGGAATGTCGAGTTTTTCTCATCAAGTTGTGAATATTTTTTTTAAAATTTACTTCATTTCCATCATTTTTTACTACTTATCAAATTACAAAGTCAAACATATACTGTTCAAACATATCACTGTTTAAATTTACATTCACTTATCTAGCACCGAAATTCCGTCATTCCATCCGATTTTATAACTAATAGTTTTGATTATAATTGACGAATGAGAAATCTCAGGTTTATTCAAAACGTTATTCAGTAGTTAGGTGTAAGATGATGGAACGACTGAACACAAGTAAATGAATTGTACTGAATGAAAGAATATATGAAATATTTAACAGTTCATACAAACATTATGGAAACTTCTTCGACACTATGGAGTTCCTCAGTAGATCGTCAACATTATCCGGAACTCACATGACGGACTACAGTGCAAAGTCGTGCATGGAGGACAGCTGACAGATGCATTTCCAGTAAGAACCGGAGTCAGACAAGGCTGTCATCTCTCCTTCTTCCTCTTTCTTCTGATGATTCACTGGATTATGAAAACCTTGGCATTTGAGGGTATGCAAGGAATACAAAGGACATCTCAGAATCAATTAGACGATCTGGACTTCGCAGATGACCTGGTCCTTCTATCCGATACACGCTAACAAGTGCAGATGAAAACAACTAGTGTAGCAGCAGCCTCTGCATCAGTAGGCCTCAATATACACAAGGGATAAAAGCATGATCCTCAAATACAACATGGAGAACACCAACACAGTCACACTTGCTTGAGAAACTCTGGAAGATGTAGAAACAATCACGTACCTGGGAAGTATCGTCGATGAACAAGGAGGATACGATCCAGATGTAAAGGCAAAAATTGGCAAAGGAAGAGCCGCATTTCTACAATTGAAGAACATATGGAACTCCAAACAACTGTCAACTAATTACAAAGTGGGAATCTTCAATACGAACGTCAAGACGGTCCTATTGTACGAAGCTGAAATGTGGAGAACTACTACATCCATCGTTCAGAAGGTACTAGTATTTATAAAAAGTTGTCTACGCGAAATACTCTGTTTTTTTTTTAACCGTGATATACAAATATAACACAATGTTTGTTTTTAAAAAAGGAAAATTGCATAATTTATTTATTTTTGATGGTATAGTATTACCCTTTCGCATTTATCAATCTCTTTTTCTTATGAACTGATATCAGTTGAAGGGAATTTGAAGCATAGGAAGGATTCAATGACCATTTTGTCTTGGACAGAAAGTTCTGAAGATTCTGAACTTGGCCTTGTGTGATAACATGCGGATGCACCTTGGAGATATTCAATACTAAGATTAAACTATTCAGTGTTCCCTAGGTGTTTTTAAAAAATTACCAGATGATATCATTTTAAGACGTAAACTATCTTGTTTAATTTATGAAACTACAAATATTGATTTTGAAGAATTCCAGTGACTGTAATGTCACGGGAAGTTGATTTCGAAAATTAGTCACTTGTAAAATGAATGTACAAAAAGTAGTCTGTATTTGATGAATAGCTTTCGTTTTTAAACAATTACTCATTGATTTGTTTGTGCAGTTATGTTACCAGGTGTATTCCAGTTATCTCTGCAGTATATATGATCAAACTATGTTCTCATTTTAAGTCTGCTTAGTAAGTTATAAGAGCATAATATTAGTTTTACTTCAAGTTAGTTATATTTCGCTTTCTATTATAATGGAGAATTGTAGTTTGTTTATGATTATGTAATAGCGTGATCAATTATCATAAATAGTTTGATTTATGACTGGTTGCATAAAAAAGATCCAATTCATAGAGTTAGTCTGAAATTGACAAGACATATGAAGACAAAATAAACGACAAGAAAAGCTTACTTCTTTTAGCAGTTTAACATACAACATAGAGAATGTTTGATATATCACATTATCATTTAAAACATTCAAACATTTACAAGACTTATGTCATTTCAAGTCACTAACCAACCAATAGAATTTGGATTGAACTTTAAGACTTCATTCTTTTGCTTAATATTTAGGACAGCATACTGATAATTCTTGTTAATTGAACGATATACTCTGATCCTAAGCTAGTCTCGTAACACCCCCCCAAGCAAGCTAAATCTGCACAGCGAATTGAACACAAAAGAAAAGGCGCAAAATATGCGAGAAGCACTTTACTCCAAACGTTCATTCATGTACAGAAAATATAGGGTTTTATCGTATTTTAGAAGTCCTTGGGTTTTTGTGAAAATTCTGGAATGCTACTAAACATAGTAGTAGTGTAGTAATCAGCCAATCAGAAACTCTACATATGACTTTTCACTTTCGTGATGTTTCTAGCAAAACTTCTAATCAACTCTGAATAGATAAAATGCTTCGTAATGTTTCCTGAGCCTTACTTGCCTATTGAGAGAAATTTTCAGGATCGCCCCAACACATACCAAATACCAAAACTCGATTTTGTCAGTGTTAATTAATGTCCTCATGTAATCGCATGGGATCTATAAATCAATAGTTTATCCCTAACTAAATACTAGAAAGTGCAAATTACTTAAACCAATTTGAAGAGACTTTTTTAAAGACACATGCCTATATTTGATTATAACATGGAGAAATATGAACATTTCAAAAAGTAGCCACACTAGAAACAAGTTTCCTATTAATTCCTATAATTATATTTCTCTATACTTTACAGATATTATGAGAAAAAAAAGAGAACGTAAACGAAGTAAAGTGTCACATTCTGTGACGTTATCCCCTTGTTTGGTATTGTCTTCATCCTTAGAGCAAACAAAATCAATAAATGATGAATTGAGTGAAAATCGTGTTAATCAAAGGAAAGAAAGGTCTCGTTTAGCTGCACAAATCAGACGTAATCGTGAAGGTCAAAGTTTAATGCTAATACAAAATGCTCTACCAATATCTTCTCATGTTCTAGGATTAAATTTAATTCAACAGAACTCAAAATCATCTAATTCGATCAATGGAACAAAACAAATAAATCAACCATCAGAAAACAATAATATGATTACTCCAGGTACAGTTGGACGTGAACAGAAGAAGACTGCCTATTTTAACTCGTCAGTATCGAACACAATGACAGGATTTTTAACAAAAACATCAACAGCTTCAACTACAGAAACATCTTTGTGCACAATTTCTAATATACCTTCAGCTATTAATTTAGAAAAGGCTAGAGTACTTCGTATTGCTGGACATACATTATTTCTTCTTAACAAATTGTCTTCCTGTAAGTAATACTAGTTATAGTTAGTAGAAGACTTTATGATCTTTCCACAAGTGGTCTATATATGTATTGATTTCTGTTGATTGATAAGCGTGTAACTATGAAAGTAGTTAATAGATTATTTCCCAGCTGTATAATCTGTAATCGTCTTTCCATATATAAGTGATGTTCAAATGTATAGAAGTGATACCTAGTTACAACATAAAATTATAATTTTCAGTCGTTGAATTCATGAGTCGTTTAAAGCTAGACCACCATAAAAAACCTGGAAGCACTGGACAGTCGTTTATTCCTAGTGTGGAGTTCCTCAGCAGTGCGTATCCACGATCTCGCATGCGGGATTCGAATCCAGGACCTTCGGTCTTGTATGCGAACGTTAAGCTTCTAGACCACTGAGCTGGCATCCAACGGCGTTAATGTCTAACTTCAGTCAATCCACTACAATATTCACAAACCCCCATCCGGATAAAATTATAATGTTGTTTATTAAAACTTTAAAGGTATATTTCGATGACAAACTAATGAAACTTCTATATTATATCTACAACACTGGATTTTTAAGTTGTTTTGATACTGATATTTTGATTATCATATATGATAAAGCTAGGAAAAACACGTTGTAGATGATAATCAAAACATAAAGTTTAAAGATTCTATCAGAATAGCATCAATTCATCTTATTTTGTTTGATTCTTTTCAGCTTCTTGCAACCTGTGATACTTAAAATCATAATTATAAAATAAGTTTAAATTACTTACATGACAGAGTTTAGTTGGGAGTTATTTTGAAAACACATTAGTATAGTGTAGCAAGGGTGTGAATAAATTCTTTGTTCTTGCTCTCTTCAAGATGATAAAAGGAACTATGTGTATGGAACATAGTGTTTAATTTGGATTGTATAGGTTTAAGAATGAAATCAGTGAAAGTTCTGTTTGTTAACTTCGTGTCACTGATTCTGTATACGAAAATGGTTATTTTAAAGCATAGTTTAATGAAATAACTTGATATCGCCATGGTAAAAATGTAGTGCAATACATGTAGCATAACAGATTTTCTAAAGACTAAATGAATAATTTTACCGAAATCATGAATCAATCTCAGTTAGTCAACTACTGAAAACCTTGAAGCACTGGATGGTCGTTTTTTCCTTTCATAGGACTCAGAAGTGGGCACTCGTGACAACTCAACCAAAAATCGAAGTCAGGGCCTTCGTTCTCATGCGCAAACACATCTACTAGATTACTAAACAGCGATCCACTAGAGTACTAGTATAAATTAAATCAATCCATGATACTGCACGATCATCATCTACTGTTTTCAGAGGGTACCTTTCTGACACTAGACATGAATGAACTTCACTGATTACGGTTTCTCACTAGAACTTCAAAATTTCCTCACAAAACGATTTATTAATGAACAAGTAATTATTGCCAATATATGATTGTGGAGATTGTTGAAGTTCATTTCACATTGAGACTACAAATATTCATTTCTATAACTTCATATATCTGAACCAGGAAGCATGGGTTTCCTAATACAATAATAGAAAATTAACGATAGCTTCATGAACTTGTAGAGTAATTAGAACAAGTTACTATCAACTATTTTTCTTTAAATAAAGAAATTTCACTGCTACTTCAAACTATATTGTACTGCAAAATAGATGTTTGTTTATTGTAGATATAACTTATCAAATATATCTCAATTAACTCTTGTTTATTAAGCTTTTCTAGAAAGTTTTCAATGTCGAGTTGTAATTTTAATAATTGAGATCAAGAGTCATTTCAAGCTAGACCACCAAGGAAAACCTGGAAAGACTGGATGTCCGTTTCGTTCTATTGTGTAACTCCAAAGCAGTGCGATCCTGGTCCTGGGTTCGAGTCTCATGAGGCGGGATCGTGGATGCACACTGATAAGGAGTCCCAGGTTCCAGGTTTTCCATGGTGATCTAGCTTCAATTGGCTCATGATCTCAAATATTGGAATTACTATAATATCCACAAATCCCCTTCTGATATCGATTTGTAATTGTTTAAATTCACTGTCATGAAATTTATTATTTATGTATATGGATTTATCAATACATTAGTTTATTAAATGAATGATTATTATTATTATTATCTTTGTTCATTTATTCAATTTTTGAAAAATAATGTAGATCTTAGATTACAAGCAAAACTTTATTTAAGTTTAAATAGTCAATCAGTATATGGTATGTTAATTGATTCAAAAGAAATGAGAATTGCTTATGTAACACCAGCTTTATCTAAAGCTATTGGTTGGTCATGGGTAAGTTCTGTTTATTAATTTAAGTTCCTTTTCTTTTTCTCCGTTTATATTATATTGACATATAGATTTTATACTGTTATGTTATATTTAAGTTTATTGTTATATTAAAGTGCACTTTAATATTTAGATTCTATATCTTTGACTTAAAAAAAAGAATAATTCTCTTAATTTCTTAATTAGAGGTGTTGCCAAACTAATTCATATTGATGACCTTATGGGATTCTAACTGTGATCTAGAGAATGTCTAACCATTCATTATCTAATCAGGATGTAGACTCTGGAAACGAATTTTGTTATAAAAAAACAAGAAAATTACAATGAATGTGATTTTATTATTATTAATGAATTTATTGAAGGTACCAATAGGTTTATTAAGTTTGAAACCAAAGTAGTTAGTAAACGACGATTTGCCTTTATGGCTATAGATTGGTCCTTCTCTTTTCCAAGCTAGTTGTTTAAGATTTTTCACATTTAATCAACGTCATTAGGATGTTTGCTCGTCAGATAGTCTACTGGTCCTTGAATTTTCAGATGAAGATTAGTCACAAATTATTAAACTAACGATTCTGGGTACGATCCTCGATGGAGTCGTGGTCTAGCACTGATGAGAAGTCTCATACTAAAAACGAGAAAGCTTTTCAAGGACCCTCGATTTCCAGTAGCGGTTTAACTAAGGTCCGTTACTTTCCTACTTACTTGTGTCTGTTACCCTCAGAAGAGTATAAGCCACCGACCAGGATTCTCCAGACAACTGTGTCCTAGGCTCTCCATTCCAGTTATTTCTAAGTGTTATTTATTCCTGCGATGTCTGCCTCCGATTTCCAGCATGATATACTCTTTGGTATTCCTGGTTTCTTTTTTCCTTTCGGATTCCAAGTTAGGGAGTGCTGTGTGATGCGGTTTGATGATCAACTGAAGCCTCTAATAGAACTGATCTTTATCGTCTTCGCTTTTATAATTGGTTGGCACATAACACTGAATATCATTCACTGTAATCTCCTAGTTCTTTGATTTTAAAGATACTTTAATGATCCTAAATCCATGAGATTTCCATTCTGTAAGAGCTTTTCGTGCTTCTCTGAACAATATCACTGCAGCTCCTTGTATGTGCAAGTCATTTTCTTCTTCATGACTGGACTACAGCAGCATCTCTCCCGAATCTAATCTCTTTTGTCCAGCTTGTGTCTAATGAGTTCCACTTATTCCGAGCACCGCTCAGTTGTATTTTCTTATTTCCACAGCTACTCAACTGGTCTTTCCTGTTTCCCACATTGTCCAGGGGTTTAATTAACCTATATAAATTGTTACTATGGTTGTCAGAAGGGACGTTGATCTCCTGGCCTCCGAAAAATCTCGCTTTCTTTCGTGTCATAACTCTTGTAAATGAAGATTCTTCAACTCCCAGACAGAGTTTAAATAATTTTTTCTTGTTAGAGTTTTTTATTAAAGTTGTAAACGATATAATAGTAGGAATTTAAGAGAATTCAATCCTCATGAAGATATATTTATTATTGAGTAGTCTTATTATTAAAATAAACTATTAGCTTACCAATTCTATTTTACAATGTTATCCCTTAAGCTGGTTTCTAAGTACTTATATAAAATAATTTGTTGTATTTCTCATCGAATGTATTCTATCGAATAAAATGTTTACTTTTTTTCAACAGATAAAACTTTTAGGTGCTCCTTTACATAAACTAATAAAATCGACAGGAACATCTGAAAACTCCACAGAGACGATCACGAAATTATCATCTACATCTCAGCATTCTTCATTAATTTTACCATCTCACTTCAATACAACAATGAAAGCTCCAATTACTCATTCCTTTTATCCTATTCATCATGAAGCTTCTTGTATGAATCCTACTTCTCATAATAGTAACAATGAATGCATTATTAATACTACTACTGATAATGAGTTTATTTTACCTGAATTTATCACTTTATTAAAATCAAACTCAAATGATCAACATTTATTGTGTACATCAAAAAATAGTAAACTGGATGAGACAATGTTGAATTCTTCTTTGATGTCGGATAATAATAATAGTACCACATTTTCTAATGTCAGTGATATAAATAGAAATGGATTTATTGGTAACATTACAAAAACTCATAAAATAATCAATACTGATCATTCAATCAATCATAAAATGAACATTATCAATAAATCAATACGAAAATCTTCATCTACACCATTGATATCATCTAAATTAGTATTAAATAGATTTATACCTGGAAATACTATTGATAATAATAATTGTAATTCTGATGATATAAATGATTATGATCCATTGAATAAAAAATCATTCCCTCAAAATAATAATGATAATGAATTGGTAAATCAATTTGAAAATTATATTTTTCTTTTCTTTTTTGACATACACTTATTTATAGTTGAAGTCATGAGTTAATTGAAACTGGATCACCATGAAAAACCTGGAAGGAGTAGACGGCCGTTTCGTTCTATTGTGGGAATCTTTAGCAGTGCGCATTCACGATCCCGCTTCGCGAGATTCGAACCCAGGACCTATCAGTCCTTAACCTCTAGATCATGGATGCGCACTGTTGAGGAGTCCTACAAGAGGAAGAAACGACCGTCCAGTGCTTCCAGGTTTTTCGTGGTGGTCTAGCTTCAATTGACTCATGATCTCAGCTATTGAAATTTATTTATTTAGTTAGTCAAAGTGGGTTTTTTTTTTCAAAAATAAAAGAAACTTTTTTTATCTGTTTTACTTCTATTGAGCTTTGTACATGCGCTGTTGATCTTACTTTGAATAATCTACTGAAAAAAATTATATAGGTGAATACAAAGATGAGATTCTAGTGTTTACATGAGGATAAGTTAAAACTTGCTAAATCGTAAAACCTATTGTATTCATCTGCTTAACAATGGTCTTATTTAGGTTATAAACAAGGTTAATTTTTAACACAAGGATTTCTTTAAGCATAACCTTGATATAATTACTGCAAGTAATAAACTAGTTTGTTTTATAAAAATGTGAGAAATTCGACATTCATCAATTTCAATTCATCTGGTCAAAAAGACATTAAAAGAGTGGTAGTTGTTTCCCTAATTATGTCTCAAAATTTAAATGTACATTCTAAATTTAGCTTCTGTAAGTATGATTTTTGATTAATGATCCAATTACATTATAATCTTATTAAAATCTTGGAAGCACTGAACGTACATTTCGTCCTACCATGGGACTGAGAAGTGAGTATCCATGACATTTCAATCAAAAACTGAACTCACAGCTCTTGGTCTCGTTCGTAAACACATAACCTATCGACTGCTGAGCCCACTTCCAATGATGTACAAGTCTCTGATTAGTGTTAGGTGAATTGCCGGTTTTCTTCATAGAAAAATTTTATACTGTTACCCATACTATATAACTACAGTTAGACAAGAACTTTTGACTAAAGTATCGATAATAAAACTGTTGAAAAATGTTTATCCATATAGTTGAAAATACTTCGACATGTGACTAAAATGAAAGTTGAATAATTTCATGAGAAGTTGTGTAGTTTTCGTTAAGCTACTTGCTTGTGTTGGGGCGATCCCGAAATTTTCTCTGAATAGATAAGAAAGGCTCAGGAAACATTACGAAGCATTTTATCTAATCAGAGTTGATTAGAAGTTTTGCTAGAAATATCACGAAAGTGAAAAGTCATATGTAGAGTTTCTGATTGGCTGATTACTACACTACTACTATGTTTAGTAGCATTCCAGAATTTTCACAAAAACCCAAGGACTTCTAAAATACGATAAAACCCTATATTTTCTGTACATGAATGAACGTTTGGAGTAAAGTGCTTCTCGCATATTTTGCGCCTTTTCTTTTGTGTTCAATTCGCTGTGCAGATTTAGCTTGCTGGGGGGGGGTGTTACGAGACTAGCTTAGGATCAGAGTATATCGTTCAATCAGCAAGACTTATCAGTTTGCATATTGATTTAAGTTCAGTTAAAAGTTTCAGATTGATGGATTATTATTGGATCATAGGAACAAAAGTTAAAGAGTAGTACGGTATAAACTAGTAAAGAAATTTAAAAGGAACACTATATTTCTAAAAAATAAATTCATGTTGAAGAACTATGAAAAGACCTAATATTAAGGTAATTAAGGTTCAATCAGCCTTTCAACCTTTCTAGTTTAATCAGATTTTACTATCCATTTATTTCATGTAGATGTTAGGCAATCATGGACTTTAGAATACTAAATCAGTTTGAGAATAGGACTACTACCATTTTTTATAAACTGGAAAGATCAACGAGTGGTACTCGTTACAAATACCTTAGTTTATAATATATAAATAACTAAACTCTTAAATGTACTTGTTTATGAATCCAAAATAACAGACCACAACAAAGCAAACAATAAATTACAGTAAGTACATAATTAGATCATTGTTTATATGAGGCTGAATAATGTATCTATCATTGACTTAACATAAATAACAGATAATAAGAGATAAAGAAATAATTAGTAGATGAAAGGTTAGTATACTTTTGGAATTAAACAAAAATATCATAAAGTAATTGTCTAGTAAACACACATTGGAAATATACAATAGAGTTCTACCATTTCCTTACATCACTACTTCCTAGCAGTAGAAAGGTAGAATCCCACAGTCAGCTCGAGCATCAGAAAGATTACTCCCCAATTACATTGAGACTTTATAATTTTAATTATTCAACGATATGTTTCAATATCCACCTAAAGTTATCAATAGGCATAACTATCTCACTATTGACTTACCTGACTTTATAAGTAAACGTTTATCACTTTCTAGATATCATTATCAAGTTTTGATTTGATAATTTTGAATAAATCGAGCATTGGGTAGATTGTTATAAATAAATTTATATATATGTAATATTCCAATGAGTAAAAAGTAAGATTTTTTGTTTATCACTTTCGTTTTAAGGAGTCTATCATGAAACTAATCACTAATCAGCTATACAATTACTATAAAGAATCAATGAAAAGCAACATGAACTTAATGTGTTTGTTATATCGTGTGAGTGCATACGTGACGTGTGAGTGATAAGACCGCCTATCAGAGAACAGTGATTTATCGATCAGAGCTATGATACACAAAAAGCCGTATGAGCAGTCTTGAGTACTAATCAGTCCTGCCTTCTGCCTAGCCCAGCCAGTTAAGTCAAGAGCACCCATGACAACCTCTGCAATATGAATCATTATTCTCAAACATACTGGGTTTATATACCAAACAAACAGACCACATCGTACCATAAATTAGAAAATAATATTTGTACAATATTTGGCCAAATGTGGCTGTGAATAGGGGGAATAGTAATCAATAGACTAGGGATAATTCAAGAACGGTAAGTTGTACAGTAATAGTTCATAGGTCAAAACAAAGCTTATAATAAGAGGGACGCGAGAATGAATAGTTTAGTTAGTTAACAAATATACAATAGGAAATAAACACACCACATTGGTCCATAAATAGTCCTCATAATTCTCCACGAGATATAACAGTGTTTTTATTTGTTTTTAACTATTGATCAGTGCAAACTGACAATACTACATTATATCAAACATTTATACCATCAATATACCCAGTTTATTAAATATACATACTACGAGATTCCATTAATTACTTTTATTTTGTATATGAGATTCGGTTCAAGAAAAATTATAAAATAATAAGATTCTAATTGTCAAGTTCATGAGTCAATTGAAACTAGACCACCATGGAAAACTTGGAAATACTGAACGGTCATTTCGTCCCAGTATAGGACTCCTCAGTAGCGCCCATCCACAATCCCACCTCACGAGATTCGATCCCAGAACCTATCAGTCTCGCGCGCGAGCCCTTAACCCCCAGACCACTGAGCCGCTCGGCATCCGATGGTGTTAATTTCTAACACCATCCAATCCACGAAATTGAGCAACCGTCCACCAATGTCTTCAGTTAGTTGTTATCTCACAACAGACCAGGTTGAACTCCACTGGTCACTGCTTCTCATCAGAACTCCAGGAAATACTTCATGGAGCCAGTTACTAATGAGTATATGTTAAACTTGAAAATTATCATTAATAATTTAATTTAGAAAAACCGTTTTGGAGAAAATTTTTTTGATCTCATGCATTTTTCATTAAATTATTCTCAAATAAACATCACTGAATTAATCAGTTGTATTTTGAATATACTACAGATATGTTACTGTTGGAGCAAATCCATGATCAATATATTTACTGACAATTCAACTGGATTGAGTGAAATTTTGAATTCATTAGATGAATGTGATGTAAATAATATTTCCACTGATGATAGTAACTATATCAATGGTGATAATGATGATTATGATGATAAATCCCTGTTAAATAATGAATTATTGGATATATTAATGAACGATGCATTTTCACCAGATTCTTTAACTTTTGAGTCTTCATGGAGTGATTCCAACCCTTCTTCCACAATCAATAATCCATGTAATTCATGTGATGGTTATAATGAGCTCAGTTCAACCTTGTCTACTGGATTGTACTTATGTCTTTTACAGCCTGTATGTAATAAAATTTCATCATTTGAAGATTTAACAAATCGTGTGGATTCCATAATCAACGATACTGAATATAATCATAATAACATTATTAGTAATGATAGTAACGATAACAACATTAATGGAGAAGTAAATCAAAATATTCTCTTAGATCCATCTGTCCATATACTTGAAGATTTACAAAAGTCAGCTACTAATGATAAACAGGATTCATCAATTTCTTTTGAGTTACATAATAACATCAATATTATGCAGTCAGAAGAATCATTAATGGAACTATCCGATATCGACACGACATCATCATCATTATTAAATGGATCGACGTCAATGAAAATTCCTTCACTTGAACAAAAAAAGGAATGTATAAAATCAAAATCTTTCCAGTGTCATACATATTTAAATTGTGCTTTAACAATAAAAATGGTTCAAGGAAAGTAAGTGATTTTTGAAATGATTCATCAGAATTTTCTGACTGTACTGTATTCAGTAAATAATGAAAATAATATTGTTAGTACAAGGGGTTTACGAAGATCGTTGATTGTTATTAAGATTTCGAACTAACAACCATTGAAAATAAAGAAGCACATAAACAACTTGTTTTTTTAATCTAATTGTGAGATCCCTAAGAATTTCTTTCCCACATCTCTACTAGGAATCGGACGGTGAACCTTAAGATCTCTCAGAGATAACTCAACCTTCATCTTGTTGAATCGGGATGTAACAGTTTACACTCCTAAGTTTAATCGATTGGCGATACTGCGTAACTATTTCCCTATGCCGCTGGTGAATAACTGCCTAACGTAAAACATAGATTAAATCCATTGCCCACCCAGAGTCTGTACTCCCTTTGTCTTTCCCCAAACTGCGTGATTAAAACTGTTTTACACCTTTCTTCCTATGAACCAATTCTTTCTTTCTGTATTATATCCTTATACATAATCTTTCTTTTATGTATTACTACCATTGAAGTGACTACTTCTATGAATTTGGTGTACATCATGTTGTGCCGATGAGGTGTGGCAGCTTGAACCGATGCATACATGTGCCTGGTCCTAGGTTGTAGCTGACTGACTCCCCACTCACTACTTTCTAATAACACTCTGTTTTTTCTTCATATAGAAAATCTATGTGAAGCCGTTGCATAGTCGTTACGTTAACACACTACGTTTTAAACCAATCGATCGCTTACTTAAAATCCCTGTCCACCTTTCGGAAACTACGTAATATCATTATTTTCACGCAAATATCGTGGCTCAGTGTTTAAATCATAAACGTGTTCTCGTTTTCATGAAGATAGCAGACACTCATAATAGTCACATGATATTAATCAAATTCCATTGGTCAATCAGTTGTTGTACATCTTCCAATGTTCAGTTATCCTACTATATTTGTGTTGATTGTGAATCTGTTTTTAAAATAAAAACTCTTCGAAAATTGATTACTATGTGATACATATATGTATTACCACAAGAGTTTCTGAAGATTGCTGAGTTTTATAGTCTACATCACGGTTTGGTCTTAGTTAGACAACCATTAAAATTTATGAAACAATGCCCAGCCATTTCACCCAAGTAATTTTAATCCTCAACAGTGTGTATTCAAAATTCAACCTTAGATCGAGAGTAAAACTAAAACAACTGTTGTTTAAATTTATCATTCACATCTGTCCTTACATTTATGAACAGTTTTTCACAGTTTCCTCCTTCGTACTCTTTAAGCCAGTTGCCTTATAATATTATCAATCTTAAAATGGTATGATCAGTGATTTATGTTTTATAATGAATATAAAGGCCACTTATTTGTGAAATGATTGACGTTTTAATAATAATGAGGTTTAGTAATCATACTACATGTAATTTGGATTCGGGCTCGAATGTGATTACAGTTAGAGATAGTTCGTATCTCAGCATGCTATATCTTTATATATTTATGCGAAAAATCTGTGCATCTAATAATATTGAGGACATATTACGATAACACTTGGGCCAGTAACTATTTTTTTTAATGTTTGTAATTGACCTTTAAAATCTATCGTATGGAGCAAAAATAGAAACCACAGTCGCTTTAGTATCATACAGGGACCGAACCCAAGACCTTCAGATATCATGAAGCGCACTTAACGGTTAGATCCTTCGAGATCGCACGTTTAAATTAGAGGATGTAAACTTCTAGCTAAATGAAATAACTATAATAATGGAGTGATTCATCCAATTAATCAGTAAATCACTAACCAAATAGTTGGAATTTTTCTATTATCTTTACTTACCTTCTTGTATTCAAACAGCTTGTTTATAATTTTTTTTTCTAATATACTTGATTAATTTTACAGTTACACAGACTGTTTTGATATTGAAGATCAAAGTGATATAGTCGATTATTCTTATCTTGAATTTATTCATCCTGATGATCTACAAAATGTTATCACTATTTTTACTAGAAGTAGGTTTCATTCTTATTATCGAAATTGAAAATTAATAATACTTCATTATTGAAATTTAATCATAATTCACAATAATGAATTATTTTAATAGTTTAGATCATGAGTCAATTGAAGCTAGATCATCATGGAAATCCTGGAAGCACTGGACGGCCATTTCATCTTAGTATAGGACTCCTCAGCAGTGCGCATTCACGGTCCCGCCTCACGATATTCGAACCCAGGACCTATCAGTCTTGCGCGCGAACGCTTAACCACTAGACCACTGAGATGGCCGGCATCCAACGGTGTTAAAGTCTAACTCCAACCGATCCACGAAATTGAGCAACCGTTCACCATTGTCTTCAGTGAGTTACTATCTCACAAAAGACCTGGTTGAACTCCACTTGTTATTGCTTCTCACTAGAACTCCATGAAATACCTCTTGAATCCAGTCACTAGTAAGCATATGTTGATTAATATCAGAAGGGGTTTTGTGGATATAATAATAATTTTGATAGTTGAATTATACCAGAATTATTCATTGTAAATCTAATAACAACAGATTCAAACATAAAAGTAATCAGTTTTCAACTGAAACATTAAATTATTCCGATATTAATGGTGGACAATTAGTCAAGACAACTAAGATTACAAGATTACAAATCATATTAACTGGCTTTATATTTGTTGAATATTGAATGCTCTTAAATACAACTTTACTTCCTAATCTTAACTAATGACAGCATGTGATCGCCCTTAAGTATAACACCCATAGTTATTGTTATGTGATCTGATTTTACTTACGTTTTAGCAAAATGGAATGCTATTTAATCCATTATTAAAAATATCTCTTTTGAAAATTTAATGAAATAATTGAATACATCTCCAGAATGTAACAATCTATTTGATCATTAGGTTAAATACTACACTTTGAGTCAACAGTACGTTCTTAATGTTCCTGTACATTGTGATAATAAGACCGGATAATATCAACAGATATATATATATATATATATATATATATATATATATCCTGATCGAAAATTATTCATGGAAATTGTTATCATTGAGGTCTCTTAGAACTGAAAGTTACTGTTTTCTAATTGTTGGTATCCCTATATAATTCCTCGGAAAATTTTTCACTAACTTATAGAAGGATGAAACTCTATACATCAATTAGGATTTAGTAGAAACTTCTCAGAGGGTTTTGGAAAAATGGTAGACCATATATTATATTCAGCAGATTTCCAGATGATCCTAAAATGTTAAGGTTGTACACAGACTTATATATAGCTTTGTTCGCTGTATCTAAATTAACATTAGAAGAAAAAGGTCTTTCCGTATTTCCCGCGTTTAGTCGTTCGTTCAAGGTTCAAGTTTCGGGATATCTGGAAACATTAAGGCACCATAAATATCATTATTTTTTTTATTACGACACCTTTTATACATAATATTGTTCTTGAGACAACAATACATTTTAAAACAACTGTTGATTTAATCAGCAGGAACTATACCATTCATTCATTGAGTCGGACAGAATTTTGATGAAACGTATTAAAAATAGATTAGTAAGTGAGTTAGAGTCTCAATCTTATTATCAAAACTGAGATGTAAATCCATCTAGATGAGTAGTCCTAAATGAGACAAAGTTCGCGCTATGGATTCCACTGTTAACTACATATCAGATTAATAAAAGTCAAGAATATTCTGTTTTCAGAAAGCATACATTTTTCTTATCTTTTTGTTAACCGTAACTTTTTCAATGCTCTTTACTTTACCCAATTCTCTTTAGCAACTCATACAAATTCTCTGGCATGGATCAGTCCATACAGAGTATCAGCACATAATAAAACGGTAAACAATAATACTGAAAAATCTTATCGTTGGATACGTAGTTTAGTATCGTATGACAAAATGAAAAATATTTTCATATGTTCCAATCAGTTTCTTGGGTAAGCACTTATATTACAATGATTACCATTGTATGTTGATTATGTATGAATCTAACCTATTTCTTCTTTATCCATTTTTTTTTTAAATAAATAAAATTCGTCAAAAGTCACAGAAAATAAATGAGTCGTAAGGAGTATTAACACTTGATTCAAGTTAAAAATGTCAATATTAGGTAGAATCCGTTCCTGTTCTTATTTTAAAGTCATAATATAATGAATTTGATCTTTGATAAATAATACCGGGAGATTTCAGAATAGTATTCAGTTAATCCTTGAAAAATTGTCAAACGAGCTGATATTTATGTTGTACGAATCCGAAACTTGGAGAACTACTGCAACCATCATCAAAAAAGTACAAGTATTTATAAACAATTTTCTACGCAAGATACTCAATGTCCGTTGGTCGGACACCGTCAGCAACAGTCTACTGTGGAAGAGAACAAACCAGCTTCCACCTGAAGAGGGAATTAAGAAAAAGACGTTGGAAGTGGATAAGACATACTTTAAGGAAATTACCAAACTGCATCACGAGGTAAACACAAAATTGTGATCCTGAGGGGAAATGGGAAATAGAAAGACTAAGGAACACGTTGCTCCGGGAATCTGAAGCAGACATAAAAAATGAATAGCAACTGGGAAGAATGGAAAGGATAGCCCAGGACAGAGTTGGTTGGAGAATGCTAGTGGGCGGCCTCTGCTCCTCCACGAGAGGTAACAGGCGTAAGAAGAGAGAAGAGATGATAATTATGTTCAGGAGTAATAAATATATCTTTTTGTTATATCCCTGTGAATAGAAAATTATATTTCTAACATTTTGTGACTTGATGTAAGCTACTTTTGAAGAAGTGACGGTGAATAAGTGTCTTACTTTAAGTTATAAAACGTCAGAAACACAATTTTCTACTAATTAAGATATCACAAAAAGACATATTTCTCATTAAATTTCTACCCAATGGACAATTTGTTTGAAACTATCAAGTCCAATCTTGGCATTGATACCTGCCAACTCGTTATGTTCAGTAGATTTAATGAAGACTGTGTATATTAAATAAAATGTCTTCGTAACATAAACTACTGATGAAAATATTATAAATGACTTAAGCAGGCAGTGATCTTCAGTTATTTCTAGTGAGAATTCACGATTCATTAGAGAGAATCATCCAATATGGATAACTGAAGTTATTGCTAGACTGCAAATTTTCAGTTACAGTTACTGACAAATAAAAAATTGTATATTCATTTGTATATTTTAAAATACATCAAATCTCAGATGTAGATACATCCATCTGACAAATCCCAAACGGGACGAAACGCGCGTCCTGAATTCCACTGCCAGCCACCATCCATCTCTGCTTATAATGCTTGTGAATTAGGGAAATATCGAGGCAATACGCATACACATATACCAATAAGAGACTGATCAATAAGTCGTAAGCATCAATGGTAAGATTCAAGTCAACAATAGCAAGTGAGTTTCTTGGATTATCTTATATTATTCTCTTGACATCTCTACTATTCATCTAATTTTAACTGAACCAGCATGACTATAATCATGCACAAGTTAGACTACATGATTTCTGAGAACGATTGAACAGGGAATGAGCCTGAACTCCATCGATAACATTGGATGATAGTCATCTTATGTAACGTAACATATTGAAGTTGATAAGTGTGAACTATTATACATGGATTCAAATGCACGACTGACTGTACATTGCTGAGCAGTTTTAAAAACTAAAATGAAACAAATATTTCAAATCTTCTTTGAATTAATGTTAGTCTGCAATGAAAACTGTTTTCATATCAAATACAAGTTTTCGATAGGTTTTAAATATGTTGAGAAAAAATGCAGGCTAAATTATACTATTCATAGTAATAAAGAATCTAATAAAATTGTTTGGTTCAAACTCATCAAATGAGCATACTGAATCATTAGTACACCTTGTCTTACTTATTATGACCTGAACTGAAATAATGAGAAGTTGATATAATATATTTCATGTACAAATATTGCTGTTCTGTGATGGAGTTGAGATTATTTGATTGAAGGGTACTCGTATACAGTGTTCACTTGCGTAAGACACAAATCATATTTTTAAATGGTAACAACTGGATGATTCTCTTTCCAGATCACAATCGCTTAGTTAATCTAAAAAATTACTAGATACGCTAATATTTCTTAATAACAATTAGTTATAAGAAAACAATATGCCGTAGATCCTTTACACTTCTTAAGAATACGGAGTAAATGGAGTTAAAAGAATCAGCCATGCTGCTTTATCGTTCAAGACTGTCAAATCCATCGCTTATCAAAGATTTATATTACTGTGAATATTGAATGTATGTTCGAGTGAGAAATGAATATATAATCAATACCATACAGTTATACTTATTCTGGATGGTTTAATCTATACATTTTATCATTCTTCTTGATTTTTATTGTAAGACGTTTATAAGTAATCAGCGGGAAACCTTGTATCATGGTTTTGTGCTTGTGAACGCTTGTTACCATGGTATAACTGCAGTATTGAACAAATTGATATCCCTGATGGATTTTAATCCACATTTTGAAATGTCAGTTTAGTCAGTAGTTCGATTTAGTAATACTGAAGTTGGCAATATAATCTTAGTTATCAACATGAAAAGAATCAACAACATCCATGTTTTGCTTGAATTTATTAAAACTCACCGTACATTCGTTATGCATATATTGAACCTAAATCTTCGAATACTAAAAATCAGAAAGTCAATAGGATACTGTCCAATATTTAACCAAGTTAGCTAATCAAGTGGCCCCAGGTTAATTTATTGAAGATGATTCCCTTAAGGATAGTTATCAGGATGATATGCTGAGGAGTCCCACAATAGGACGAGACGGCCGTCCAGTGCTTCCAGGTTTTCCATGGTGGTCTAGCTTTAATTGATTCATGCTTTCAACTATGAAAATACTGAAATCTTCACAAAACCCTTTCTGATTATTATTTTAATTTATTATGATGTTAAATATTATTGAAAAAGAAAAAGAAAAAAAAAGGATATTGATTATTTTTTTCTTTTATTATTGTGTAGATTATGTGAATTATACGATTGCGCTATTGGATCGAATCAAAGATTATTAAGTGTAACTTTTGAAAATTCATTTAAACAATTTGAATTAAAAATCAATAATACTCTTAATAACAGTAATATCTCTTCTCAAAACTTTATGAAAACATTCAATTATGATCCTTCAAATGAATCTTCAATTAATTCTCGTTATCATCAACAGTCAAAAAGTAAACAAGTTCGTATATCTAATTCATCAAGTCGTTCTGTACGCTTAAAGAAACCACCTACATCATTAGTTATTAAAAATAGTAATATTATTAAACCTATCAAATTGTTTCCATTTCAATCTTCTCAATATATAAAACGACAATCAGGACAAGGATATAATCAAACCATTTCTGGAAATAATCAAATTAGATCTATTAGACTACTTCCATTTACTACTACTAATAATAATAAAGTGCCTTGTTTATCTTATTTGAATACACATTTATATGATAGTTCTAAGGCTAATGATAATAGTTATACTAGACAAACTAATTCTGTATTAAATATTTCCACAACCAAATCTTCATTGTATCATTCTCCTTCAAATGTATCATCAGTTCCATGTTATGTAAAATCTATGTTACCAGTGGTGAACTATACATCATCATCTTCAAAAAAGTTAATTTTCTTATCTTCCGCTTCATCGTTACCATCATCCATTTCAATAAATAAACTACGAACATTTAATACATCTAATATATTTAGAAATAAATGTCGAAACGACAATAAACGAGGTAAATATATTGAATATTCAGCAATATCCCAAGACAAAAATCCTACATCTTTACATTATAAAAATAATATTCCTTTCTCAAATTCATCAATAAATGATCTTTACAATCAAATGGTATGCTCAATTCATTACTAGTATTATTTATGATTATTAACGGTGATTATCATTTGTATTCTTGTTAATTCTTGAAATAGATAAATAGTATATTTTTAGGTTATGACAGTCTATAAAAAGTCTAAGGAAAGGCATAGTACTATAGAGTAGAATTTAGAGACATTGAATTTAAATAGTTAATCGTTTATAGACGATGATTTCACCATTGACTTATCTGTCAAAAGTTTGCTCAGGAAGTATGTACTATCAATATGGGTATTAAGATCATAGACTAACCATTGAAAATAAAGAAGCGCCGGAGCGGCCATTTTGTCTCATGGTAGACGTCCTTATCAGTTCATATTCACAACCTTACCGAGGATAAAACACAGAACCTTAGCGATCTCGTAGAGATAGCTCAACCTTTGGATCACTGAACCGACACTCATTGATTAATTGTTTAACTTCAAGAGGAAATTTACGGTTACAAGCCGTGACCAATTACGTCTAGTCTTGTCGAATATGAGTCTGTTACTCGTTAAAGACAATGGGAGATAGCTGTATAATATTGTAAATTGACTGAAGTTAACGATACAAAATTTTGGGCTACTCTCTAGTGGTCTAATGACTAGGCTCTTACCGCGAGATCTGGAAGTCCTAGCTCCGACCCTTGAATAAGTCGTGGATCCGCATCACCTGTTAGTCCCATTTCAGAGCGAAACAGCTGTTCAGTGCTTCAGGATTTTCGATATATCTAATGTGCGTTAGTTCATGATCTCAACAAAATACAAACCTTTTTCTCTAACTTTCTTAACTGAGAATATTTAAGAAATCATCTCTTTGTTGTTTATGTCTACTGATTATCCGGCTTAATGATTAAAAATGTTCACAGTGACTTTAACTGGATATCATTCTCACTTATTTTGTGATTATTTAAGTGGTGCTGAATCTTTGAAGTATATCTTTGCTCCTAGTGAAATGATACAGTAAGGTATGTTTGATGAAATAATTTCTGGATTTCAGTGATAAGAAGTTGTAAATTTTATTCTTCAGATTTTTAGCATAATAGTATCTAGTCCCGAGATTCTGAAAATCGCATCATTTACCTTCATAGTGCAATACGAGTTATCTAGTTAAGCAGCTTTATGGAAAAATCTAATTAACAAAACCGAATCAACATGAATGAAATTCAAGAGTTCACATTTATTATATGAGTCGTGTGCTTAACCATAGTTATTTAACTATTAGATGTAACATGAATATAAAACAGTTTATTGTTTCTAATATTCAAGTAATACTTTTGATTACACAAAACAGATATTTGGTCCTGACAAAAATAAAACATCAAACCCAATCACATTAACTGTAAAAACTGTTTGTCATGATCATCAATGGAATTCTGGAGATAATTGGTCACCATCTTTAATAGATAATTCATCACCTCATTCAGTATATTCATCTCATGGATCAAGTACATCAATTAGTCTTAGTCCAAATGAACAAAATCTAACAGATTTAAATGTGAGCATGCAAATGGAAGCTACTGTTAGTGAATTATTAGAATCAACACCATTATCGAACAAGTTATCGTATGATAATGATGGAGTGCAAATGAACATAGATTTTAATGGTAATTCAAATGATTCAAATACATTTGAGTATGAAGACTCAGAACTATCACACTTGGATTCTGATTTTGAAAGTAGTGAAAATTTTACTGGATTTCAACTAGATTTGATATCTGATTCAAATGTTCTTAATAGCCCTGTTTAAAGAAATGTAAGTTATAAACAGTTTTACTGGTAATTTAGTCATTAAACATGAAATATATCAAGTTATTATGACGGTTTGATTGAATTTAGAAACACTAAAAACGTAATTATTTTGACGGTAATATTGATGGGTAAGTATGGGGACTTCAGTCAGATGCAGTTAGAATCGATGAATGATACAAAAGTGATCGAGTTATTCTTTATTCAAAGTTCAACTTTAAGCAGATGAGATTACGTAGATTTATCACGTAGTCTAACTGTAAACATTTGAATGGCTTTTTTGGTAAATAAATGGATTGTAGTTAGAAGGGGAGGTCGTGATGGGAATTCAAAACTTTTTAACCACTTTCCATTTATTCTAATAATCATGATCGTGGCTATATTAAAAGAATCCTCACAGGATGCACATATTACAACAAAGATTGGTAAACACTGAGTTCTCAATATCAACAGCGGGGTAATTCAAATCCCTATAACATTTCAATGGTTTTGCGTAACAGACCTTCGTATTGATGTCACTCAACCAACGACGGAAGAAATCAGGATGACCGTCAGACAAATTACGAATGGGAAAGCAGCAGGACCTGACAATATACCAGATGAAGCTCTGACGTCAGACACAGAAGTAACTGTAAGTATGCTTCACCTTCTATTTGAGAAGATTCGGGAGGAAGAACAGGTACCGACGGACTGGAAAGGAGGACATTTCATCAAGATACCGAAGAATGATCCGAGCAAGTGTGAAAACTACAGAGGTATCACACTACCATCGGCACCAGGAAAGGTTTTCAACAGAGTGTCGCTGAACCAGATGAAAGATTCAGTATGCGCCAGATCAATGGGGCGGATTCCGTAGCGATCAGTCGTGCATAGATAAAGTCACGACATTACGGATCATCGTTGAACAATCAATTGAATGAAACTCGCCACTAAACATCAACCTCCTTAACTATGAAAGGGTGTTTGACAGCGCAGATAGGAGAACTTTATGGAATTTTCTTCGACACTATGGAGTACCTAAGATCATCAACATCATACAAATTTATATGACGGACTACACTGCAAAGTGGTGCGTAGAGGACGGTTGACAGATGCATTTCAAGTAAGAACCGGAGTCAGACAAGACTGTTTACTCTCTCACTTCATTTTTCTATGATGGCTGACTAGATCATGAGAACCTCCACACCTGAGGGAAAGCAAGAAATAGGATGGACAGCTCGGAATCACTTAGACGAACTGGACTTCACAGATGACCTGTTCCTTCTATCCAATACACGCTAACAAGTGCAGATGAAGACAACTAGTGTAGCAGCAGCCTCTGCATCAGTGGGCCTCAACATACACAAGGGATAGAGCAAGAACCTCAAATACAGCATGGAGAACATCAACACAATCGCACTTCATGGAGAAACTCTTGAAGAGGTGGAATCTTTCACATACCTGGGAAGCATCGTCGATGAACAAGGAGGATACGATCCAGATGTAAAGGCAAGGATTAGCAAAGCAAGGGTCACATTCCTACAACTGAAGAACATATGGAACTCAAAACGACTGTCAACCAATACCAAGGTAAGGATCTTCAATACGAACGAATATATGGAGCTGAAACTTAGAGAACTACTTCAACCATCATCAAGAAGGTACAAGTATTTATAAACAATTTGTCTACGAAAGAGACTAAGTGTCCGTTGGTTTGATACCATCAGTAACAGCCTACTGTAGAGTAGGAAAAATCAGCTTCCAGATGAAGATGAAACTAGGGAAAGAAGATGGAAGTGGATAGAATATACATTGAGGAAATCATCAAACCGCATCACGAAGCAAGCGCTTACTTGGAATCCTGAAGGTAAACAGTAAAGAGGAAGGCCTAAAAACACACTAGGCCAAGAATTGGGAGCAGACATGAAAAGGATTGCCCAGGACAGGGTTGGGTGGAGAGTACCGGTCGGCGGACTATGCTCCTCAATGAGGGGTAACAGACTTAAGTGAGGTTTTAACGTAAATCATCAGTATTTTATCAGAAGAATTCTCAACAATTTAAATAGTTTTTTTTAATTAGACTTTACTTAGTGTGCCAAAGACCTATATAAGAATGAGTACGGTTTTTGTGACCCGATATCTGACTCCAAATAGGTCATATGAATGATTGTTGTCAAAATATACATCCTGGCTATCCTCGTATATAATTATCAACTTATATCGTGTTAGTGAATAGCCGAATTAAATAAGTCAAATACGATCATAGCTTTCAAATACGTATATTTCTTATAATCGTTGGTTGGAACAGACAGTCATAGAGACGTAGCAAAGGAAACAAAGAGAAAATAGCGAGGCAGGAATGACGCGCGATGGAGAGGGCGTGCAAGCCAACTCGATTTAAACAAGCGTTAATCGATATTTATAGCCAGGTAAAAGTAAGTTACAGACATGTGATGAACACACATACGCTTACATAAAAATATCCAAGGTTGATAGGAGAATAATTAACAAGGTCAAAATATAGCTTATGGAGAATGGATAAATTAGTTTATTCAGAAGCTAGGGTAAGCTGTGTGGGCTTGACATCTGTCAGTCACTGCATACTAATATGAACTCTTTGGTTAAAAAACAGATACATAGGACTAGCCACTAGACGTTGCTTTCATTCAGAAAAACAGTTTTCAAATCAAGAAATTTATGGTAAACACTTTATCTGAATAATATTTAATGCCATTGTACCTGTCAAAAGCAAAAAAATATATTTTGCTTTAGCCATATGATCAATGCTGAATTCAATTTTCAACTAAAGAAATGACCACTCTCCTGTTATTCCATAAGATATTGCATAATGTAATAGAATCATAGAAATATTGAGTATTAAGTTTACTTGACAACAAGATACTGATTGTCAAATATTCCCTCCAGTTAGTATAACTGTCGATTAAGTTGAAATCAAACCAACATCTTAAACTAAAGTTACTGTCTTAGGTATACACGAAAACCTTTCCCTATTAGTTACTGACTAATGGGGTTATAATTACACTCAATTTAAATATAAATAGTCATTCGCTTGTCAAGGAAATTATCTTTTTGAAACGTAAAAAAATCATGAAGTACAAAAATAACATTAATGAACAGTTTGGATTTTTAAGAAACGTCTAGTGAATTAGATTTTACAAACAATCGATAGCGTTTGATTAGCTTTTTATAAAACTACTATAATATGATGGGTTAGAAAAGCAATTAGTGAGACTCAGTATTATAGATTCGTGCTCTATTTGGGCGGCCTGCTTAAACATCTGGGCTACCTGTTTCCCGTCATCTATATATTTCAACAAGTTATCTAATATTGTTTGTTTTAATACATCATTATGGCTATTAAGCACACAACCTATTCCGGTGCGCTTCTGAAAACTGTATAACCTTTCGCTGTAAAAGTTACAAAAGGCCTAATCACAGATGTCGTGTTTGTTGGGAACATGCAGCAAAAAGAATATACATTATTCATATGTCGATTGACTGAACTGCTGACATCCAACTGGCGATCACTGAATGTTTATCATCAGGAGCAACGAAGAAATAAGAAACGTAAACATGTTGAAATACTTTATGCTGAGAATTCGATTTTGTACCAAATAATCTAATATTGAATACAGCTAATAATAATAATTTAAAATATATAGGAACACAGAGATAACAAATAAATAAAAATTTTGTTATCAATAACCAAGTACTGACGCTTATTCAGAACTTGATATAACCTCAATAAAGATAAAATCTATGTATCAATATTTTAATTTGTTAAAGTACATTCGGTTGACAAGTCCCGAATATAGAATAAAAGCGCATTTTAAATTTTCAAAAAGTTGAATTCATGAGTTAATCTAAACTAGACCACCATTGAAAACCTAGAAGTACCGGCCAGTGGTTCCGTCCTAGTGTGGGACTCCTCAGCAATGAGCATTCACGACCCCACATGGGGGACCCGAACGAAGGACCATTTAAATTTCACTATTAACCACTTTCCATCTATTTTATGTTAGATGTCAATTGTATTTAATCATCAAGCGTCTGTAGGCATTCGAAAACGTCTACTTAAAATTAACCCAAAGCCTTAATAATTTCAATGCTTTAAGTTATATAAATTTCAACGAGAATATTTTCCATTGAATTACATAGAAACCCGGTAAAGTCTATAAATTGTATTAGAAAGAACCCACAAATGATGACGTGTAGATTGTCTTAAATAGTGTGTTAAAAAACGTATTTTATCGCCACTGTTTTTTGTTTTTTTTCTAGAAAATGAATCTACCTAATTCAACCAAAACAAACCCTTCATTGGAATGATGAAAGAAGCTTGAATTCTATTTTCAGTTACAACTTCTTAGTAAACTACTACTAATATCTGTTCAAAGTGAATGCACTTCGATCATCATTTCATGACTGCATATTTTTTAGCTTTAATTTAAAAGGATAAGTATCGTGACACTACTTATTTACTGAAAGTGAAAAAAACTACCCTGTCTTTTTTTTAAATATCCTTACTCCTTTGATTCATACTTCCCTACCTACCTACCTACCTATCTATATATTTATGTATCTACTTAATTACCTTACTTACATAACTTATTTATCTGTATAATTTACATCAATGTTAACCCGGCATTGTTAGTCCAAAAGTGAAGTTGTTGTTTAAGAAAATGTGTAGTAATGTATACAGAAGTGATTTTGAATAAGACGGAGAAAAATCAGCAAAATCCTGCTGAATAAGATCAAACTATTTTTTATTCAACGACTTCTTGTGAGGAGAGAATACAAGAGAGAGAAAGAGAGGGGGGACATAAAGAAGGACTGTGAAAGAAAGTTGAAATAAACATAGATTAGGAACAATTGTAAAAAGGAATTGGAATTTATAAACTATCGTGGGATCTAGGAGAAACTAATTGATACCAAAAAATGGTTGCATTTATATTGATTTACATGAAATTACTTTGTCAATGATGATTGGTATCAACGTAAATAAAAGAATTTACAATTCAACACATTACTGATGTACTTTAAACTTATGACAAGTAAGGAAATTCAAAAGAGAACTTAGTTATTTATTTTGAATGTATCGATCAAATGATACCTAAAAAAGCATATATAACCAAGATTTTCGCTTGACAATATAACTTATTTCAGAACGTCCCTCCTTGTATTGATAAAGATTTGTGATAAGTCCGTGTAAGGCTAAAGTAATGTGGATAATAAGTGGTGCTTGAGTAACAAAATATCAGTGTCTCAGTTGGATCCATTAAGTACTATAGTCTTAAATAATTTATGTATTAAAACTTTATTAACCTTTTGTTATCCTAAAATATTCGTGTAAGTCGATATTTTCATGCTTATTAGTTTGTTATTACATGTTAGACATAGGAACATAAAATATGTAAGTCTCTTTACTGTATTGGATTGATTATAAACGAGAACATTGATGATGATTTCGATATCAATATGAAAAATAACTTCTATTTCTCTTAAAAGCTCCTAATCGTCACATTTGTGATCATTATTACAGCAAATGAACTAGATTTTCCCTTCATAACGAATACTTCACAAACTACTACGTACATGCGCTGAAAGGATAACAAAAGAATTTAAGTTGTAAAAAGAAGAGGATGTAATTGTGATATAATTTAAATCATAATATAAGATGTAGATCAATGGTGTCAGTATGATGAAATCAAGTCATTATTTCCAAACCATACTAATTATCTCATGCAATAACAGTAATACAAAAGTAATCATTCCTAGGAATTTATTAACAATTAAGAAAGCAGCTTAGAATAATAGTTTAAGAAGAACAGGTAAAGGGTTTAAAAAAACACACAACGGAAAACTGAGAAGAAAAGACTATATTAAAAAGTTTTTAACACAAGAAAGTCTATACACATCATATAAGATAGAGGAACGAAATGAAGATATAATAGAATATGACAATACAATATTGTTGAATGATACTATTTCTTTTTTCCATTTCATCAAAATAATTCTCATCAAATGATCGTCATGGACATAAATATCATTAACATTAAAGATGAATATATTAGTGAAGTATAAAATGGAATAGAAAATATTGAAACATTGATTAGAAGACCTATTTCGAAGATTCTTCTTTTTCTTCTTTAGAAAGAATAATATTACAGTGAAATAAATTCTATGGAATAAATAGATTTTCACTGGCATATAAATAATAATAGGTAACATGAAAGGTGTTCATACTTGTTTCTGGAGGGGAAAAAATTCACTTCTTTTCATTTCTTTGACAACATTCAGTAGTGCGGCAGAGAGAGAGAGAGAATGATGAAAAATGTAACTGTACATTAAACATAAAAATTATGCATACTTATTATTTGACATTCATTTAATATCATATACAGAATATATATTCAAATACCATAAAATGGAATAAAACACTAATCAATACTATCATTGGAAGACAGAGATATTTTAAGTAGAAGATGGAGGAAAACAGACTATCATCAAGATATATATATATATATATATATATATATATATATAATCGATAAATGTTCCCAAGATTCATTCCATCATTGTTGTTGCCCTTTTTTTTTTCTAAATCAATTTGTTTCAACTACATTGGTTAAAAAAAAAGAAAGTAGAAAAGAAAAAACATGAACAACAAAACAAAAAACATACATATGTATCTATCTATCTATCTATCTATCTAACAACTGAAAAAGATACATCATAAGGATAAAACGTGACTAGAAATTAATGAAATAACATTGAACAATTAATCAATAAATTGAAGAAAAAAAAATTTTTTTTTTACATAAGTTACACATCAAAACTTTATTTTCAAGTAATGTTTAGTATTTGAAAATAAGTAGTATTTACAAGGAAAATTTGTTATTTCCCTTTTTTCTTTTACCAAGTTAACACAATCACTTCTTCAATACATACACTAATATTTCCTTTTTAACCATAAAAAAAAGGTGATTCAACAAATGTCTTTTGTAAAAGTTGATTAATTAAGAATTTGCTAATGTCCTGTGATTGATAAATCGATTGGACATAATGGTGATCAGTTTCCTAGTTTGTTTGTTTGTTTTTTCTATCTCATTTAATATAATCACTAAAAAAGGATAAAATTCAACTGATATTACGTCATAATAATTCAGAGAATTCATATCTATCATAAGTAAATATTGATTTCCTGAATTATAAACAAGATATCCATAATGATGATTAGTAGAATACTGAGTTTCTGATGTTTTGTCTCTTAGTGTAAGTTGTCTATTCAAAGAATAAATAAATAAATAACAGATGAAAACAAAGTTTTTGTATTCACTTTATCTCTCAAATGATCCAAATTAAATAAAGTTTAACAGTCAGTTAGATTAACAAAAATATATAAAGGGACTTTTGTGGAGATTTCAGTAATTTTATAGTTGAAATCATGATTCAGTTAAAGCTAGACCAGCAAGGAAAACCTGGAAGCACTGAATGGACGTTTCGTCCTATTGTTGGACTCCTCAGAAGTGCGCATCCAGTGGTCAAGTGGTTAAGCGTTCACGCGCAAGACTGATAAGTCTTGGGTTCGAATCTCATGAGGCGGGATCGTAGATGCGCCTTGCTGAGAAGTCCCAGAATAATAAGAAACGGCCGTCCAATGCTTCCAGGTTTCCCATGGTGGACTAGCTTCAATTGACCCATGATTTCAACTTTAAAATTAACAAACATATCTTTAGGTTATAATATGTATATAATAAACAATAATGGTATACATATTTTACATAAGCACAACATATTTGAGTATTTACGATATGAGAGAAAATTATATTTCTCAAAGGAATCAAGCTTTTCATTAGAATTTGGCTAATCGGATTGGAAAAATATGATAATGACCACTACTCGGTAGTTAATCAACTAAAAATACCTTAGCCCTATAATAACGTCTTAGACTGTAGGATTGGATAATCTAGAGTTTTAATCCAAAAACGGAACATCATTCCCTTGAAAACTGTATGTACTTCTTGCTAACGAGTAACAACAAATATGACATTTAGGTTAAGGATTTTGTTTAAACTATTTTCAATCGCTTAACATCTTATTTAAAAACTGTTTGTTCAAAAATGAGTGCATAGATTTGTAACTGGTAAACGAGGTATATTTCTCTTTATTGTAGTTATTCAGAGGATTTGTACAATAATCATACAGACAAATGATATAACTCTATGTAAGTAAATAAAAACCTACATAACACCTAGAGTATTAAAAACTTCACTATATATGGACTCAAAAGGTATGTTGTTATTATGGGAACTTAGGCAAATGCTTAAATGATCTTAAAACGTCAATACTTAAATTATGTATAGAAACTACCAAGTATTTTCACTAAAGTCATACAGCTAAGAAATCACAAAATATAAACATATTGTTTAAGATTAATGATAAACTCTTGTTTATATCGTAGTAGATTAGTGATATTTCAGATTAATTTGCATAAAATAAGACAATCACTTTTTTTTAGGGGAGTGATTTATTTATTGTTTTCGGTGAATGAATTTGATAGGAACTTTATGTTTTTCCATTTGTAAGTTAGATGATAATGAAATTAATAAAACTGATAAACTAATTTAAGAAATTTGAGCAAAACAATAAAATCTTATAAAACAAAAGTCAGTCAAGCAGTCAGCTACAACGTAGGACCAGGAACATATATGCATCGGCTCAAGTTGCCATGTATCGTTAGTAAAACAAAAATACAATTCATAAAACTAATAAAGGTATTCTATTTTTATATTATTTTAAACGTTTATCTACATTGAAGCACATCTACATAGATGATAATCAAATAAAAGATGTTTTTAGGTTACGTTGTAATGACTGTATTGTTTTAACTTTAGAATTTCACGTGCAAACATACACGAATAGATACGATACAGCAGTATATTGAACGATTACTTATCTCATCATTTACTTCCTTAGGAAATATTTCATACAGATTACTTTTCACAAATAAATATGAATTTTTTCTTTTAAATGAAAAGATAATTGGAGTTTTTATGTAAGAATTATTACGGAACAAAGGGATTTCATCAAAGTCAAACTGATGTTCATTCCATTAGAATTATTAATCGGAAATTTCTATTCTCTAAAAAATCAACTCGGAATTGTATTGAATAAAATAAAATTGTATCAAACTTGGCATTCACCAAGTTATGGACATGCTGAACTAATGAACTTTGACTTCGAAATAAACTGTCACACTTTTCGTCATTTTAATTAAGTTACTTATGTACAATATAAGTAGTACGCTACAACTAAAGTAAAAATTATCTTCTATTTGATCCAGAGTTTAATGATTAAAAAATAATAATAAACTGGAAGTCATACAGTTTTATAACAGTCTAAATGTGGAATTTCTTTTTTTATACTTTGGAGCAAGATTTTCGACTAAACCTTAAAACTTAATTGTGATAGATTGAGAGTAAACTAATTCAACAAAAAAATGTGCTGAGGAGTCCCATAATAGGACGAAACGGACCTCCATTGCTTCCAGGTTTTTCATGATGATCTAGCTTCATTGGTCCATGATCTCAAATATTAAAAAATATAAATTGATTAACTTGGTAAGAAAAAAAACGTTTTAGCGTTTCACCCAATATTTCGATATGGTATTCAATATATTTGATTTTATAGAATTATTTTAGCTACTGACTGTTATCAGAGTGGTTTCCCCCAAAATTCTACCATGTAATTTTGAATGTTAAACACTGGTTGAATAAAAATCAAATTCCGACTGTTTAACAAACAAGAAGCAGATATACCATATATATGTTAAGCGTAAGAGTATGTGTATCTACAGTCTTGAGCCAAAGACGGTCGATTTTCACAGGACTGTTCTCGTTGTAACTAATATTCTTTGGTTTCATCTGTTAAGTGAGGTATCCTAGAGAGTAGCACATGTATAGGCGTACAACAGTTATTCACAAACGTAGTGAGGAAATAAAATTAACATATAATGCTATTAAACGGACGTTTTTTGGTTACGAAATACATAAATGATAGTGGCGAATTTTCTGAAATGCAAAAATGTAAACCAAAAAGTTTTTACTTAGTAGCTAAATAGTGTCAAGTCTATTTAGAGATTCAAATAGTCTGTGTTTATTAACGTGTGCGAGGCTATGGGCTTGCAACTCTTATGATTCCTTAACTATGACAAAATACCTGTCCCAGTACTTCTTGTTTTTATTCAGTCCCATGAGTAATGACAGTTGATGACTGAATTTAAAACAATTATCATCTATAATTTTTATTTGCTTGTCACACAGTATTTGTGGAACGATTCCAAAACAAATCTCGATAACGGTTTATTTAACATGTACAGATATTGATAGTTAAGTAACTGATATGTAATACATATGCATAACTAAATTTCTAAATCTTCGGCTAACTCACGGGGTTTGGGGCTTGCATCCTATCCAGGTCTAGAAGATCGAGAGGATCCAGATTTAAAATGACGAGGTGTACGGGAATGATTCACAAAGCCAGAAGTTGTAAGTGATGCAGATTCCTCATGAGATCGTTGTCGTCCTACAGAACTACTACTGACGTTTTGCTAAAATGATAAAATATACCCATTCATTGAAAACAAATCATAATTGCTACAAAATATTATCCAATACCAAAACGTCGAATTTCAAACGTTATCTTGTGATCAAGTTTGATTCTTATGTAAACATTGATGAGTGAGAAAAAATGGAATAACACCGCAGAATATACCAAGAAATGTGTAACATTTAAAATCAAATATAAATCATGTAGGCAAATTGCTGAAGTACAGAAGATCTTTTTAAACAGCCATTGCTGCTTATTTCACATAAACTAATCAGCTACCCACATCATCAATCCTTACAAAATGAACATCCAACGACCTATCAAGACGTAAGTGACCTCCGATTGTTTATGATGGAAATAAGATCGAAAATTTTCGTATATAGGCATACACCATTAAAAAGGATTCTGTCACTGGAGTCTTTACTGATAACCACATGCTTTTAAAAATAAGGACAAATAGGAGGGGGGATACGGTAGGTAGCAACTTCAAGGTTGTATGTAGTTGAGAAATTGAAAGTTTCGTGAAGAAAAATATGATAAGTTATATGAAAGATAATAATCCTCTTTCGTAAAACGTTATTGGGACCCGCCTCAACGATTATTATGAAAAGAAATACAAATGCAACTAATCGCTTATCGCAGGTGGACATAGTTATCAAAGCTAAAAACCTTAATGTCCTCCTGTGTATATCATCGTACGATTGTTTTTCTATCAATCATTCCTTTCAAGGACACAATTTATGTTATTTTAGCTTTCAAACATTTGATAAAATGGTATGGAATAACTTATAATAGGTTACAACAACAGATTTTATCAATCAATTGAGAATAATCCACCAATTTGCTTTTGAGTTCGGTGTTAAGAATTGAGATTTTGAAAGGTAAGCAAAATTGCATTCTTTTGACTATCCCATTACAGAGTAGATAAATAAACTGGAACCATGAAAAATTCGAAAGCCTAATCGTATTTAAATTTATATTAATTCATGACTAGTAAAGTTCAGACATGTCGAAAGTGAAACAAAAGGTTGCCAATGGGGAAAAAGTGTTGGTCGAGCTATAAAACAAAAACAAATTTACGTTCGTATTGTATCACCAGACGCTGGTCGAATGATTCTAATGGGTAAACATTATCTTTGAGACCTGGTCTTAGGTTAGATTTCTAGTAGGTTCGTGAATGTGGATTCCTGAGTAGTATATCATTATCGTAGGATGAAATATTAGCCAACTATTCCCCAGTTTTCGACAGTATCTCAACTGAAATCAATATGTGACAAGTACAACTTACAAACTTACAGTCAAGTTTGTTTATTAGGTTGGTTTTACCAGTAAGCCATTATCAAATGACTACCTCACACACGTTCATTCGAACAACAATTTGTTTGTTCAATTCGGAGTTGTAAAAACAAATTTGCCGATGTCAGATTCAAAAAAACTAACTTAACTATATAAAGATATGTTGACACAAACTGTGAACGTTGTCGATAAAAAAGTCTCCACAAAACCCCCTTTCAATAATGATCATATGCTCACTAGTGACTGGCTACAAGAGGTATTCCCTGGAGTTCTAGTGAGAAGCAGTAACCAGTGGAGTTCAACCAGGTCTGTTGGGAGATATCAACTTATTGGACACATTAGTGAATGGTTGCTCAATTTCGTGGATCGGTTGAAGTTAGACATTAACACCGTTGAATGCCAGCTCAGTGCTCGCGCGCGAGACCGATAGGTCCTGGGTTCGAATCTCGCGAGGAGGGGTCGTGGATGCCCACTGCTGAGGAGTCCCACAGGAGTCCCGAACGTAATAGATATTATTCTTTAAAAACTATAGCAGTAAATTGAAGTAAAATATCAAGTTTTATCCCATTCTAACAAATGATTATTCATTAATGAATAAATTTAAAGTTTGTATACTTATAATATGACTTATACCAAAAAACCCCGTTTATTTGTAGGTAATACTTCACATATACTTACCTTCCAATTATTACTTTTGACTGGTTTTGATTCACCTAATGTTGATGGTGATAGTATAGTTGAATTTTCTTGAACACTTCCACTATTACTCGCAATTTGAGTACCAGGATTAACACTGGAACCTAGTCCTGAAGTTGTATAGTTTAATTCTGGATCATCTACTATATGTTCTGAATCATTATTATTAACAAATAATCTATGTGAGAAATGATTTGATTTTTTGCATAAACCATTTAATGAGTCAGTTAATGATTGAACATTATGAAAATTATTTGGAGAATGGTTTATTTCATGAAATGAATTAGTTAATAATAATAAGGATTTTTGTAATCCATTTACTGTATAATTGTGGTCGGTAATCTCCTGGAAAAGAGAAAAACAAGCAAAAAGGAAAAAATAGATTAACTGAGATTATAAAATAGAATTCTAAATTAACTAAAAGTGAGAAGTTAGAGAGTGAAACTGAAAAAAGCTTAAAAGACTGAACTGTAAATACTGTCTGTATGAAAGTATAAACTATTGTTTAACTGTCAAAACCAAAACCGCTAGGTAGTAACATACTGCTATGTCGGGATAAATATCAAGCAAAAATGAACTCCGGGAACTGTCTTACCAGCAGTTGTTGGTAATATTTTTATTGTACAATTATTAAATACTTAAATTACTGTATTTTCTTACTTCTAAACTTTTGTTTAACATATAAGCTATTATTGTGTGCTATACTTCAATGTCATTTGTTTATAACTATTTATTCTTAATGGAAAGTGGAGCTTATCCAAATGTTTCTTGAATAAAAGCTTCACAAAACGGTGATCGCATGAAATACTTTTGTTTCATTGTAAGTACCAATGTAATATTATTTTCTATCATATTGAAAAAGATAAGTAAAATGTGATACCTGAATTTCGTGATCATTTGATGAACGATCTTTCACAATTCTGGAATCTGAATCAGGATTTAATACTTCACGAATTCTTTGTCCAAATAATATAGAATTAGAACAAGCATTTTCATCTACTACTGACGCGTTCATTGTATTATTATGCTGTTCTAATTCAGCTCGAACCGCTGACAAAGCAGCCTCTAAACGTTTACCATGTTCAGTTAATTCTGTTTGAGAAGCAATCTATTCATCATTTTGTAATGAAAAAAAATTCGAGAATGTTATATTCATTTGGCTTTTAGGTAAAAACAAAGTGGTGACAAATTATAATAGTATTTTAATATACATGCAGATACACAACAAGTACACGAGGAAACAAACATTTACATAGAATTAACAAAGAAAAAATAAATAAGTTGTAATCATATTCATTGTTGACTACCTTCTTTGGTTGACCACTGATATAATAGTTGACTGACTTTATTCATATCCCCATAGTTGCATGATTACTTCGAATGTAATTGTGTAATATATATAAATAACTAACAGTGTTACCATTTCAATAGTTCATTCCATTTAAAATTAAACACTGTAGGAAATTAGAGAAAGGCAACACTCAACTGATAACACAAAGACAAAATGCCTTGAAGAAACTCAGAACTAGAGAAGAAATTTAGTTCCAGCAGATATAGGACGTACTGCAGTAACTATGGACAAAGAAGAGTACATCAGGAAAGCCGAGGAACTAATTGACGATAAAAGGTATATAAATCAATGGACAAATCTAATTAAAAGGTTAGACGATATCTCAATGACTTTATATAAGCTTGTCAAAGCAGAAAAATATCGAAACAAGAACAATGAAGAATGTCCAGTTTCATCACACTTCTGAACCCCAACGTACAATCTATCGAGAAAAATTTCAAGAAAATTGAAACATTTACTGGATTAGTTTAATCACTCCATTAAATTTCCCATACAAATAATGGATAAAATTAAGGAGACTCAAATCAACAACGACGAGCTGATGAGATCCTTCGACGTAACAGCTTTATTCAACTCAATTGTACCAAGCTTAAAAAAGAAAAATCTATTCCTGCTCCTCATCAATGACAAAAATCTTCCAAAGTATACGAAGCTTTAAAGTCCATGTCTACTAAAACTCATCAATTTATGCTAAAAACATAATTTCAATTCAACAATAAAATCTGCGAACAACAAAAAGAACGCCGATGGGATCACCAACATCAGGACTTATTGTAGAAGTAGTAGTGCAAGGGATGGAAGTCTCAATTTTACCTATGATGAAGCCGAAAATGTAGATTCGCTATGTGGATAACAGATTTGTCATCCTCAAAAGGGAAGAACCGGAAGACAGCTACAATCTGATTACAAAGATCTTCGATGACATGAAATTCACAGTGAAAAAGGAGTCTAACAACAAACTATCATACATACTTACATGCATTAATCACCAGAACAGACACAGGAAAACTAGAGACTTATATATTTCGGAAGTTAACCCATACAAATCAAATTTTCAATCACAGTAGCAACAAATCCAACTGCGTACAAGCTTTATTCAAGAGGGCGGGAACATACTAAAGAGCGGAAAAAATATAAAGGCTATCCTTCAAAATAATGGCTGCCCACGCAACTTCATCAAAAATATCAACCCAACTTATCAGCAGAAACGAAATCCAGTAAAGAAACCAACGGGCGGATCATCTACCATATGTAAAAGACACATCGGAAATTACGACGAGATTATTGAAGCAGTTTTGAGTGGGTGTAGCACAAAAACCATCAAATTCACTTCAACCAATCCTATGCAAACCAAAAGACAAAACGAGAAAATAAGAAAAACCAAAAATCATCTATAAAGTAAACTGTTCAAATTGCGAAAAACACTATATTGGACCAGTTGGATGCTCCCTTCATCTTTCCCTTTATGAACACCGATTAGCGGTCAAACAACATGACATGTCTTCGGTTATATCAATGCATGTGGATAACTGTGGACACAGCCGACTGAGAAAATATTGAAATATCGGATAGAAGGAATACTAAAGACGCCAGGGAACTTTCAGACGCTTGGCACTCAGGTAAATCATTGTTCAACAAATACATCGAGATCGATTCAATCTATCAACCAATCAGAAAAATTATGGACAAATATGGGAATCGAACCAATGAGAGATACAATCAAAATAAAGAAGTAAACAATGACAGGTTAAAAGTCAACAACAATCAATCAGGATCGGGGTCTAAAGGGAAAGTTGTGAGTCGTATGTGGAGAAACTGGAACACTACACTTCTACTTGAAGTTTGTGCTGATGATGTCGTTCAGAAGAACGATGAAAGCTCCACAACTAAACCATCCAGCTGAGAGAACAAAACTCCAACAAAATAGTTCATTCTATTTACAATTAAACATTATGGAGATTAGAGAAAGATTATAATGTTCAATGATTAAAAAACTCAACTCCAGTTATATCGTGAAAATAGATTTTAAAACAAAACAAAATCTGTGTATCATTGATTATTCCACACACACACACACACAATGATCAGTATTTCACAACAAGGAATTGACAACTTGTTAACCGTAAGTTAATAAAAAAACAAATGAGGAAAAGAATGTCATGATGACGTCAATTTGTTATGGATAAATAAATGTTAACGCAAATAAATGACAAAATAATGACAAATACCCTTCACCATGATGAATTTGTATTGAATGTAAATAAGCATGCGTTCTCATTAGCTCTTAAAAAAAATGTAAAGACGTGCATTTTACAAATGTAATACAACAATAACTAGACATGAACAAATAGGGGAAAAAAGATTTATTGAAAAAAATGGAAGAATTTATTTGCTTGTTTTTTAATTACCGTAATCACTTCATCCATAAGAATTCCATAAGTGGTAATCTTGTATAGTAAAATAAAGGAAGATATTAAAGAAATATACACATATTAAAATATGATCATTTGAATGAGTAGCTATGCGATTCAGTAGTATATAGGTTTGACGACTAATTTTTTAAAAATAAACTATAAAACCTTTAAATGGATATTTAGTATTACTTGTTTGAATCTTCCGATGGATGTGTTAAGACTGAAACTGGTCAATCTCTAATTGGCATATGTGCATACTGTACGTATTGCCTCGATATAGCCTTAATTCACAAGCATTGTAAGCAAAGATGGATAGTGGCTAGCAGTGGAATCCAGGACGCGCGTTTCGTCCTATTTGAAGCGAAAGGTACTGGGTTTGAGTCCCAGAGTGAACATCAACTCTGAGATGCAGGTACATCCAGCTGACGAGTCCAAAATAGGACGAAAGTCGTGTCCTGGGTTCCACTGCTAGCTGCTATCCATCTTTGCTTGAAATGGATATGTTGTAATTTTGATAATTCACTTAGAAATTCAATACTTAGATAAAATTGAAATACACTTAAATTACCTAATGAATAATCATTATTTGATTAAAAGCATTACGCCAAAATACTAAAACAATTCCTGACTACCATAATAATTATTGTATTTGTTAATGAACTGTTATAATAAGTATACAACACGACTTGACAATTCTCAAATTAAAACAGTTAACAATTTTCGGGAAGCAATCGACCGTTCACGATATAAACGATTTCTAGGTGAATGATTAGTCTACAGAAAAAAAACTAAACAAGTGGATAAAAAGAAGAGTTTATGTATAAGATCATAGCATAAATACCATTGCCTAGCTACTCTCTATGTAACAGTGAAAAAGTCTAAAAAAAAGAACAATTCTTCGGGAAAAAGAATAAAGAAATCATTATGATTAGAAAAAAAAGAGAAATTATATAGATTAAAGTACACTAATGGTCAACCTACCTGACTTTTTAGTTGAGCATATTGACGTTTAGCTAAAGATAATTGTTCCGTTAGATCACCAGCACGATTACATTGTTCTTCAGCAACACGTTCTAATTCAGCAACTTCACGTGCTGTACGACGTTTTAAACGTTTCGACTCACGTTGAGCAGCTATCAATGCTGATTTGGTATCCATTAAAGCTTGTAAAAGATTACTATTGTTATCATGTAATTTGGTCACATTGTCAATTTTCAAATCATTAAACTGATTGTAAGTTGGTTGTTTATTTCTATCGTCTAATCGTGAAGCAATTTGCTGTTGTTCTATAAAAAGAAAATGAAATAAAGTTCTTTGCAGTGAGCAAGAATGCAAGTAATTTTTACTGTTAACTTCATGGAAATGTTTAATTTTAGTTCAGTCACAGTAAACAATCAATACTGAAAGAAAATGTTGTAACTTTAAGGTGAGTAGACTTATTGTATCAAATAGTACTTATATATTAATCTACTTTTTTAAAAAGAAACTATTAATTTGAGGCAATACAATTTCTAAATTGTCTCAATAGCCCAACCAAAGAAACAACTTCTTAGTGTTTGTTAATTTTTAAACTGACCAAGGTATGTTATGGGAATTTATCGTCAAGTAAGTTAAGTTTTTGTTATGATTGTCTACAAATGTAAACTAATAGACGGATAGAATTGTGATAGCATTTTTGTCCTGGAAACTATTACATTTTTAATTATCAGAAGGGGTTTTATGGAGATTTAGTATGTTTCATAGTTGAAAGCATGAGTCAATTGAAGCTAGACCATCAAGGAAAACCTGGAAACACTGGACGGCCGTTTCGTCCTAGTATGGGACTCCTCAGCAGTGCGCATCCACGAACCAGTGCTCGCGAGATTCGAACCCAGGACCTACCAGTCTCGAGCCAGAGCCCTTAACCGATAGACCACTGAGCTGGCATCCAACGGTGTTAATGTCTAACTTCAATATTACATTTTTGCTTGTTTGTTCTACTTCTTTCTAATAACATTGATGAGAAAACGATGAAGAGAATATTCTACTCAAATTTCAGGGATGAACCAAACAAAAGTACAAAAAAGGACTTAGATGCAGTAGACTGGGTAAACATTAATGAAAGAGAAAAAAGTAAGCAGCAACGTCTTAAATAAATTGAACTGAGATGTAACACATAACATCAACAACAAATTCTTATTCGGTCAAAAACAGCCAGATTATTGCAAGCTGATATAATATCTACTCAGTATAATTATAGAAATTAAAAGAAATAATAATTCAGTGAATAAATATTTTATGGGTAGCATTTAATCACCAATTTTTTCAGAATGAGGATTCGTGGAGATGGTAGTAATTTTAACAGTTCAATCCATTAGTCGATCTAAGCTAGACAACTATTGAAAACCTGGAAGCATTGAACGGTCGTTTCGTCCTAGTATGGTACTCCCCAGAAGTGCGCATCCAAGATCACGCACGCAGGACTCGTACATAGGACCTTGAGTCTTACGCGTGAACTCTCAACCTCTAGACCACTGAGCCGGCATCCAACGGTGTTAGTTTCTAACTTCAATCGATCTATGATCTTACGCAACCATTCATTCATTGTTTGAGGTGGATAAGTGTCTCACATCCAACACGGATTGAACTCCACTGATAACGGCTTCTCATTAGAACTCCAGGAAATCCATCTTGAAGCTAGTTACCAGTGAGCACATGATTATTATTAGAATGAGGAGTTGTGGTAATTGTAGTAATTTTAACAGGTAAATTCATGAGTAGAAATAACAAAACAGTTTTCTATTCATTTTTTATTTTCTCCTTCCTCCAATTCAGCAGATTGTTTTTATAATTTAATTTGGAATTATACCGTTTAATGATAGAACAATAGTCTTATTTGGTGGATCTTAAAAGACAATTTTATTGATAATGAAGGAAATGTAACAAACAAACAGAATAGTTCTTCATAGAAAACGTGACCCTAGATTCTGATTAATTGTTAATTCAAGGGTTGTTTATGAATAGATTTCTAACAAAATCATATTACTAATTTAATAAAAGTAATCATTGACAAAAATAAAAAAAATCGTACTGCATTTTTCCAGTTCCTTCTCTAATTCTGGACTATTGGATTTTATTCGTTCTTTTTTGATATATTCGTTCTGTACAATACAAGAAGAAAAGGAAAACGATAACGAAGAAGTAACAACGAAAGAATAGTTAATTCCAGCAAGAAAATTGTGTAATTTTGTTTTTAAATATATTCATAAAATCTAATATAACGGTCGATAGGCTAAGCATCGTAAATGATAATGAATAACAGATTGACCTTCTTTACACAACCACTGAAAGCCGGAAAACATTGAATGTCGGTTTTCTGATAGTACAGGACTACTCATCACTCGTCAATATATACCCACAACCCTATAGGGGATAGAACACGAGATCTTCCTGTTTCGTAGCAAGGAACTGACCTCTAAACTGAGCATTCGGTATCCAATAGTTGGATATATATCCAATCATCTTTCATTAATATTGGCGAGTAATCGCTTTAAATCCGACAAAGTAAGGTTGCATTGATAGTAGCTTTACATAAGGCCTGCAAAACTATCTTGAAGTAAATCGATAAAGAATAGAGAGTTGAAGGTCTTAGGCGGGCACTTCTGAGAAATCCCATACTAGGACGAAATAGCTATGTAGTGTTCCTTGGTTTTCAATAGTACTTAAACTAAGATCATATTGTAAAGAATACAGCCTGAAAACTGAACCAATCTTCATAAAGCTTTGTTGTGTGTTAATCTATCTTTCTTCATTTATTTAAGCAAAAAAGTAGAGAAGGAAATAAAGTGAAAGAATAGTATTAAAAAAAGCAAATAATCACCTGTAATGTATTTAATTTTTCACTGACTTCATTCAATTTTAAAGATTTCTGTGATAATTCTGATTCCACTGATTCTAAGTGTTGACGTGTATTACGTAGACGCTTAAATAAATTAAGAAGTAGATAACAACAAATAAATTACATGAAATTATCAAAGAGCATGAAGAGAAAACAGAGTTATTAATAGAGAGAGGAATATATTGTATACCTTAGAATTTAATCTTCATATTCAACAATCTCGATATATGAATAAAACAAAACAAACATTACAATTGATCAGTCTCTTATTGGCATATGTGCATCCTGTGAGGATTGCCGCGATATCGCCTTAAGTCACAAGCATTATAAGCAAAGATGGATGCCCTCAACATCAATGGAAAGATAAAACAAACAACACAAAATGAAATAAAACTTAACCCTATTGCACAAGCTAGTGGATATCTGGACTAAGTAGCTAAGTGGATAACTTGATGGCGTTTGAGGTGAACGGTAATATATCGAGTCCTGGAGTGAACACCAACTCAGAGATGCATGTACATCCGACTGACGAGTCCCAAATAGGACTAAACAAGCATCCAAGATTATACTGCTAGCCACCATCCACCTTTGTTTATTATTTTGCTTATTAAATTATAACAAAATATACTTTAAAAAATCTATAGTGAACTGTAGTATATTTCTTAGGTTTAATTGTTTTGTTTAACTGTAGGGCTCAAGGTTTCCTACCGACTGCTTTCAACCATTTTTACATCATAACATAGTGTGTAGAATGTTAAATGATTTAGAGGCATTGGTTATAATGGAACTTAATCGATCGAATTCAATAATCAACCATTGGAAATAGTTTGTCATTGGGTTTCGTCACATCTCAAGTTGATTTACCCGATTAATTTGCTTTACCATACTTCACGTATCAGCTACCTGTAATGAACACTGATTAGAATGTAGGTGTATTTAGTGATATCTACAAAATATAACTTTTTGAATAGAAATGGTTATTGAATGGTGCATTCATATGTGAAACATATAGTCTAAAGAGATAAGACTATTTAATTTAACCCAGTTATTATATATTTCTTAAAGCAAGTCGTCAATCATTACTGTTAAGCAAAAAAAGACACTGCTTGATTATATGTTCTGCGTAAAATCGAGACAAAACGGTAGAGTTTTAAATAATCTCTTGCTGAATAAACTCTTATCATGACTAACAAAAAAATTAAAGCAAAAATTAAAAGAATTATGTAGTAAAAAGTATTGAAACTTACCTCATCTAAATAGTGTAGTTCATTGTCTTTCGACATTCGTAAACTATCCAACTCCTGTATTCATATTTATAATAAAATGTATGAAATAATAAACAATTGTATTAAACTGAATGAATTTGAGATATACAACATGTTCATTACAACTATAAGAAAATATTATTATTGTTTGTTTTAATCTTACCATTGGTGTTTAGGACTGCAGTCTATGTAGCAATAGGTCTCAATGTACCTCAAGGGAAAAGTAAGAACCTGAACTAAAATACAGTGAACAAAGGACAATTCACACTCGATGGAGAGGCCTGAGAATAGGTGGAAGTTATCAGGTACTCGGTCAGGATCATTTATAAACAACAACGATCTTATGAAAATGTCTAATCACTCCATAACTACAAATCAGTACTATTTGTTGTTATTCTAAATGTATATATTGTAAGTTATTTGCTAACACCTATTTCCATAGATAAATTTAGATAATATTACACACCTTTGAAAAATTTTATTTCCTTATAAGGCTATTTATTAATTGATTCATGACTAATTTGATTCAGATCATGATTATTTTACGTTGGATTTTTTAAAATTAAAGATTGATCTCTATCATATTGTTCTTTTTGTTAATATTGTTCAACTTGTATATTTTCATAATTTTCTTTGATCATATTGTAAATTACTATGAAAGCCTAATCCATTTTCATTATGACTTGTATATAATGACAATACTAAGATAATACACTCTGGATTCACATATGTCAATGGAGACTGATCAAATGTACTCCTTAATATCGACAATGGGAAAACCAAGGTCTATATTATATATAGAGTTCCAAGTTACTGACTATCTGGACTTTGCACAGTGGATAATGCTTTAAGCATTCGAATCGAAAGTAATGAGTTTAAGCTTCATTGTGAACATCAACATCAGTGTACAGATATGTTCAACTACCTGACGAGTCCCGAAGGAGACGAAATACGGAGGCAATTACTAGTCAAAATCCACCATTACTTATGTTTATTTATGATATATATTTCTAGTGTTATAACTATTAGCTACTTTTTTTGGTTTTCGATGTGTTTTTTTAGTAATATTATTAAAAGGCTGACCTATGTTTGAGTAATTTTGATTTACAACATGAAAAATTATGGCAGACAGAAAACGGATTAACATGGAACACCTAGTAAATAAATAACTATTCAACTTTTCATAGTTGAAATCATGAGTCAATTGAAGCTAGACCACCAAGGAAAACCTGGAAGCACTGGACGGCCGTTTCGTCCTAGCATGGGACTCCTCAGCAGTTCGCATCCACGATCCCAACTCGCGAGCGAGATTCAAACCCAAGACCTACCAGTCTCGCGCCACAGCACTTAACCGGTCGTCCAGTGCTTCCAGATTTTTCATGGTGGTCTAGCTTCAATTGACTCATGATTTCAACTATGAAAATACTGAAATCTCCACAAAACCCCTTCTAACTATTCAACTCTTACTATAAACAAAACCTCTATTCAATGGGATAAATAATCATTTGATTGAATAATGAAATTTCATATATATGTAAAGAATAATTTAACAATTAGGGTTAACCATTTAAGTCATAAAATTATGAGCACATCTTTTACACAATCTACTATCAAAAGGTTATTCATTAATGACACAAATTGAATTGGAATAGGATGTGAAACAAATAAAATTACTAAACAAAACAACACTGATAGGAAAATGACTTATTCAACAAAATATTTACATAATATATATGTTATATGAAGTGTGTTGTGCAAATGATGTGCATGTGTGAAGGTTATTTTTTACTAAGTGCTTAAGTAAGTGTAATAATAAATAGGATATTACAGTGTGTGTAATTGTAAAGTACAAGGTTTCATGCATAGAATACGACCCCCATCCAGGTTACTTTATACATCTAAATTGTATTAGGAATGAACAGTAATGACTTAGAGAAGATAACAGATTATCTTAAAAGAATAAAAAAACTTAATTTAACTAATAATCATATGCTAGAATTTACTTAACAAATCAAAGTAAATGATACAAAAAACTGTTCATCGCCTTTCCTGTGCATTTTAATGTGCACAAAATTCAAAAAAACTAATTATGTAAGTGTAGCTTACTACCACACGATTAGTTGATAAAGAACGCTTCCTGTAAGTCTAAATGAAAATAGTGAAAAGAATGAACAATGTAAGAAAAAAAGAAAACAACTGACATTGTCCAATATTCTTATCACTTGGGCATCAGAATAAAATTGTATAATTGAAAGTCGCTTATTAATTAAATTAATTTTTTGAAAAAACATGACTGTTAATTGGTCAAAATCCTCAATATGAATGTCAACACTGTTCTACTGTACGGAGATGAAACTTGAAAAACTACTACAACCATCATCAAAAAAGTACAGGTATTTATAAACAATTGTCCACACAAAATAATCAATGTTCGTTGATAGAATACCATCAGCAACAGACTACTGTCGATGGGAACAAACCAACTTTCTAATGAAGAGGAAATTGAAAAAAGATGTTGGAAGTGGATAGGACATATATAATGAAATCATCACACTGCATCACGAGACAAGTGCTAACATGGAATCCTGAAGGGAAACCAAAAAGAGAAAGGCCTAAGAACACACTGCGCCAAAAATTGGAAGTATACATTGAAATGATTGATAACAACTGGAAAAGATTTCCCAGAACAGAATTGAACGGAGAATGCTAGTGAGCGTCCTTTTCTCCTGGAGAAGGGGTAGCAGGCGTAAGTAAGCAATAATAAGTAACAAATGACGAAGAAAAGAGAAGCTTTGAAGTAAATACTTATGTGTTAGATACAGAGTGATACTCAGTAGCCACATTCAGTAGGATATACTGTTCTGTAAGTCATACTAAATATATATATATATATATATATATATAAATTTGTTTACTCTAGTTACAATGAAAAACTTAGACAAAACAATAAAACTAACTTCTTCAAGTATCTTTTTCTCTGTTTGTATTTTATTTAATTTGTTTACAGCACTTTTAAGTGCTGCTTCACTAGCCTCCCTACTTTCATCTGCTAATTCTTTAGCTAATCTTCCTGTATGTACCGCTTCTTCTAAATGATTTAATTCGTCTGATAGAAGGACACGTTGACGACGTTGTTCATTGAGACTTGATTCAATTGATTGTTTCAAATCATTTGCTTTTTGTAAACGTTGCCTAAATATACATTACACAATCAAATGGAAATAGGTGTGTGTATTACGAGTAATTTATTAATGAGGAAATTGAAAAGAAAATGTATTTCATATATTAAAACAATTAAAAGAAACCTGTTTACATGAACAATGGAATAATACCATAATTTTCAATACAACTATTGGATATGATATAGTTTCAAGGATGATAAAGAGAGTGAAGTTTGGAAAAAAAAAATCCATGAGACTAGGTTGGAATTACAGTTAATCAAATTTTAAAAAGTGGAATAAAGTCTGTTGTAGATTCAACCAACAGAAAAACTTAATACATATGATAAATATGCCGTCGAATATATCTATCGAGTTAAAATGTAGTTTTCCAAAACTCAACGTAACCATAATCATTATCAAAAGTATAGCATGATTCAATTTACTTGGATAAACGAACATAGAGTTTATAACAGTATAAATTGTGGATTTTAAGTTCATTATTTGGTAGGAAATCATGTTTCTCCTTTTTAATTATCGGAATTAACCGGTACGAAGATCAAGTATTACATTAAGTTTGTTAGTATCAACCAGGGTAGTTTTTCAGTACAACCATAAAGAAACACATGTTCTCAAATAAATCTAAACATAGATCATTTGGAGATGTTGTCGATAACTAACATAAAAAATTTTTTTCCTTATGAAATTGAATCACATACACAAACCAGAGTAACGGTGAGACTCATTGTCTAATACTTTGTAAAGACTGATGAAACAATGACTGAATAATATGTCTTTGATCACTATAAATTCTTATTATCTGTAATAACTCAAATGTAAAGTAAGAGTTACATATATCATAACAAGTTTATTTGAGGATTATCACTTCACCCGTTTATTTATATACACAAATGATGAATAACAACAACCATTGGTAAGAAGAGTCAGTCAATCACAACGTAGAACTCGATGGAAGACAAAGAACGGATGCAACTAACCCACTGCAAACGATTTTGAACCATGTCATTCAAAGTCCCTAACTATTGGTTACGATAATCCCATAAACCTAAACTAGTTACTCTACATATATTAACATGGCTTAGTCTGATAATTAATAACTTTATGGACCGATAACACGTTTTGGTTTGGTTAACTCTAGTTTTCTTCTAACCAACTCCTACACCAGAAAACATCGCCCATCGAATTAGGCGGTGGTTGGGCATATAAGACACATGTTTCAACAACTTTAGTTGATAGAGATTTACTACCTCATCAATCGATTCCTCATCTTTACCTATGAACCTATTTCTAACCGGAACATTGCCTACTTGGGTAGTCTCAACATATACGAGTAATGTTTTGAAGACATTTGTGGTCGAATACTAGAGACCTACGAGTATCCTCCATTATTAATAACAATATTTCACATCTAAAAAGTAGAACATCGTGAACATCTGTGCGGTAAACTAGTTCTTTGGTTGCCAGACGGATATCTCGCCTACGCCACAAGTGACGCAAGCTGATAAAAGTCAGTTAACCTTTCTGAATCAGTGTCGATATTTCGTCAGATACCGGAAAATAGGAACTGATGGTACTCCCTAGATAAGTGGAACGGTAAATATGTTCAACTAAGTCACTCCCTATCATTAATTCAGCCAACGCAAGCAAATTCTGAAACAAAATTTTGTATTTTGAAGGAGAGAATCTCATCCCAAACATGTAAAAGTAATACTTCCCAGCTCCTTAAAAAACTGTAGAATTATGTCATTTATTTAAACGTTTGTCAGTATAACATGTAAGTTCTTTACCGACTATCTCTGATCAACTAACATCCCGATATAGTGTCAAGCCACGTACTCTGGACAAAAGTAAAAGAATTCACAACCAGTATCAAAGACCAAGCAAACATGATCATAATCACTACACCGTAACCGATCAACTGAAAATATGTAGACAACTAGCAGGAAGAAAAAAAACGGACTTAACTTACTGAGCAATATTTAATTCATCACGACTATCAGATGTTTGTTTGGACATCCTATCACAATCAGCCAGAGCTGCATTACATTCAATGTTTTTCTGCCGCAGTAAATTAGATGCTGATTCAGATTCCGCTTTAATTAGTGCTAAAGTTAAATTAGCTTCAGAGATAGAATCATTTAGCTGGACTTTTTGGCTAAAGTTAAAAATAAAAACAATAAAAAGTAAATATTTTAAATATTGATAATTTGAACTTAATCGAAAGTCATAAACGATTTTTTTGTTTACTCAACTGCAGTCACTAACATGACAGGGTGGTAAAGCTTGAATATTGCAATGATTTAAACGATATAAATGAGCGAGAACATTGATTTCTTTAAGTCTTATCATACTAGGCAGGAAAATTGTAAGAATAAAAGCAGCAGATTAGATTTCGAGAGGAACGTTGTACAGATGGATGTATCATGAAGTGAAAGCAGTAAAGTGATTCTTTCACCTAGCCAGCATCTCCAATGATGCCACCTTCTCAAAGCGGAAGAACTGGATAAAGAAGGTCAGACTTAAATGAAAAAATTTAACGGATCCAAAACTATTCATAAAAATGACGTGTACGACCGACCTCAAGCAGTTGTCCTATTTAACTCTATAGTCACACTTCCACGTCTCTAAGACCATCCACAACCGAGTTTTCTTATTGAGTTCTTCAAGAAGAAGTGTTCACCCATGATGTCAGCCACCGGGAAGAAACAACCAATTTCGCACCTCTGACAGCACTAAAAGTTATTTGTAATATGTGTACCATAGTAATGAAAATCTTCTATTAAATAAATCACACGTTTGAGTAAGTTGTTGAATGGTAGTTAGTGTTTCATAATCTTAATATTTCTATTGGTTTCTTTCATAAACGATAACACTGATTAATGTAGAAGAATATATACATCAGATTAAAGAAGATGACACGATCAACTGAATTTCCACTTGTAACAATCCTCTTTCAAACTAGTCTAAAATGAATCAATATCTTTGAGTAACCTAATTTTCCAACTACTTTTTTTCTATCAACTTCATATAAACACATCATGTTATGTTATACAAGTGTGTGAAAATAAATATTAGTGACCTATAGTGCAAAAAATCAAAAAAGGAAACTAATAGTCTTGGACATATGCACTATATCTGGTATAACAACGACTACACAACTACTGCTACAAGTAATGTTATGAGAGAAAAAAAACCCAATTTTTCCGCTTGTTAAAAGTTTACCCGAACGTTTAGGTAATTAAATGTCAAATGTAAGACTGATGTTACTATAGTAACTCCAAACTATATATCGTAAAATGTAACTTGAACAAAGTATGTATACCGTGCATTCAATAAGATTACTGAATTTCTTGAAGTAAATTGTGAAGTCCAAAGATTTTTTTCAAGGTTAAGTGCTTAATAATTTTCCTTTTATTACTGCAAAAATAGTACTATTAATAATCGTTACGTAGAACTAATTCAATACAGTTATATAACTTTATCATTGTTATTACCATAGAAAAAATAGACTTTAACTGTTACTGTAGATGTTAAATTATCAGGAAATGATGTCTATCCTATGCTCCTACTTTGAATTTATGTTAACTCTGATAATTATACAGAAAATACTATAGACTAACATAAACTACATAGAATTTCAGTAAAATATGCAAGACTAAGGACAAAGAAACTACTTCATTTGAATAATAGAATAAAGAAAGGCAATGTGTCGACCTGCCCATAAATGCCCTCTAAACGAAGAGGGTGGAGAGAGTCAGCTCTTCCTCTCCAAATACTCTCACATCGCCACACATATACAGCCGCTATCAAGGAAGTCATATTCACAGCTTCCTCGCAGAAACGATGTTGTTGACGAAATTGAGAGGAAGAAAAGTGAGTGACCGACGCTTTAATCACGTTGGTAGATATGGAGGATACATCTAGGGAACTTGGGAAACCCTGATTCCAAAATAATGGTGCATACAGGCTACAGGATCCTGAGGAAAAAATGGCGTATGAAACTATTGTTGGTCTCTGACTATCATGAGACTGTGTCTAACATTGCTCCTTTGTCGTGTGGATAAGACCTCTAGGTCTAACGCTCGGGGTATGGCTCCCTAAGAAAACCACCTGCTTCGGTTTTGGCGTCCGGATAGTATTATAGACCTCACACAAATTGAATGACGAAGTGTGGTGCATTTATATTTTCTGTTTCCCTGTACCAATATTCGTGTGTTTAAATAAATTGTGTGTCAAACTTTATATAACTTATCAACAGATAAAAAAAATATGAGAAAGTATTAGACCTAACAAGTATTTATTAACAGCTAATGGCTTTTTTAAAGTTGAATAAATACGAAGACTACATGTATACGAATATATTATTTATCAACAATGTTAAGAATGCTGTTTAATCAGATGATAATAACAGACATCGTTTAAATATTCTCAAAATGTCAAACATTCAAAAATTGAAATTTTAAAAGCTATAGGAAAGCAATATCTGGTAACATCAACATACATGAGTACAGTCAGAAAATATCTTACAACAATATAAAAATAATGCAATGAGAAGACGAAGATTATCAGAACTATGTGATATATTAGCGCAATACATTTCGAACAATCTGATCACACATATACTTGTTAAGAACATTTATATATAAAAATAAAAGGTCAACTAGACTGGAAATAGGGGTAAGAATAGACAAGGATAATAATGATAAAATAATGTGAAAACAATTTGACACCTAATCACTCTGGATAATAAGCATATATTACCAGGGTAGGTTTAAAGAGAGAACAAACTGTTTTTGAATAGAAGAGGGGGTTTGAATTTTCGTATGGCTAAGGCTTCAATAAACCTCAGTATACGCTCTTTTACACTTTTAAACAACACAACAAAAGCTGAGTTAAGATCACTCTTATGACCTGTTTCGATTATATGTTTAGCAATAGAGGATGATGGATGTTTATCCTCTACTCTTATTGGGTCATTCGACTGTATTTGTTTTTGCAACCATTTTGGTACATGTTCACCCAACCTAATTTTCAGATCACGATTGCTCCTCCCTATGTATGTGTGACCACACACACATTTAAATTGGTAAACACAGTGGTATGTGATACATTTGTTTTCATGTCATCTAGGTTTTGAATGAAGCATGGACCTCGTTCTTTCCTTTATAATGACCTTCGTAGCACAATACGTTTTGTTGATAACAGATTTAAGCCTTTGTTTCAATAAAAGGCTATTTGAATCACCTCTAAATGGTAAGGTGATGTAGACAGGCTTTTTCTCTACCAAGGCTACAGTAGGTCTCGCTGTGCCCTGAACTTTCCATCTTTTGATAAATTTAGGTGGATAGCCATTCCCGATTAATGTCTTGGTTAACAACTTAACATCGTCATCAATAGCGTCGTTTGTGCAAATACGATGAAGCCTGTTAAAAAGGCACTTTACCAAACCACGTTTGTATTGTACAGGGCAATAACTATAGTAACTAAGATATTGACCCGTCCACGTCGGTTTTCGAAAAATGGATCGTTTTAACAGGCTTCGTCGTATTTGCACAAATGACGCTATTGATGACGATGTTAGGTTGTTAACCAAGACATTAATTGGGAATGGCTATCCACCTAAATTTATCAATAGATGGAAAGTTCAGGGCACAGCGAGACTTACTGTAGCCTTGGTAGAGAAAAAGCCTGTCTACATCACCTTACCATTTAGAGGTGATTCAAATAGCCTTTTATTGAAACAAAGGCTTAAATCTGTTATCAACAAAACGTATTGTGCTGCGAAAGTCATTATAAAGGAAAGAACGAGGTCCATGCTTCATTCAAAACCTAGACGAAATGAAAACGACTGTGTCACATCCCACTGTGTTTACCAATTTAAATGTGTGTGTGGTCACACATACATAGGGAGGAGCAATCGTGATCTGAAAATTAGGTTGGGTGAACATGTACCAAAATGGTTGCAAAAACAAATACAGTCGAATGACCCAATAAGAGTAGAGGATAAACATCCATCATCCTCTATTGCTAAACATATAATCGAAACAGGTCATAAGATTGATCTAAACTCGGCTTTTGTGGTGTTGTTTAAAAGTGTAAAAGGGCGTATACTAAGGTTTGTTGAAGCCTTAGCCATACGAAAATTCAAACCCCCTCTTCTATTCAAAAACAGTTTGTTCTCTCTTTAAACCTACCCTGGTAATATATGCTTATTATCCAGAGTGATTAGGTGTCAAATTGTTTTCACATTATTTTATCATTATTATCCTTGTCTATTCTTACCCCTATTTCCAGTCTAGTTGACCTTTTATTTTTATATATAAATGTTCTTAACAAGTATATGTGTGATCAGATTGTTCGAAATGTATTGCGCTAATATATCACATAGTTCTGATAATCTTCGTCTTCTCATTGCATTATCGAAATTTATCAAAGGGACTAATTGCTTTAAATATAAAAATAATTCGATTTGGATTGCAATATGATTGGAGGTTGTCGACAAGTAATCTTGGATGACCTAGGTTTTGTACTAGTTGGTACTCTTCATTCAGAAAGGTATACTTGCAATCTTCGTTGAACTGGTATTCCCTGAAAAATTTGAACTCTGACTAGTCAATTTCACAGTTTAAAATGTTACCATTGTGTTATTCGAAGTGCGACTGACCTCCTGTAGGACTAGAATGTTTAGGGTTGATTAGTCACTGACCCGCCTTAGTCGAATTCTATTGATCAAGTTAAAAAGTGGTTAGTAGTCTAAGTGACTCAATGTTACGGTGTTAGATAGGTGGATTTAGACTAAAAATGTCAATCTACAAAATACTTGGTAATAACTTACTTTTCTAAATCTTTAATTTTGGATTGGAAATTATCCCATTGAGTTTTAGTTATATCACGTTCCTGTCGAAGATGAGTGAGTTCCAATTCTACTTGTTCTTTTTCCTTTTGAATATGCTCCAATTCTGACTGCTCACGTACAACATCTTTACGTACATTTTCATATTCTGTATTCTAAAAAACACAATAAAAACAGTAAGTAAGCTTTTAATTATAATAAAATATAATTGGATGTACGCCAAAAGTATCATGTGTAAGCACTAACTAATCAAGTTGCAGTGTAAGCATTGAACTCAACAAAAAAATAAAATTAGACACATTATTTCTGAAAATATGATGTTACTAAAAACTAATCGGAGCTAAGCTATCCTATTTTGTTTAAAAAACATACAATTTCGGAATAATTTACTGATAAGTAGAATACAGATAGCTTAGTAATCAACGTGCTTAGTTTCCAGGCAAAAATGTTTCATATTTCAACTGTGTTTCATCTGCTTTGGTTTGACTAATCGGGTCGTCTGACTGGTCTTCCTACATACAATGTATCTCAAAGCATCAAATGGATAAATCAGTACTTGGAACATTAGCCAGATTAAATTGAAATTACCGTTGATAAGGAATTGATCAACTATGCCATTGAGTATTAGATAGGGATGAATATGATATTTCAGTCAATGATGTGAGATGAATTCTTATGACCAGGCTAAGAAATACAGCTAAAAAGCACCGTGATAGAAATACGAAATGTCGCGACAAGCAGTAAATGATTATTAGAACGACTTGAGGACAATATTCACAAGACAATGAAGAAAATTCTTCGGACTACGCTGGAGAGTTGTTTTCTGAGTATTAGAAAGACAGTAATAATTATATAATGTTCTTTAAATTTCCACTGGTTGATGAACATTTCATTTCTAAGTCTCCACCTACACGCTAAACCTCGCTGTGAAACATCTTATTCCAGTGAGAAATCAAGAACTGAAAAATAAATTCATTCGGTAATATTTTCTTCATGGAACTTCGATTATTTATAGATGTTCTGACTGATTACAATAATAGGTCAACAAATCTGTTATCTAGACGTCGATAGACCTTGTAAAAGCCACCGTATTCAATATATTTCTCGAAATGCTATTTGTTTTATTATACCCCTTGTATGGGGGAAAGCGACCAAAATTTCATTGTTGTGTGATTCATATTTGATAAAAGGCTCGCGACGTGAAATTGAAAAAGTAATTATCTCTGAAGAAGGAAAAGTGGCTTGTTTTTCGTAACTGTTTATTTGGAAAATCAATAAACTGTCAGTGCCTGTCACGTACCAATGTCGAGATGATCGACCAACTTTGAAACGTTACTCATAAGAGTTAACAATATGTTGATAGATACATTTCTACCTCCGTAATCAATTATTTTTAGATGACAAGGCAGGTGGATGAAAAGTTTAATGTTATTGTCACTATCTTAATTTGTTTTGTACCGGCGTTACTACTAAGTTGAAAATTACTTTGACCTCTGTTCACTTGCTTTTATTTAAATCAAATTGTATGAACGGAATGTGATTAATTTAATGAATAGATCTGATTTCTTTACTTATTTAAACATATAAATATTGGTACAAGGAAGTACCTGATACATATGCGCCGCATAAATCTCATTGGATTTGTGTGAGGGCTGTGATGCTGCCCAGGTGCCCAAAATGAAGCAGGTGCTTTTCATAGGGGACCACACACGGAACTTTTGACCTAAAGATCTGATCCACAGAGCAGTGGAGCATCGTATGAGATGCAGTACCATGGTAACCGGTGACCAACGATTCATTCATACGCCATTTGTTCCCTCAGAATACTGGAGTCCATGTGCACTATTGGTTTGGAATCAAGGTTTTCCAACTCTCCTAGATGGACTTTCCGTGTCCACCAACCCGGTTAACGCGCCGGATACTCGCTTTTCGTCCTCCAAATTCCGTAAACAATACCCCCATCACGAGAAGACAGTGAGTAGGACTTCCCTGGCAGAGGCTATATACGCGTGGCGATGTGAGAGTATTTCGAGAGGGAGAGCGGACTCTCCACACTCTCGGCTATACCAGGACATTTGGGGGCAATCGATCTGAAGATAGCCACATTGAATGAATCCTCTTTGACTTTATGAATATTAGTTACATATAATACTATATGGTTGTCTCAGATTTATATTATTACAATAAGCCATTAATATCGTCACTTCAAATAACAATTCCAGAAATAATTAAACCACTGAACTCAAAACTCATTCAGGTATATTTGACCACAAAATTATTTGGAAATATATTTTGCACTATATATTTGTATTTGTTTATGGAACAGTTACTAATCTCTGTGCCAATAAAAAAATAAACTAGGACATGAAGTTCTGTCACCAAGATAATAATAATAATAATGCATGTATTCCATGTATTATTATAAGTACACTTATTACAATAATACGTTATCTTAAATGGCGTTTTTTACATGTCTATCAGTTTACATCGGTTAATGAATGATTGGTGTGTTACCCTCTGCCGCTTAGTTATATGCATTAGTTTTTTGAACGTTGAAGAGAATAAAAATTTACTATGTATTAACTTATTACAACCATCATAGAATGGAGAGTATTATTGAACATTTATATTTGGACATATTTAGCCCACTTTATAATTCTATTTGTATACGAGTGATTTATAAATCTAACAAAGTGAGCTGAAACATTACACCGTATTCGCATTAAAACAACTGATGAATTCTAACCTTCATTTATACGCCTTTTTTTAATTACACAAGTTATTTGTCAAATATTATAAAGCATTTTTTTATCCAAAATATTTTGTATCAACCAAATAGAGTGAATACAATAATAAATATAAGACATTTAAATACTTGAAGGAAATCTCAAGGTAGTTCGTTGGAGATTTCTACTTCTTGATAGAGGATGGTCAGATGTAGCCCGTAATATAAACAACAGGGAAAACTCAAAAAAATAATAATAAATTCTGAAAAATGCAGGCAAAAACAAAAGATGAAGAACAATACTTTTTTAATTTTCGCAACTTCACGTTCACGTAGTTCTTCTTTTTCTTCATTTAATTGAATTTGTAGTTTTTCTAATTGATTAATCAAATCACGTTGTTGAGAGCTCAAATTCAGTATTCTTGATTCTTCTAAATGTGACATTTCAGTGAGATGTTCAAATTCACGTTTTTGTCGTGTTACTAATGCTGTCAATTCTGCAACAGACTTTTAGAAAATAATCATGGACAAAAAATGATAATCAAACTTGTGAAAAAGAGGAAGAACATTAAAGGAAATTGTGGTGAGACTATAAGTTATACACGACGTTTGAGAAGTGGTAAAATGACTTTAGAATGTACACTTACTATGGCTAACTGAGCGTTACAGATTACTTTGAGAAATCAGGATTAGGATTTAAAGTTGAACATTTAGGTTAGGAATTAGATTTATTGTTTTCATCACAAATATACATCAGCTATAATCCCAGAAATGGTATTTAACCAAATAAGTAAATGAGTTTCACGCCAAAATCCAAGACCTGCTATCTTAAATCTGATTAGTTCGTCCTTAAACGTACTCTACAGAAATCCCCTAGAGTTCATTTAAATTTTTAGAGACTATCTAGACAAAAAAGGAAGTAATCTTAGAGTACACAATTGGTGAGATATTTTAAACACAGAACTGCACTATGAAAATGTATTTAACACAAAGCAATCGATTACATATTTTTTTAATAGTAAACCATAGTTAAAAAATAAAACTTTAACACAAACAAATATAGAAACCTGATGAAAATACTTTTCAAAAAGAGGAAAGTAAGTAACCTTTTGTTCATGTTCCAACTCCGTGCGTATATTATCGCGTTCTAAACGAAGTGTTTTAACTGATTGTAAAATACGCTCTTTTTCATCCAGAGAAGCATTTAATGATGCCTACATTAGGAATATAACAAAAAGTTTGCTCATAATGAAATTTTTGGGGAAAATAGTACAATATAAAACAAATTATTATGTGTAAATGGTTCGGCAAAATAAAACTGATACAAAGAAATAATAACCACCAGGTAAGTAGGTATCGAGATAGCATTTTGTAGATTATGTAGATACTGACAATTTAATCTAAATGTACCAGACTTCACTTGAAATTTTATCGTTAATGTTTATAGTTTGTAACAATTCAACTATTCAGTCACCCGTTTTTACTACAGCAGGAAACAAGGCTAGCAGTAGAATCGAGGACACATGTTCCGCTTTATTTAAGACTCATCAAATGGATGTAAAGGGAGAATACAAACTCTTACAAGTAAAATAAATCACTATTACACAAAACAGTGACTAAACGAATTCCGTAGCCCAGTTGATAACGCGTTAGAGCTTGTAGTAAAAGGTAATGGCTTTCAGTTTCAATGTGGCGGTCAATAGTGAGATTCAGCTGAATTCAACTGATGAGTCTCACAAAAGTCAAAACGCACATCCCCAAATCCACTATCAACCATTATCCAACTTGAACAAAAACTGCCATCTACTAAACACAGACGTTTGTAAACGTTTTAAGCATAACTTTTGTCAATGAACTACTTAATAAGGTCATTTCAGAAATAATCTAACTTGCAAATACACAGACTGAAATAAGAATTTCATGAAATAGTTTTAAATTTTATCAATTATTTCTGATAGACATATACATTTCAAGCTGTAAAATGATAAGACAATTCCTTGGGTAAAACAACACATAATTTTAAACAAATAAAAATAAATAGACCACCATGGAAAACCTGGAAGCACTGGACGGCCGTTTCGTCCTAGCGTCGTGCTCCTCAGCCGACTCAGTGGTCTAGTGGTTAAGCGCTCGCACGCGAAACCGATAGGTACTGGGTTCAAATCTCGGGAGGCAAGATCGTGGATGCGCACTGCTGAGTAGTCCCACAACAGGACAAAACGGCCATCCAGTTCTTCCAGGTTTTCAATGGTGGTCTAGATTCAATCGACTCATGGTCTTAACTATATAAAATTACTAAACTCTCCAAAAAAACCCTTTCTGATGATAAACAACTATTGAAACATGGCATTCATAAAACACGAGGAATATATATGGTCATTAGAACCAATAGAGTAACTGTAAATGTTATTAAGTTGAAATGAGTAAATCATTAAAAAAACACTATTAATATTGTATACAAATAAGATGCATGTAGAAAGTTACACTTACTTGTGTTTCATTTAATTCACGTTGTTTGATAGCTGTTTGGTTAGCTAACTCTCGAAGTACGGAATTCGAATTCTCTAACTCACGATGTTTCTCAGCCTTAATTAATTCTAATTCACTCTTTTTTGCTTCTGTATCTTGTGCAAGTAACTCGAGACGAAGTTTATCTTCTTCAATCTAAAATGATTGTAACACGAAGATGTTTAATAAAGGTCCGTGAATTGAGGATTTGTTGACTTTGACTAATAATCGTGTTTGAATTACACCAGAATGAGTTTTCAAACATATTTCGGTCTTATAAGCAAAGATGGATAGTGGCTAGTAGTGGAATCCAGGACGCGCGTTCGTCCTATTTGGGACTCGTCGGGCTATCAGGATTCAGTAGCTGAGTGGATAACGTGATGGCGTTTGAAGCGAAAGGTACTGGGTTCGAGTCCCAGAGTGAACATCAACTCTGAGATGCAGGTACATCCAGCTGAAAAATCTCAAATAGGACGAAACGCGCGTCCTGTATTTCACTGCTAGACACTATCTGTCTTTGCTTATAGTGCTTGTGAAGTAATTGACAAAAGCCAGTTGTATTTTTTACAACAGGTTTAGAATACAAGTTTATTTCACCATAAGCATCTACAACATATAATACTTAGACAGACCAGCCTTAATTACAATAGTGATGTATTCATATTCAATGAGAATTTGAAGAGATTATTCTGCTGCTCTATTTCTGAGTATATTAAAGTGAAGAAAATAACAAGCTCACATTAAAACATGGTCAGAATTACAGTACGAGCTTCAAAAGGTAGAACACTGTTGATTTATTGTTGAACTAATTACATGGATCGCTATCAGAAATGACGATTTCCTTTATTACTTGAAAATCGGTACTTGTTAGAAATAAGTATTAGATCACAGTCAAAACTGCAATCTAACAAGTTTAAACTAACCTCATCAAATTAAACAAAATTAGTAAACTTTACTAACAAGTATGGCTTATATTATAACATGTGAAAATCAAAACAGATGATGCATCAAACCGCTATTACTTTCCCATAGTTATGTATTAGTGTTATCTGTTTTCTCAATACGATGAAAGTAGAAGAAACATTTACAGTCATTTTCTGGCGTATTTTAAAGGATCTGAAATGCTAGTTGATCAGCGTGAATAATTAGGATAATTAAGAAAGAAATCAGTGTCCATTGTCCGAATTTCATTCATGGACGACGCACTTAGTCTAAGACGAGTATGATGATATTTTTGAACCAATCTAAAATAATATAGTGTTGAAAGTGTGGGCTGAATAACCATTCCAGGTTATATGACTAATAGGATTCGACAATGAAACTAAACGAAATCTGCATTAACAAAATTAACTTTTATAATAACGAATGAGTAATCAAAAAAGTTTATGGTATTGACACAAAAGATAACAGACAAATCTGATCCATAAAGACTAAAAAAACAATAGAAAATCATTACAGGAAAAATATATTGAAATCTCTCTGTAGGAGCAATTTAACAATTGACTTAAATGAATCATAGGAAAAGAAGTATATGATTCCAGAGATCCCAACGTTTTTTGATATCAAAAACCAAATTTATCTATATACAAAATTTAATCAGGAATGAAGAACAAAACAGACACGACATTGATCAACACACAGTAATTATCAATGTAAATATCTTACAGGTCAATCTCGTACCGAGTAGTACAGTGGTAACGAAACAGAATATGAAGCTGTGCTACCTAAATTCGAATCCCATGAGGGAGTTTTAATTGCCTCAAGATTGGAGCCATACTGACCAGTGCCAACCAGCACGAAACCTAGATCAATCAAGGTATTCTAGTGACCTTCAGTCACTTAACATGCATATAAGACTAAATTTAACATCATAAAGTGATGAAAGTCACAGTGGTATGTACTATTTTGGTTTCAGTATATTATCCTTCATTTAAATTTCGTAAGTACATGGTACACAGATGTTAATAATGTATAAATAAGTATAAATTATCCAATCTAAAAAGTTAAACCGTTTTATAAAAAACCCAACTGATTGATTAATTCAAAAAAGCTCTATTTACTTCATAATACATAGCATGATACCTGTTACAATAAACCATCAATAAACAATTGATTAAGGGTAAACTACCTTCCGTTCGTAAAATTTCATTGATGTTAAATATTCCTTTGTCCCAACTTACGCTACATTACAAGAAAATATAATTCGGTGTAAATAATTAGGACGTGCTTGATACACGGATGACTTTCTGTGGATAGATGTTGTTGACGATTCGGTGTTGCAGATACACACACATACTGAGTACGTATGAAAAGGAAATGTAAATGTATATGATCCAGGGAACAATGATGAAAAATGGGGTCAAAATACATAGCAGGTAGCGACCTTGGAATTTATAGCTCACATGAAAATATATGATACATTTATATGATCACAACACAGAAGCGGTTATACAAAAGTTATATTTAGAGGATATATACATGGATATACAAGAGTTATATTTATAAGGATATATATATATATACTTTAGTGTGTTTATAGGTCAAAGATCACCAGTGCACGTACACACACAGTTATACATTATGTGTTCAAAATATTATTCGCATAGGAAGACTTTAATATTTTGATATAAAAAGTAACATTGATTCTAACATTAATACGAATGGATAATGAGATATAATTTATAGATTTATAATAAGTAGTATCACGATTGAAATACAAATTATCATCGTGATAAACCTACCTGAGGATTCAATGTTTCACTACTAGACTACATAAAGATTAAACATTTTACATAATAAAGAAGAATAATTTGAAAATGCATACAAATAACGAAATAAATAACAATACCATTCATTCCCAAAATTTCCAGATCGTTATGCTACTCATAGCTTAAACTGACTAGTAACTTCAAAGGTGAAAATACTGAAATTTTGATTAAGGTTTGTGGGAAAATAAAAGCAAAGTCTTGCGTAATAATATCACAAAAAAATAAGGTCGGTAAGATTCATAACTATTTCTGGAGACGTAAATTCGGTTTAAATATTTTTATTTGATAGCTTCGGTGAGACGTAACAGCATTGAATTCCTTTATTCGTTGATAATTTCTAATGATTTAGCATCTTCAGAAGCATACCTACTATCGAGCAAATGACCAGCAACTGCACTATTGAAAATCTTTCGCTGAACATATTACAAAAACGTACAATCTGAGACATCCTGATGACTGAAAATATGCATTGAAAAGAACGAATGTTATTCAGATGTCAACAACTGAAGTGCTAATATCTAGCTGGCGATCACTCAATATTTATCGTCAATATCGATCAAGAAATAAGAAACGGAAAGTCACTGAAACACTTTGTGCAGAGAATTCTACATTGTACCAAAATATCATATTGAATAAAGCTAATAAAAATTAAATAAATAAATATCATGTTCACTCTCCATGAATGTATGAAACACTTGTTTTTCTTAACTTAATAACTTAAAAAAATTCCATGTATCAGCTTTGTTGAAACTTGAATCCGAAAACTAATAATTGAAATGTCAATATTTAGAGCTAACCAACCATACATGTGATCAAGCGATAATTACAGGCAACATTGAAACATATGAACAATAAATGACAAATTGAGTGCTAGGAAATTAAAAACAAAAAAAAACAGACACCCATACCTGAATAAGAAGTAAGAACCGTTATTGGACGGTCAATTAACTAATACGTCAGAGTTTGAAATAGCAGACGTGCAGTACAAATCTCAATAGAAACGCTCGCACACACTGAAACGAAGTCGAATTTTAGTTAAAAACTTCTATAAAACAAAATGAGATCCTAAATCCCCCTTTTGTAGTTTTATATCAGAAAGTGGTTTGGCATTGAAAACTACGTGGCGTTGAATAGTCATTTCCGTTCTAGTATGAAAATAATCAGTAATGTAGATTCATCTACCCTACCAGGGATGGATTCTTGAAGCACTTGATTTTCAAATCACTAGACTGCTACCCAATATTCAATATTTCTAACTTCAGCTCATCTAAAGTAAATCACTTATATAAAACTGTGAAGTTCCACAATTTTCAAAATCCCCCTATGCTGGAAGAATGATTGTTCGCTGTAAATATATATATAAATATAATGGATTCCCATTAACTTCCTTTATCTAGGATACAAAGTCAGATATAGTCATCATAGATTTCAGCTCACTTCCTAAATACACTTTCTATGATCAAATGAAGCAAACACAAGTAAATCACAAATATGAAGAAAACGAAAAAACAATAAAGAGGAAAGAGAGAGAATGAAAAGAGATAATGAAACAAGTATAAAAGATTATTTACACTAAAAATAACTAAATTATGAGAAGCAAACAAAATGGCTACAAAACGAGTTCCTCCTAATTTTTATGTATTAAAATTATAAAAGAGCAAACAAGAATAATTCTTTACTTTCTTTTATAAATAAATACATCATAGTCATAATTCAAAAAAAAAACGGAAGTATAAAGTAATTAACACACTTATGATAAACTATAAATTGGAACAACAGAGAAATGTACACCTTAAGGTGAGTATATATATATATATATATAAATGATGGTATCCAGTTATTGAAAGACTTTTTTTTCCTTTCAGATTAAGAAGGAAACAGTTCACAACGTTTATTTACAAATAACCGGTAATTGACTTTAAGAGAAAAAATACAATTTGCAGATATATCTGAGTGGATGGGATCAATATATGAAACAGCCATATCGTGAATAATCTTATCATTTATTGTACGAAGTAATACAATGAAACAGGAAAAATACTTTTTAAAAAATGATATAATATAAAATGTTCACAATAGGATGATGTAGACCTACTTGTCTAGCTAACCGAGTTAATTCAGCTTGACGTGTAGCTGATAATCTTTCATCTTCTAATCTTAAATGTTGATCACTACGTATACGTTCAGCACCAACTTCAATATCATGCTGAGTGCGGGTCAACCTATAAACAATGTATATATGGAAAATTCAATCATATTTTTTTTCAAATGTATAATTTATTTGACTAGGCAAACAGTATCTATGACTAAAATAACATTTTAATTTACCAAATTATAGGTTAGTAGTCTAAGCAACACATATTCGATTATTTATTTATTTAACTCAATAATAAATCTAGAAAAATAAACAAAACAGTGTGTACACCGAAAATTTGACAAAGTAAAAAGGTATATTAAATTAAAAAAGAAAGAATGTTTGAGAGAACAAATCTTTTTAATAACTTTATCATCGGGCTCTACAATGATAAGTCAACAATTATTGTGATATTTTACAAAGGCCAAAATAAGGCATACCCGAAAAGATATACCAGGATGGTTGGGAAAAAGGAGTCACTAAATCAATGAATAGCCCCATTCTTTCCCATTTGGTAGATAATAAACAATCTATTAAAAATGGATGAAGCTTTCTCTGTTTTATATCAAATTTCAAAACAATCTACCTAAAGGAGCTAGATAACGATTACTCTACATAGCTGAAGCCAACTGGATTAACTACAGAAAACCAAACTTATGTATCCAGAGGAGGTATATCCAGCCTATATGTTTACCTTGGTCCACAACTGGATCCGCAGATACCTATTATTAATATGATAAACCTTTTATCTCCCTTCCCAATTCTTTCGGTGTATATAACGTTCTCAATCTACACGTTCATCTTTCCCAATTCCCGTGAATTCATTTTTATCGTAATTGCCTTGATAATACTACTCTTATGAAATATTCTATTCACACGTTATTATTATTATCATTATTACTTCGATTCGTAAGATGAAGCTCACCAACGTTGTATTTTATTCTTACTATTTTTTTTATCATATTACTATCATATTGATTTGTTATATCCCCTGGTGAATTGTGAATGGTAAATCTGAGGTCTATTTATGGACAAATGTAATATCCCTATTTCCTATTGTATGGTTGTTAAATAACTGACCTAAACGTATTCGTGTTCCTCTTATCATAACCTTTATTTTGACCTTTGATTTATTATGTACGATTCTTGAGTTATAATCAGTTTATTGATTACTTTAGTTTGTATAAAAACCCAGTATGTTTGTAAATAATGATTCATACCACTGAGGCTGTTATTGGTGTTTTGGACTTAACCGGCTGGGCTAAGCAGATCGCAGGGCCGATACGTACTCTAGACTGCTCGTACGGGTTTCGTGTCACTGTTCCAATCGATAATTCGCTGCTCCCTGTTTGGCGGGTCTTATCGCATCCACTCGGCCACAAGATATAACAGATTACAATTTGACACTTTACTACAAATCTTTTTAATAATTATTAAATGACCTTTCTAATTTACAAATAACACAATTTTGAAGTATTTGTATCGTAACAGATGCAAAGTGTCACCATCTATAACATATAATCTCGTCAAATTCATGAATACATGACTTATTTTGGTCTTTGTAAAATATCACAATAATTATAAACTTATAACTGTAAAGCCTGTTGATGAAGTTATTGAAAAAAAACAACTGCTTGTTCAAATATTCTTTGTTTTTGTATATTAAATCCTATGAAATGTTCTAAATAGAGGGATCCCTTAATGAACATAACGCTTCCCTTTTTGTAATGACTGCTACTTTTGTTGTAACATTGGTTAGAATAAAAATCTCATTATCGATTAGTCGAAAAACAAACTGTTTTTCATTGAATGATTATTATTATTATCATCACTAAATAACTGTAAAACATCCATAAGTTTTAGGATACAGGAGAATGAGTAGGAGAGGTTAAACTTTGAAGACTGTTCCATAATGGGTTCACTATGGATTTATTAAATATTTTTGTTGACGGTATTGTTATATTATTTTAATTCATTAATTAAACACTTGCTATTCACTTTTGTACCATAAATGATCTATCTATCCAGAGATTTTTTCTTTAAATTCATGGTATATTGTGGTTTTATGGTTGTCATACATCATCGTGTGAGTTTCGAATCATGACATACAGTGCATATTGGTTTGTTGTTTTCGTCTTCTCATTACACAGATCGGTGGTGGATGGAAGTTGAGTAGATCAATAAGCGTCAATAGATCAGTGGGCAAAACAAGTAAAGTGAAACCCATTCATACAAGAAAACTCGTCAAAGCAATAAATTAACGATCCTATTACACGGGCATACAAAAGTTGAATTCATAACAAAACGTATCGGTTGAGATAATACTCATCTTAGTGTATTTTGCATGAATTATCGTTGCTGAGCTTATTCAAACATACCTTGTTTCTAATTCACTCAAATTGGGTAACAGCTGATTATATTCTAATTTCTTTGTATTAACAGCATCTTCTAATTGTGTAAGTTGATTTTCAAGGTTAGATTTATTTGACTCCAACCGTTCAACCTGTGCATTATAAGGGAATAGAAAAGGTAAATCAAAGTATTTTAAAAAAACACTCGAGTAATTATATTCGCTATAAAGTAACAATGAGTAGTCCAGTTGAAATGCAAAATAGATTATGAAATAATAATCACAACAACGATAATCAGAAAGACTAAACACTGAGAACATAATTCGAGTGGATGGAATAAAGAAGTATGTATGGACGAATACTGAAACTCAGCGTCTAAAGGAAAATAAACAGTGAATGTATCAGCGCTACTAGGATCCACTCTAAGGTGATTTCCTTCACAAAAATATTCCTTGAATAAAGCTGCAATTTTTAAAATGAATTAGACTAGCTACATAATTAGTAATAATAAGCATTTGGTGGCTCTAGATTGAGCCCATTTGGACCGAACGAATGACTGTTATTAATTTATACATACCAGCTATCCTCGTATATAATTATCAACCTAAATCACGTCAGTGAATAACATAATTGAATAAGCCAAATAAGAGAATGAATTTCGAATACGTATATTTTACACAATCGTTGATCCAGACAGACGATCAGAGAAACGAAGTGAAGAAAGCAAAGCGAAGCGGATCGGAGAAGGAATGTGAGCTAACTCTATTTGATAAAGTGTGACTCAATGTTTATATTCAGACAAAAATAAATTGCAGCCACATAATGAATAGGGTAAGAAATTAACACACATACGATCACATAAAAACCGTTAAGGGTAATAAGAGAATAATCAACAGGGTCAAAATATGGATTGATGAAAATAAATTGGTCTATCCAGAAGGTAGAATTACCCATATGAGCTTGACATAGTACCAGCCATTACCAGTCGAAAAAATTGGGATCAAATCTATCACATATGAAACATAATCGCTATGCAAACTGCCTATTAATAATTAGAAAGGAAGAAAAATGTCCGATTGTTTAAATGTTCAGACCAAATCAAATACAAATCGACGGTAAAAATAAAATGTTTATAAAGAAAATCTGGAAAATTTTGGCGGGTTTCTTTTTTGCTTATTGTAAATACCTGAATTTTAGTTTTTGATAATTTTGTACGTAACTGTTCCAAATTTTCATCAGCTAATGATTTTTCTGAACGTATCATATCTAATTGTGACTTTACATTGTCATATTCACGTTTAGCTTCTTCATATTTTGAAACAGCTTCTTTAGCCTATAGAAAAGGGTAATGTTTAACAATTTCAAAGATATATAACCAATAATTAAAGTATGATTTTTAAGTAAGTTGATAGTTATAATATGTCAATAAGGAGAATATGATTAATTGTTTCTTCAATAATTACAATAATTTTTAAAAACCAATAACATTATGATAGACTGAACTCTATTACAAAATAAATCAATATTTTATGATTCCATTGTGATGACGTTAAAAGTAAAAATTAGGAAATCCTAAATTATAAGAAGGGGTTTTTTGTGGAGATTTTAGTAATTTTATAATTGAAATCATGAGTCAATTGAAGCTAGACCACCATGGAAAACCTGGGAGCATTGGACAGTCAAGAGGTTAAGCGCTCGCGTGCGAGACTGATAAGTCCTGAGTTCGAATCTTGCCAGGCTGTATCGTAGATGTGCACTGCTGAGGAATCCCACAATAAGACAAAACGGCCGTCCAGTACTTCCAGGTTTTCCATGGTGGTCTAGCTTCAATTAACTCATGATTTCAATTATAAAATCTTAAATTCTTTGAATATTTCACTTTAAATTTCCCCTATAAATTCTAACACATCAAAATTTCTTCCTTAAATAGAAAAATATTATAATAGTTGAATTCATTAGTCGAATTAAGCTAGACCACCGTTGAAAACCTGCAAACACTGGACGGCCAATTTGTCTTGGTTCATATCGACTCATGTATTTAACTATTAAAATTACTATGATCTCCACAAATCCCCATTCTGACAAGAAAAATATTTCGCAAGTAATATAGAAGTTGTTTGCTGATTTTACCTTTAGAGAAGAATAACTCAACATTATTAACACAATCAAGAAATAATTGAATAAAAACTGTCCCCTATGATCGAACCATGATTACAATAAAATTCAGAAATCTCCAAAACCCCATACTGACGACTATCTTATGATAATTAATTGCGGGCTGTGAGATAATATTCCGAATTCTTATTAAACTATCATTTCACTGATAAGGTATGAATAAAAATATGCTTATAATGAAAGAGTGACAGTGTCTTGGAAGCATATAGAAATAGAAAAATATCACTTCGTATGTCTAAGTTGTAGAATCTAGCTACCGGGATCCAGAAACAAAGAAATATATCACTAAAAGTCAAAATGGTTCAACTGAAGATAAAAGCAGCCTAAATTACCAATCAGAATATATACACACTGAAATGACAAGAAAAATGCAAACCTTAGGAAATATAGTGATAACTAAGGGGACTTTAAAAGATAAAGAATAATTATTCATTTGAAAAGTGTGCAGAAAAACGACGATCTTTAAAATATTAGTTTCCACTCACTTGTGCTTTAATTATTGAAAGCTGTTGATCGGAATCCTGAATATTCGTATCAAGTGTTGAGAGTTCTGCACGACGTTGGGAAACTGTAGCTTCTAGATTGGCTAGATCTGTAACTATACCGGTTAGTTGCTCATGTTTCGATTTTTGTGCAGTTCTACAGAAATATAAAATATGGATTATTCAGGAATATAGCAAACTGATCAGGTAAAAGCCTGACAAAATAGATAGCGTGAAAAAGAACAACGTGGAATCTGAATACGAACTCGACTAAGTATTATCGACCAATTTAGATTTACAAATAAATGGACAGGATTCTTGCTTAACTCGTACATTACGTAACAACCTGTGCATTACACACTGAATACAGATTTCATTTTAACCACCTTACATGCATTTAAATTCCAATAAATCTACACAGTTTATCATTGTAGCAATAAATTCCGAATCCAAAATATCCAGAGGTAAAGTAGAAAAAAGACTCGGATATCTGCAAATCAGTGTAATATCATATACATTTAACCCAGTGAACATACTTAAAATTATATCTATATAACTATAACAGACACCATGAATAATAAAACATACAATATTATATAATCAACTACAACTTACTCCTTTTCACACGATAAACGTGTAACTTCTTGTTTTGCAATTTTTAAGTCTTCTTGACAGGACATTAATTCAGATTTTAATCGATTTAAAATAGAATCTTGTTCCTATTTACCAAGAAAGCAAAGAAAAGTACTGGGAGAAAGAAAGGGGTAAGAGTATTGATCTCTTTAAAAAAAGACCTAAAAATACTGACTAATAAAGATCTGATTCTTCAAAACGAACATAGAAAGTGTAGTGAGGTCAAAACAATAATTAAAGCAGAATAATACGAATTCATTAAAGTTTATGATTTCTCTTCAGACGCTTACATCTCTATTCTTATTAAAGTGTAACAATAGACACTGATAGTGAAAAAAATTGGCATAGCAATTACTTTCAGTAGTTATATATACTTTTTTTTAATAATTATTATTCTAATTCTTTCCATCACTAACGTCCATTACTTCATACTTTGGCATAATCTAAAGTTATCAGTTAATGAGAATACGATTGTAGACATGCGAAGACTGATCACAAACGATGATGAATTCATGTTGTTCTCTGTAACTTATTGTTTTGGCTTTATTTAACTTTATAAAAGGAATCAATTGTATAAAATTTTTATAATGAATATATATTGAAATTCGTATTATTTTAAAAGAGAAAGATAGCTAATGGAAATAATCTTGACAAATATGGCGTTGTATAGTGATCAGCTGATTGTAAATAATAATACATCCATTATTCTGAATATATTGATGTATAACAAATGAGATTTAAGAAAAAAGTAGACTGATTTCCATAGCTTCAAACGTAAACAATTAGAAATCATTTGGTGTTCATTACAAAAATACTTCATCTGTGTATTCAATTGAATGATGATGAATGCGACAGATTAACATTAATCTTTGTAGGTTGTTTTGTGATCACTTTGTTTATAAGTATTTCATTGAAATCATGAACCGACAAATTTTAGAAAACTGTGATAAATAATTAACGAACCAGAAATAACTCATCCATAATTATATTACGGTAAATCGATCGATTTAATAAATTAATACACCATGATAAAAAAAATACAGAATAAGTGATAAACAATGAAAATTCGTGTGTTCAATAAACAAAAAAAGACGAACTAATTATTACGTAGTAAGCTTGTAATATAATTACAGTGATATAAGACAATTACAAGACATGTACCACACAATTACCTCTAATTGACATTCTAATTTTCTGCGTATTTTCATATTATGCCGCAATTTGTTCTGAAAAAAAAAATATTTAACAGAATTAAAATCAATAAAAAAAATTGAACAAAATTAATCCAGACAAATAATTTTTTTTTTAATTATAATAACGTTTATTCATGAAAACATGACAACTAATGTATTCATCATAAAGAATTTACGATTAGGGATGGTAATTAACTTATTATCACCATAGTGATAAGAACTTTTTGTTAATTTTAATTTTTTTCTAAAAAAGATTAAAAAAAAAGGATAAATATATGAGTCAAATGTTTTATTCCTTAAAAATTTATGACATCAAACACAAAAGTTTGTTTATTCAATTCTTTCCTATGGATGAAATCATTACGATAACACTGTTTTCAAATTAAGGTATATGCATAATAAATGGGTGGATAGATTGTTATCTTTTTATAAAAAATAAAGAACCAACTTATATCAATAATGAGATTATTTTTTACGTAATTAGAAACAAAACAGAATAATTATAAAGTATATTTCAATAATGTAGTCAGTAGATGAAGTTTATCAAAAGTATGGTAGTAGATTAAAGGTATTATATATTTAGAGAAATTTACAATTACTGAATGGCAGTAAAAACAAATGAATCCTAATGGTTTAGTTAGTTGGTCAGTCTGTCAATCACAAGGCATAACCTGTACGTTTGTACATCAGTTCGAGTTGCCATACCCAATAAGCACAGAGAGACGAAGTTGTCAGGTCAAATCCTAGAATAGTAGAGGTAATGACAGTGTGAGTTGTGATACAATGGATTAGACACCGAAGATAAGACTTGAAAAGAATATTATATAGATTAGCGAAAAAAAAATTTATGAGGAGTTTAGAAGCTCAAAATTTGTGGAAAGACAAAGAAAGAATGCACTTGCCCCAGAACAAACGACTTTCAAATATGTCATTCAAAATCTTTAAAAATTGGTTACATCCAATGATTTAATAAGAACACATATATTAAAAATCCATTTTCCTTACTTCCTGAACATTTACTTAAGAAGGAACGTATAATTGATATAAAATTAAACGTTATGATGTTGTACAGAAGTGAACAAATATGAATACGAAGATTTATCGAAGCTTTAGTCATACAACAGTTCAAACCTCTTTTATATGCTCAAAAGAACAGGCTGTTGTAAATTTCAACCTACTATGATAATATTGATTTATCATTCAGTACAGCGTGATTTATTTTGTTTACTTGTCTTCTAGTTTGTCTACTTTGACCATTACTTACTTTCTTATGTATGAATATCAGAAGGAGTTTTGTGGAGATCTTAATGGAGGTTTTACATGGTGGTCAAGCTTCAATTGACTTATGAACTCAACTATGAAACTATATATAAATGTCTAGACAAGTAAATATGTGGTCAGATAGTTCGAAAAAAATTGCGCTAACATATATACATAACATAAATTCCCTTTGCATTATTTGATTGAATAATCCCATGGGACTCCTCAGTAGGGCGCATTGGTTTACTAAGGTTACAGAAATCACATTCAGCATTAAAACATTCCATTAACTAAACACAACACTAAGAACAGTAAATTAAGCTAAACGGAATAATAACAATAAGATGTTCTCTATATATTGAGTAACGCATCTACAGTAAATCTTATTTCAGTTATTATAAACACCATACTATACACATTTACATCATGTAGATAGAGTTCCGAAATTTATATACGTTAAACTTGTACGCTAATTAACAATATATATCCAAATTCATCCTAAATGAATACTGAAAAAGAAAGGCCTTAAAATAAGCATTTTTATATTACAACACTTCTAAAGAAATGTAGTTAGCCGTCAGGATGCCCTGAACCCCGATCTCATACTAATAGGCATTCGTTATCAAAGTGTGCCAGGAATCTTTAGGTAGCTGATGCTCCCTGGGGTAAGCTTAAACTAGAGTCAATAAGTTTCGTAATCTGAAAAATCACCACTGAGATATTCACATCTTGACTGACGTTCTATAGGACTGAGACGCTTATACTAATGGATTACTAAGCAATGTCCAAAGTTGAACGAATTCTCTCATTAAAAATTTATCGGAAGTAAAAACTAGGCAAACATAGCATTAGTCTTATTGCTCAATGATCGATTAATGTAAGTTAACACCATAATCTCTGAATAAATGATGGGCTAATTTTACGGATGACAATCAATGATCTCAATAAATTCGTCATATATTGTAGTCTTTCTGATTACTATAAGCAATCAGATTTATATTAAGTCAGCAATGAAACGATTAAAATTTCAAACAATAAATAACTAAGATTGTATCAGTTTTCAGTGTCATTATAGTAGCTAATCTACAGATATTCATCCATATTAATAAGAAAAATAAACAAGAATCTGTTCATAATGAATTGATTTTTCATAAATTGATTCATTTATTATAACCATGGAGACGCTATGGATATATGAAATAATGCTTACTTTTATTTCATAGAAAAAAGAAGATATTATTCTATCTATTCGATACGGCTAAAATTAAATTGAGAAATTCTCGTAAACACTGAAAATTTATGAAGTATGTTTAAAGTAGAAACTGTGAATTCTAGATTAAATATATACAATTTAAATAATTGGTCTCGTATAGTTTTTCTTTTATAAAGAAAAGACAAGTTTTACTATATGCTGCCTGTCAAAAGACTTCATAATAGGCAATATAAGCAGAGATGGATGATAAATCTAACTGACAAGTCCCAAATAAAATGAAACGCGCGTCCTGGATTCCACTGCTAGCTATCATCCACCTCTGCTTATATCGCCCCCAAATGCCCTGGTACGGCCGAGAGTGAGAAGAGTTCGCTCTTCCTCTCCAAATGCTCTCACATGGCCATGTGTATACAGCCTCTGACAGGGAAGTCCTACTCACTGCCTTCTCGTGGCACTACTGTTGTTTACGAAATTGAGAGGAAGAAAAGCGGATGTCCGGCGCTTTAACCAGGTTAGTGTACACGGAAATTTCACCTAGGGGAGTTGGAAAACCCTGATTCTAAACCAATGGTGCACATCGGCTCCAGTATCCTGAGGGAACAAATGGCGTACGAATCAATCATCGATCACTGGCTACCATGGGACTGCATCTCCTCACGATGCTCCACTGCCTTGTGGACTAGACCTTCAGGTCAAAGGCTCCAGGTGTGGCTCCCTAAGAAAACCACCTGCTTCAGTCTGGGCACCTGGGCAGTATCACAGCCCTCACACAAATCAAATGAGATTTGTGTGGCGCATATATATCTGGTGCTTCCTTGTACCAATATTTATGTGTTCAAATAAATAAATAAAAATCTGCTTATATCACTTGTGACTTAAGGCAATATCGAAACAATCCATACAGGATGCACAAATGCCGATAGGAGACTGATCAATTGCAGTTCTAAATATCAGTGGAAAGATTCAAACAAGCAATACAAAATGAATTCATACTAGGTGTTGATACTGTTGAATATAATAAATTTCAGTTAATACTAATTCTGAAAGAAGTTATCTGTTCTCTCCATTTCCACATACAGCCACTTTATATTGGCTTTCATAAAAAGTTATATCACATACAGTAGAATGTTAGATGTAACATTAAGTGAAAGTAGTTAAAAATGTAAAAGAATTATACCGAGAATACTAATAGGAACATAAGGCAAAAAACACAGATTCATCAAATTAGACTTATTTTTGACAGTTCTACTCTTAAAAATGTGAAATCTCAAAAGAAATGCAATTTTTAAAAAGATAACGTTTAATATATCAAGAGTCACTTACAAACAACGAACATATAAAAAAAGGATGATAGTAGAGACAAAGTTGTAAGGGGTCACTTAATCAGATCACTATGAAACATAATCTATGCTGCTTTATTGCGGGTATCCTATAAAAGCTACAAAGTGGCTGATAAAAGACACCAGTGTTAATTACAAGTTACTTCGTTTAACCTATTCGATATACATATAATTAGCTACATTGTATTGATGGAATTTGGTGTATAATTCGATAATCATAGAAGAATATTTAGCAAATGAATGAAATAGAAGTTCGCCACATAACTCAGTAAAAGAAAGTGAAGTTAAATATAATTGATTGACCTGAATAACAAACCATAAAAGTTATAAGGTTAAGCAGAGTTAGATTGTAAACTAGTTTGATTTGTCTTTTTTCCATGTTGAAAGAACTAAGTGAACTTGTTTCAAAGAGCTTCCATATCAGACAAGAACACAAAAAACTTTTAAAAAAAGAATGGAAGTGGAACTAAACATAAACTTCTTGATGAAATAGAATTAACAAATATCCTGAGACAAACCGATGGACTTACGACAGTAGACTGATTAATTCCAGTCTCGAATAATAACAATAGAGGGTTACAAACTCCTACAAACAAGTGTATGTTGGGTGAAAAAACTTTTAATGTGCAAGATATGCAAAAGCACTCATCAAATAGCAAATATATTGCTAATATTATAATCAATAAATTTATCTTTAGAAATAAAGTCAAATAAACCACTTATTTCAAATAACTTAGATAGATAGAATAAGGGCATTAATTAGTTGATGAAATACACAGTATTGAAATTGTAGAATTAAAAATAGCTTCACAAACCATGGTTCCAAATCCTTAAAAAGATAGCGGTACACAACATTCAACGATTTTGAATACCAAAAATATAATTACTTTTAAACTAGACCCAATGGAAAAACACAAACATCATCCAAACTAATTACAAGTGTAATTCAGCAACATAAATTTTATCAGGTTAAAATAGTAGATAGACTGGATAATTTATGAAGTAGTATAGTTCAATGGTAATTAATTACCAAGTTATCGTTATCCAGCAAAAATCAAAGTAGTGAATACAGTTTCATTTAACTTATTATACAATAAGGAGTAGGAATGTAGTGTTAACCCTTTAAGATCCTAAGTATGAACAATATAGGATCTAAACTAAATAATAACACAAATAAACAACTGTTTCTTAAAAGTGACAAAGATAATAATAATAATAATAGCTACCTGAGTAATTTCATGCTGATCACATAACTCTTCAATTCTATATTGTAATTGACCAAGACAATCTTCTAAATCATGATGTTCAGGTACATTGCAATATAATTGATGATTTCCAACAGATGACTGAGTAATAGCCGCTGCTGTATTATTTGGATTTAACCAATCTACTCTGTTCATACGTTCATTAGCTGGTACACCAGTTAAACCTGTCATTAGAGATTGAGTACGATGAACTATAGATATAGATATGGTGAACAACATGAAATAAAACATTTATTAAAACTTCGAAAGAAAACATTCAAAAATAAGTCTTATGGTATGATTTTAACATAGAATTTATTAGGTAATTATTAGATAATATGACTGAGAAAACAGCTAGACATTTGGACTGATCAATATTGTTAGATAGTCAAAAAATATCCAATCTCCTAGTGGTTGTTTGAATAAAGTTACTTGTATATGAATATTAACTGTGTTTTATATTTAATTCACTGAAAAAACGACACTTTACTGACTGTCAGTAAAATCTTGAAGTAAATTTTCTTCATGAATTAAGAAGAGGTTAAATTTTGATTAACTGACAATAAACAACAAAATAATCACTTATTTGTTGAATGTCTTTCGTTTATGTCTATTCATGTGTTCAATATTTGATTGTGCGTTATTATGTTTAAGAAAATAAAAGACCTATTATACTGGCAAGCTCTCATGGACGTAAAATGATTTGGAGGGCACTTACATGAATAATCTGATCTCGCAAACAGTTATCACTTGGCTATCGTTTTAGATAAATCTATTAATCAGCATCCCATTCATTCATTTTATAAAATCATAAGATCTTAATTCAGAATATAAATACTACAGAAAAGCGTTATGTCAAACAGAGAATAGATCAAACTTTATAGTCTAATACTGTATACATGCATATATAGTCTCCTATATGACAATACATGAAAACACACAGCAAAATCAAGATATCCATATTTTTATGAAAAATGCACAAACTTACAGATTGAAGTAAAGACTTCAAGAAAATTCACTTAATGTTTAGTGTTAATTATGAGTCGAATTTATGATCAAATGTAAGTATATTTACATAAGAATGTGTAGTTAACATAGTATTCCCCTGTTTACATCAACTGTTAACTGGAACCGATAAAGAGATCAGATTGAGTGAGTACACTCGTTAACTCAACGAAAGAATGAATAAAGCAAAGTCATAACAAATTAAAATTGTGCTTTTTTGGACAAGATAACATCACTGACTTGTTCATTTACACAAAATCATACACAACTACACCTAGACACACAAAGAACTGGATTTTAGAAAGAAAAAACACCGGTCCTATCATATAAATGACAACTGACAAGATCAAATTATCAATTCTATCAGATAAATTGATAAACACTGTCTAAAAGATATAAGACAACGAAAACAAAGACAAAAGCTTCTCTTTGATTAATGACATTTTGACACTGAAAATTTGTAATGACCTTAAAAACAAAATATTGACAGCAATAAAGAGAAAACAATAACAAAAAGAATGAGGTACATCATCCATCAGTAAACCAATAAATAACACATTATGAAATGAGTTCAACAGTAATCAGGTGTCATTTTTATGATTTAAATACATAGAAATCACTGCATAGTCACGTGTAAAATACTACAATAGACTTCTTCTTTATGGATAAATTTCTAAGAGATGATTTACATCTACACAACAGCAATATGAACATTACAGGCATTTATGCATCATTACTCTAGGAACCCAAACTTTAATGATAAGGTAACCAATTTACATTTCCAAAGTTGAGAGTTAGCTTTTACTAATTAAGTCATAACACAATTCAAAGATTGAAAAATGAAAATTCTATGGTTTAGTTACAAACATTTTAATCATAAATATTTGAACAGAGAAAAAACAACAAGGTTTACAGAATAAAATGAATCCGGTCTATTTCACTGCTTTTCATCAGTGAAGGTCATGTCACCCAACATCTCCAACCATTGATCATGGTTATCGTGAAAATGTCTCAACCAGCTAAGCCTTATGTACCAACATGGTTTAGGTCAATGGTCAATAATTTCATAAACAACTAGCTAATCCTTTACCGTGAGAATGATGAGCAATGAGGAAATGTTTATCAGATTCAACACTATGAGTTAAGAATTTTATTGAGGTTTCTAAGTGGCCGCCAATAGAATACAATTTTGCTCTGTGTCAATTTTTGATTTTTTAAAAATATTGCGAATAAAAAGATGAAAAAAATTTTAATTTTTTTTAAAAAGAATAGTGGATTTATGTAAGAATATTTAAGTTACGCTTATCATTATATGCATTAAAAAGGAAATCTAGAATCCTGGATCCGAAAAAAAACTAAGAAGATATTCCAACTCGTAACAAAAAGATCGGAAATACTTAGCCCGGTGTGTTACCATTTCTGAATGAAGTAAAGCTTACGTTCTGATTAATAGGAAAAAAGTAGGCCAACATTTTTTGCATATAGTGGGTTGCAATAATAATCAGCAAAAATGAACTAAAACACTACTTACGAGTTTGACGAGGATTAATAGAATTTGGTACATGTTGCTGTCTTTGGTAGTGACAATATTGATTAGCACAATCTGGTTGCATATGTTTGTGTAAGTCAAGTAGACCAACTTGTAAACGTTGTAGATCATTAGGAGATACATCATCTGTAAAAATATTACATAAATAAACATAGAAAAGTGAGAAAAAAAACCAGTGCGTCTTCAGGAAGTGAACAAAAGAAAAAACTGATGAATCATTTAATTGTTTCCATTGGAAACACATGAATACCTAGAATTGAATGTTATTTTTACCATCTAGAATTGAGTGAAAACAGGGTTTTTTTATGATCGAACTTTCGTTAAATAATGAATAAACTAAAATTTTGATCGTTGAAATTATTAAAAGGATAATTTATGTTTGATATTAGAGACTGACCAGTTGCAGTCCTAACAAATCGATGGGAAGATTCAAACAAACAATACTAAGTTGAATTTAAACTTCACCCCATCGCACAAGCAAGTGGCTATCAGGACTCAGTGGCCGAGTGGATAACGCGATGGCGTTTGAAGCGAGGGTACTGGGTTCGAGTCCCAGAGTGAACATCAACTCTGAGATGCAGGTACATCCAGCTGACGAGTCCCAAATAGGACGAAACGCGCGTCCTGGATTCCACTGCTAGCCACTATCCATCTCTGCTAACTATGTTTGATATTATTTGTACATACATATATACTTAAAATCTACACTATCTGTGAAGCTATTTATTAAAATCTTAATGAATATTCATTTATACAAACTGGAAGTCAAAGTACAGATTCAATGATTTCACCATATTACTATCTATCATTGGTGTTGTAATGGACGCTACTCACAAGATTGTGTGTAAGTAGTTTGCAGCGGAATGTGATAATGAAGCGAATTCATAATATGAAGTTATATTCCATACAAATCAATAGTAAAACCCTACTTCACTAGCTCTCATACTCCAGACAACTAAGTGGTAGACTAGTTGACTAACACTGTTTAATTAGAATGTATCATTTATATTTAGGAATACACATACTTTTAGTATTACCAGAATTTGCTACATTCTATGACTATCACTTCATGACTTTATTTAACAATGCTATAATATATAGACCAATAAACATCGAAGATTAATATGTATATGCATAAAAAATTTACTTGGATTAAGACCCAATAATGAATTGAGTAGATTATTCAAATTGGTTATCTCTTCTTTTTGTGCATCCAATGTTGCTTTAGTCTGATCTAATTCTAATCGTTGACGTTCTAATTAAAATAACAGGAGTAAAAGTAGAACAGATGATAAATAAATAAACAATAAAATTGAAATCATAAACCGATTAATGTTAGACCATAATTGGAAACTTAGAAGATAGCCATTTCGTCCCAATATGAAACTCCTCAGAATTACGCACCCACGATTCTTCGCTTAAACACCTAGTTGTTAGACCATTGGACTGGGATCCAAGGGCGTTAATTTCTAACATCAATCAATCCACAATAATTCATGACCATCTTCCATTGTCTTTAGTGGGTAACTGCCTGACACCAGACACGGTTGAACCCCATCGTTCACGGCTTCACACTAGGAGCCTGGAAGTTCCCTCTGGAAACTAGTGACTAATGAACACATGACACTTTTCAGTACGGAGTTGTGGAGATTGCTGAATTCCGCTAAAATCATGAACCAATCATCGTAAGAACATCAATGAAAACCTGATTTTCAAAGTTTTAAATGATGTTCTAACATTGATCACTTCATGATTTCAATGGAATTTAACAATCTCAACAACCTTTTACTGAAAATAAACAATAAAAAAATCATGTAATATTTTTATACAATATTGTCTTTCAAATAAATACAGAGAAATAATATTGGGTATCAATTAATAATACGAAAAAGAAACTAAGAAGAGTAGTCTGATTGAAATCAGGAAGAAAACACTATTTATTTATTTATCTATCTATCTAAAAAAATAATTACAAGCATCTGTCTACTTCGCAAAATTACAGAATATCAATGAGAATGAACAAATATTATCAGAATGGGGGTTTGTGGAGACTGTAGTAATTATAATAGTTGAATTCATGAGTCGATCTAATCTAGACTACCATTGAAAACCTGGAAGCATTGAATGGCCGTTTCATCTTAGTGTGAGACACCCCATCAGTGCGCACACATGATCCTGTACGCACGATTCAAACCAGGACCTTCGGTCTTGCGCATAAGATCATGAATCGGTTGGAGTTAGACATTAACATCGTTGAATGCCGTCTTAGTGGTTTAGAGGCTAAGCGTTCACATGCGAGTCCGAAGGTCCTATATCCGAATCCTGTGTGTGGGATCGCGGATGCGTATTTCCGAGGAGTTCCATACTCAGACAAAATGGATGTCCAATCCTTCCAGATTTTCAATGATGGTCTAGCTTAAATCGACTCATGAATTCAACTAGTCAATAAAATATTATGGCTATAGAGAATATTCCCTAAATTAAAAATTAATTTCAAGGTAAAATTCTTTGTTTTTTTATATGAAAACTATAATGACAAAAAATGCCTTATAAATAATTAATTAACCCTTTCAATAACGATTATATCAATAAAATATAGATGATGTAGGGAGGGAAAAAAAACTTAAACAAACCTAATTTTAATTCAGATTGATCAGAAGTTTTTTTAGATGATTCCAATTGATCAACTTGTTCTCGTAGTTTACCAATATCTGTTTGACAATATTTTAATTCGTTAAGTGTTGCTGCTAAACGCTATAATAAAAAAATACCCATAGAATACTGATGTTTAGCTAATAGGGAATACGATGAAATATTATGTTATTTTAGATAACGATATTTAAAATTCAGTAATATATTAAGAAGAGATGGATAGTGGCTAGCAGTGGAATCCAGGACGCGCGTTCGTCCTATTTGGGACTCGTCAGTTGGGTGTACCTGCATCTCAGAATTGATGTTCACTCTGGGACCCAAACTCAGTACCATCTCTGCTTACCATGCTTGTGAATTAAGGCTATATCGAGGCAATACGCACAGTATGCACATATGCCAATTAGAGACTGACCAGTTGCAGTATTAACACATCGATGGGAAGATTCAAACAAACAATACTAAATGAACCAGTAACACATTGATTGATAAAATAAAATGGAAAAAAACAATTAATAAGTTTCATGGAGCATCTTATGAAGACTTCTTGAAAGTATATTGAAATAAAGACCTTACTTCTATAAAAAAGAATAAACACCTGAATACAATACTTCATTGAAAATATTTATCGTAAAACAAATACAGGAATGAGACGATAATTTAATTTTAAATATCAAAAACAAATGATTATCTAGTGCGTGAAATAAACAACTGTTGTAGACCAATCGACCACAGTTTTCCGACACCATTCATTTTGAAACTTACCAACTCCGTCGATAACTTTACATTATGAACTTTATACGGTATCTAATCAATTGGATATTATAAGGTCATTGAAAACAAATATTCTATGACTGAGGTGGTTAAGAAACGTATATCAAACAGCCGCCAACCTCTAGGCTAGCTATGTACTGATGTAAGGGTAGAATGGGAAACATTTGGAGAGAGTCGAAATAAAAAATTAACAGTCCATGAAGTGATTGACAAGTAGACTGAACTACGTTGACAGGTTAAGATCACCTCATTGGGCTTCATGAGACTTTTGAATGATATGGATCAAAATTGATCTTAATGGATTTGATATATATATATATATATATATATATATATATAAACCCAATTCGTACCACTATCAATGTCCGTTACTTCATAGTGTAGTATAGCTGAATGTTACACATTAAAAAGAATACGATTATAAGCAGCTGAAGAGAGGTCATAAATTAAACGAATTAATATTAGTCTACCTCAGTTATCGTTTTGGGATTATTGAAAGAAATGAATAAATCAAAGAAATAAAACAAATATGTTACCTTTTCCCATCGTGTACGTTCAACTTCACGTTGTCTAGCTACTTCAGCATCATGATTTAAACATCTTTGACGTTGTAATTCCAATTCAAGCAATGAAATATGTCTCAACGCAACTTCAAGCTAATTAATTAAAAATGATTAAGGGTTACATTCTAATATAAACGATACATATCATACTAAAGTGATAAGTGTGAATGAGGAAAGTACAAAATATAGTGTTAAATTTAAGGAAATAATCTTAAATTATTTAAAGTAGAGATGGATAGTGGCTAGCAGTGAAATTATGACGCGCGTTCTGAATCATTAGGGGTTCATTGGCTCGATGCACTTTCATCTCAGAATTAATTTTCTATCAGGAACTCAAACCCAGTACAGTTCGCTACAAACGCCATCGCCTCATCTGTTTAGCTACTGAGTCCAAATAGCCACTGGCTTGTGCAACGGGGTGAATGTTAAATCATATATACATTGGTTGTTTGGATCTTCTCATTAATGTTTAGAGCAGCAATTGATCAATCTCTTTTGATATACATCCATCATGTGTGAATTGATCCGACATTCTAATTAAGTTACAAGCATTAAAAGGGTTAACGAAAAATTCAAACAACCAATTATTTTTTTTAAGATTCTATTAATTGTTCATATTTGAATCGAACATTAATTTCAACTTCTTTTTGTAACCCGTCATTATCAGAAGAAATCAATGGATTTTTCGAATCTTTTAACACAACCACCGGATTTGACAGACGTCCTAAATTTATGAAATACAACTTCTTAACATCATTTCAACATAATTAATTCTAAAAGAACAGTTGAATGTATACATGAATTATTAATAGTATACACATGGAACAGCTAAATTTTGACATCATATAGAATAACAGCGAAGCCCATAGTTTGTCAAACAGAAAGGAAAACACAAATATGCAAAAAATTTCTTCAGGATAAATTTCATATCTATATTTTTACATGATGTGTCGGAATGTTATCAATATACTTGATTTCCATCAAAACGTATCTCAAATATCTCTTGTTTATTCAGTTCTCTCAAGTTATATACTGATCATGATAAGCATATGACTAGATTCTACCTGTAAAACGTTCATTTATACGCGGCTTTTTTGATTTTTTTTTCTCAAATAATTAGTACATTTAGGAAAAGATTTGGAGCGATGGTGGAGATTTGTAACTCAAGTAGATGATTTAAATGGAGTTTTGATCTCTGAGATAGATAGTTTGGTCGTAGAGTTTTCATTATTCTTCTGAACAACATCATCAGAACAAACTTTCGGTGGAAGTGAAATGTCCGAACTTCTTCACATATGACTCACAGTTTGTCCTGTCGACCTCGATTTACAGTGCTGTAATCCATCTTTTTTTTCATGTACAAAAGTGAATTTTTAACTTAAAAAACACTATTAACTTTATAAATAGGAATCCTAATGATGAAAAATAACTGGTATCTATGGCAAATACCAGTTTATAAAGAATAATTATGTTAAAAATGACATAAACATCAATTGGCTAATTTCAACATGAGAACTTATAGCAATTAATATTTGATCATTCAATTAAATCATGATATACGCTGAACACACCTAAACCATTAATCTTAATTAAAAGTTTACTAATGTTTTCTCTACACTTTAGGCAAGTAAGTATATGATTTGTCATAGATTCGTAGTGCTTCTTTTAAATATGTATTTTCAAATGTTAGGCAAATGCAAAATTACAAACAGCATTTGTGAATAATACATAAAGAAAACTCCTAAAAAAGAATTAGAGCATAAATAACGACCTACTTATACAAATCATTAAAAAAAACTTAACTGTATTGTTAAAAACAACAAGGTGGAGAATACTCACTCTTTCTGAATTAGCTTCACGTGTTCGCTTCAAACCTTGACGCAATCCAAATAGTTCATCTGTTAAATGAATAATTGCTTTAGTTTCAGATGTTGGATCAATATCATGATATTCTGTATCATTTAATAAACTGGTTGTAGAGTTTCGTAATACGGATTGCTTAAGATGTTGATGAGTATAATCCAGTGAATGTCCACGAGAAAATCTTCTAGAAGTGTTATTATGATACGGCGAGAAATTAGCGTTGGTTGGATGTTGACGAGGAATTGATCTTGTCCTTGGACGTCGGCTAAAAACTCGACTTTTATGTAAAGATGTTGGCCGACGATTTGAAGAAGCTAGTGAAACATTTCACGTAAAATACAATGAGAAATACGATAATAAAGTTAGCGACACTTGATATCTAAGCTTTTATAAAAAAAAAGATAACCAACCGACTGGAATGTAATAGTTATTATCATTATTACAAAAACTCAAAATTGTTTGGTTGTAATTCTATCAAGAAATCTAGTAATAACGAATTACAATGACGTGATAAAAGTGAATTATTTAAAGTTATCGTCCTAAAGTTTATAAAGGTAACCGTTAAACTATATTTTTCAAATCCATACTATTTTCTTAATACATAAGTTTTGAAAGCCAACAGGTATTTCTTGGTAATATATAATAGGATTTGTTTAAAAACTTATCTATGAACCAAGACTCAATAATTGAGTTGGATTGACACTATGTGATATTACAAACTCCCTAGATCGAATAAAGATATCCTAATAAAGAGTCTTTAAAAAACGGTTGAATATCTCATACGCACAATCTGATAATGTTGTGTATAGGGGATATTTTTAAATAAGTTGTTAGTCGATAAATATATTTTGTGGATATTAGGTTATATTTGTAGATGGATACCAACCGGGAACAATGAAAAGTTGTTTCACTCTGGTGTAGGACTCTTCAGCAGCGAGGAACCATGACACGAACATGGACTAGCTTAGTACTTGACCATCGGAACACTAAGTTAGAACCCAACAATACATCAATAATCCAAATTTATTTAATTCATGATATAGCGCGATTATTCATTGCCGTTGTTGATAGCTGTTAAAATCTCAACACGCCTAAACTTCGTCAGTCACGATCTCTCATTAGAACTTCAGGAACCTATTTCAAAGTCAGTTGCCAGCGAACATGTGACTGCAGTATTAATGAAGACGTTTTGTGTACAATGATTTAATTTGTAGGTGGTAGTCTTCTTAGACCGATCTATTTACCAACAGCCCCGTGTAACACGAACAAGACCTATTTTTACCTCCAACTATAAAAATATCTTAACAAGCCCAATTAATGATCTCTTAGATAGTGTGAGTAGTTAGCAGAAAGTATGTAAAACGAAAGTGAAAGCTTCCCTTTATATTAAATGTGTCTCATTTAATTATGTTTTCTGCAGTTTATACCTTACAAACTGTGCGTTATTATCCAAAAGATGGATTACATCAGTTATCAATAAAAATATTTAACAATGAAAACAAGCATGGTGTAGTTACGTAAAAAGAAATGTTTTGAAAATGAGTTAAATACGTATAAACACATAATAATATATACTTACAAGGAATAAAATTTTTCTGATCCTTATTCCAGTTAAGGTCGGGTACTCCATTCTGAAGCCAATGATCTTTAAAATTAACCGGTGGTTCATTTTGTCGTTTATAATCTTGATAATGATAAAAATAATTCATTTGATCATCATAATTATTATCAGCTGCACAAAAATCATCATTATTACCATTGCTATTGTCAATCTGATGATCATTCAAATCGAATCCATCATGGTCATCAAACGATTTAGTATGTGGCAGTAATCTACGTACATGTGGTTTATATTGTGAATGATTTGAACTGAGATTTTTATCATTACTATTATTATTATTACTTTCAGAAGGATACTGTTGATAATTTGTATGTGATTGTGCTTTTTGATATACAGTAGGTTGGCATTCTGTAAAACTACAATCGTCATTATCATCACCAGCGGGTGAATATCTAGTCTTTAAAGAATCAATGTGATTTCGCATCGGTCGAACACAATCACCATAGATCTATCAAAAAAGAAGAAAAAAATAAAAATGAATGGAGTGTTTTTTTCTACTTTGAGAAGTCAATACATGGTTGAATTACTTAATACATATATTTTACAAGAAAAATCTTACTTACAGGCAGTACATATTTATCGATTTAAATGAACTTTAAGAAAATATGACTAATGAATATTACACTGATGATTTTATATAGATAATATTGAAGATGTTCAAGAGTTAAGCGCATTCAACACTTATTGGTCTACAGGTATTTATAACATATTTATAAAGACAAATGATCCATATCTCTAATTGATGAAAAGGTATTGTTCAAGTACTGGATTGTTTTTTCTTACAATTTTATCATGGAAAGAAATAGAAGTTGAGTCTTTTTAGTAATGTACAGAAATAATCATAAACCAGGAGAAAATGTAATCTTGTTTAAGAAGAAAACTAGATAGAAGTAAATTATAGAGGAGATGAATAAAACTATGAATACGACCAAGAAAAAGTTTTATGGATTGGTGATAGACTAAATTATATTACTCTTTCTTATTTAAAAGAAAACCCACCGTAATAGGACTGTTCATTATGGTGCTACAATTTAAGTGTAATCTCAAAGACTTTTCCCAAATAATATATGCATACAAATAATTTTCTAATGCAAACATTACCCAAAGACAAAAGAACTAACGAAAAGAAAGTCGACAGAAATAGCTGATGTTCTAAAAAATAAGTATGAATGAAAACAGTACCAAGGTTTCATTATTCACAAGTTAAAACATTCTATATTTCAATGGATAACTAATGTTACTACAGTGGTGGTTCAGTTGTTAAGGTATTCGACTTCTAGCTATAGTCTCAAATTCGAACCCTGCTTCTTCCAACACAATATTGGATTATCGGATAAAATAGCTAATTCTCACATTTGAAATGTCTCCCAAAGGTACGTACTTTATTCTGTACTGGTAGATGAGTTGTTTAAAGTCAATAAAACATAAATTAATAGTAAGAATAATTTAGTTATGAAACGTACTCCTTCTGAACATGACTACAAACTGTTAAATTAGAATTTATACAGGCCAATAACTCAAAAAATTAAAAACAATATTGTACGATAAGTGGTACTTTTGTGTAAGACTATAAAAGTCTTTTTGTCAGATTTACAATTTATTACTTTCAAAAAAATCAACACTAAATATTAAAAAAAGAAACATGACTTTGTCACAAAAATATTAAACATGTCATATGATTATCTGTCTGAGACGAACTCCATTCTATTTATTATAGAACTAAGACATTAATATTGATGAGTCTGCGAAAATACATTCAGGGGGACTATTTTCTCCTTTAAAAAAACATGTATAATTCTACCAAACTAACAGACCATAAGAACAGCAAACTTCTCTTAGACATACAATATTGTGTACGACGCATAATCCAGAAGTTATTTCGTGAATTAAACATTTGAAATATTAACATAAGTGTAACATCAGGAGGCATATACTATGCCATTATTATAGGTATTACAAACACAGGTATCATGTAGACATTAATTATAAGAATAAGAATAGTTCCAACAGAACTAATAGTGTATTAGGTCAGAGGTTACAGTGGGACTACACCTCATGACGTCGTTCTACTGTCTTGCAGATAAGACGTTTAGTCCAAAGACGCGAGAACGATCCCCCCCCAACAAAAACACCTGCTTCAGTTTGGGTACCCGGGTGGTAATCTAATGCACACACACACAAGTAAAATGTATAATTAGACGAAATCGAATAACAAAAATTGCCAAACTATAGAAAATTATCACTTACATAATAATTTGGTCAAATATGTGATTATATCAATAGATTGTGAGATTAGGTTAGATTAATCATAATCCATTTAACAATAAACATCCTTATTATGTAATCTTTAATAAACCATAGGTGATAAACAAATGTTACAAAAGAATTTTGAATTTTTCTTTCTATGTAATTTTAATTCCACAAATACACAGGTTAACTGAAATTATTAATTATCCATAAGAGTATAATACTAAGTCAAATATGGACAAAGTTCAATAGATGATATCCACAAAAAATTATTCGATAAGGTCAAATATAACACATAAAGGTTAATGAGAGAACAAATCACACTGAATTAATTAGCAACACACAAACGTGAACTGAAATATATCAGATAGGTCTAATAATTATTTTCTTCCTCGTATGTGATGAGAGATGTGATTGAACAACTTGAATTTTCAGAATATATGACGTATACAAGAATACACAACACATCTTTATAAAAGCATTAGCGTGAAGCATTAATGCCCCCATTTCAAAAGTTATCACTTAGCATCTCTTCTTTGGATTATATCACTGACGCACACACACACATATTCGCATAAACGTGCATCGACATAAATAAACAATAATCCATCTAAATTTTATGTAGTAGTTCGTGTTTTGTTATAGCCTTGGTAATGGTAAACTAAAGTTAAATAAAATACGATGAAATAATAAGATCACTCTTGTGATAAGAAATATAATTGAACCACTAAAAAGGAGATTTTTTCAATGACCGGTCAAATGAAATAATCTATTATTATCCACAGGTCGATTCCGGTGATGTGATAACTTTCATTTAATTATTCCTTGTAATAATAATGATAATCGTATAAGTACATAGATATACAATTGCAAAAGTGGGAAAAAATATCCGTAAATGTATACAATCTTATCTATGTATTCACTAAGAGGGTAAATATACATAACTGATTGTAATGTTATTAGTATTATTATCATTGGAAGAAGTAAAGTCGATATGAATAATTTAGGGTAACCATAAGTCTCTCTGTCTATTTGTACGTGTACATACATACTACTATTGTATGTATGATGAGAATTGTATATAAATGCGAAATTTTCAGAAATGAAAATGAGAAAAATAAAATGTTTGTATGCGTATGTGTGTGGAAAACATAAAATCAGTGAACCAGGACAGATAAACTTGACCATTCAATGATTTGGTAGGAGGACACAATGAATATAGAAAGATGTAGAGATTAGAAAAACATAAGGAGAAAGATCTGACCATTAATATTATTATCACTATTACTATTATTATGATTATTATACTCCTGGGACAACCATAAGTAACAGACAAAATGAATGAAAATGAGGACGTCATCATTAAATTGGAGGAACTGTCATTCACAGCTCACATAAAAAAGTCTTTAGAAGAGGAATTGTTGGGACGGCTCAAAAAAGCACGTCGAACACTCTAGCGGCTCTAAAGGAGCAGAAGAGATTCCATACAATCAGAACCTGATAGGACCTTCTAGAATATGAATGTGACGTGCTATAGATTGGAAAAATGTATAACTTTCCTACTTGAGGATTGTCTGGATTAAATGATCTTATAGCTTATACTAAAAATTAAAAAAACCCTGTTTTTCTATACATTTTTGACTCTTACTCAATAAGCGCTTTTCTTGTTTCTCCCATCTCTTGATTTGTGACTTTGGGGTGAGGTCCTATACATTCAAGTCCCGATAGTTGTATACGGCATTCTGCCATAATCAAGTAGAGGACTTAACGTGAATGAAATCTTTCGAATTACAACAAAGCGATACATCAAGAAGATCGAATTGGGCATATTTGAATGTTGTCTTTCACAATTGGACCTGAAAATGTGAGATCTGGTTAGATTTTAAAGTAACTATTCAATCAGTGCAATTCGAACTAGAGTGATTGAGTCTCTACTGATAATTGCATCGAAATTTACTCGAATCACTGAATTAAAAGTAGTTAATATGGTCAAAATCAACTGATTGTTTATCTCACTCAACGTATTTACACGAGATAAATTAACAGAAGACGTAATCCCTAATATGTTATTTAATGAATAAAGTATGATTACACATTGATTATTTTAAAGTGACAACTGAGTAAAATCCTTAATGATTAAATAGAAATACAAAATCTGATTGAAGTATATTCTGGCTGATATGAGCCAGTGAATAAGTGAGGCAAAGATCTCTAAATAATGTCGAAACATGAGCTAAAATTGCCTCACCTTCAAACAAGTAGTCCGATCAAAAAAGGAAAGCAATAGTACTGAGTTGTCACACTAAAAGAGTTTACAATTCAAGGAGTTTTTCTCCAACTATCCGAATCATTCTGTTTTAAATAAACAAAAGTCAATCTTTGTAAGATGAGAAATAAACCTTATCACATTTATTTGATGTTAATCAGAGTAAGATACTGAACATTAATAATGGCAGCTTACATGTTGATTATCACTTTGTTTATTATGATCTAAACGCGTGTGACGTTTTGAATTGGCTTTATATAATCTTGATAAATCTTCTCGCATACGATCCACTTCCATGGAACAAGCATCTCGTGACATCACAATCTTTGAAATTATATTTTGAAACAGAAAACAGAAAAATAAAATAATTGTATGTTGTTAACAAAATCATAATTTTATTGTTTACGATTTGTAACCAGAATATATTTTAGACTAAATAATTAGAGGTATATTAAAGTGACATTACGAGTTAAATTTACATCTTTTAACAGTTGAATTTACGAGTCAATCTAAGCTAGACCACCATTAAAAACCTGAGGAATCCCATACTAGGACAAGACGGCCATCCAGTGCTTCTAGGTTTTCAATGATGGTCTAGCCTAAATTTATATCTACTGAAAAAGACTAATCGTCTGTGTAAATACAGAATAAAAATTTTTTACAAGTTATTTTCATATTTCCAGTTCATTAAAATCTTTCATATGATGTCGTTAATGCTGAATTTAAAGTAAGGCAAGATAAATAAAGTTAGGTTTAAGTCAATATTTCATTAGCTATTGAAGCATATAGGTAAGTGGACCTTCCACTTTCCAGAAAACAATTTAATGCTTCATATCTCATAGTAGTCAGAAATCAGTTTTTTTTCATTTCCAGGATAAGAAATTAGCAGATATTAACTTAATAGAAATAATATGACTGGTTATGTTAGAACTTTTAGAATAGCCAACTACTTTTGCCATAAAAACTAACCTAGATGTGAAGGTAATGAGTCTTATAGGAAACAGATAAATGTAATACATGTGATAAAAAGGACTGGACAGTAAACAAAACAGAAATCCATAATTTAATAGCAAAAATAATTCAGTTTAATGGTGATTATAACAAACATAGATGAAAATTTTTCACATATCCAAGATTAATATAAATCAATTTGGTCAGTCTTAGAATTACTAATGCAATCACGAGATTAAGTAACTAATGGTGAATAGTGATACAACCACCATTCATTTTTTTTAATGATGAGTATAGCCTGAACGTTATTCTAATTACGTTTTCCGTTACTCTGTGAACAATTACTTCTAAGAATGTTTTGCGAGGATCCGGTATTATCTATGCCTTAGTATTGATTATATCTAAGTCATAAAGTAGTTTAGAAATAAAATTACTATTCCAAGAATGGTTTGATTGAAACAAATGTGGCTATAATTCTAACATGCATATCGTTAAATACATTCATTTTCTATTCTTAATCAGATAATTTTTATTAAGAACGATCATCTATCAAGAATGGACACTTGAACAATAAATAAAAACCACTCTACCAATAAGTGCGAGGTTCTTTACTAGAGCTCAACAGAAAACTAGCACATACAGGCGAACTACAAAAGCCGAAACTTATGTTTCACAGAGGAACTCTGAATGGAATAGGTTTATTGAAATTTATCAGTAATTATACCATCAATCGGTATATGGTTTTGAATATATTTATATGAAACACCAAGATGCCATGACAAACAGACGTCACAAGAAACTAGCTAGAAATAATATTAATATGAGAAAAAACAAATATGAAAAAATGACTAGAGATTGCTTACTAAATTCAAAAGTTCTTCTGCATGATCACTTAGACTATAATCTGTCATGATTTTCTCAGATTTATGTGAATCACTACGAGATCGTGGTTGTTTATGCTTTTGTTTAGACCATTTAGCTCTTACACAGGATCTCATTCCTGAAAAATTTCGATATGAACGACATTTTGAATTTAGCTTTCTGCTTTTTCGATTATATGACCAAGCTTGACCACTATTGAACTGTAAAATATCTGAGCCTCGAGATAAAGTACGAGTAGGATTAGGTTTAGGCAGTCTGGAGATGTGATACCTTCTAAAACTATCCGATTTTTGAAAGCTTGAATTTTCAGATGATTGATCTAAAAAATAAAGAAGACAAAATGAAAGAAATCGAACGATAGGTACACATATGTAAGAAATAAAAGTTAAAAGTATTGAAGTGACAATTCGTTGATTGTTCTAAACACAAGGCGTTTTCTTCCTGAACAAATACTAATCCAAATAGAATATTCAGGAATCATAAGGAAGTATCACTTGAACAAGGTACTAAATGCTACTGTCAATCAAAAGTACTACTGTTTATAAACCGATGTAGTCTAAGATTAGTAGATTCTTAGTAATAACATTTGTATAACATACTGTGCTTTGTATGAATATCATCAAAACTCGCTATAATATCATGTAATCTACGTAACGACGACCATAGTTTTTGGATTTTTCCTTTATAAACACGTTTCTCATGTTATTCAGCTAATACGTTTCATTAAATAATGAGTACATTAGTTTATTTTAATAATGCAGATATGAATAGTGATTGGCATACATAAACAATAACATGGGAGTTTAAACCTAAAATGTCTATTATCCTTATTAAAATCATATTGAAAGAATAAACAAATTAGAAGAATCAATGATCTTTTTACGGTGTACATGAAAAGAAAATACATTTATTGATACAAACTAATGATGCGGAGAATCGCATTAACAAGACTTTTGTAACATCTAAATTTTATTTAAAGGATGTTAAGCAATTTATAAGTATTTGGAAAACATTTGTGGCAACTGGTTTAGTTTGTAGATAGTATTCATCACACATTTATTTCATTTGAGATAACTATTTAAAATCGTTGAACATTGAATAGCTGTTACGTCTTAGTATGGAGGCTCCTCAGCAGTGAGAACACAGGATCCCACGAGGAATAGAACTCACGATTTTCAAATCCTACAGAGAACGCGTAGTCATCATAACCACTTGACTGATATTCAATTCCACAACTCTAAATTTAATCAGTTTGGGATGAGTATCAAATGAGGTTAGCCTGTGATGAACACTACCTACAAATTTATGATTATGTCTCACTAAAATGTATGGGGATTTCATAGTACTATTGTTGTGAACGAGAACACGAGTGGGGACAATCGAATATATTTGAGCACAAAATTACAGAATATCACAGTAAAATCTGACGACCATACAGTAAACAGTTAATTCGCAAACCATCAATCAAATGTCTCAAACTTGAACGTTCCTTCTGCAAATATCAGTCCACCATCATTGATTATTATTGTTAATGCATTTTCATATTAATTGCGTTTCGTTGCCGTTCTTTCGTTATCGGTCTTCTACTGAAATACATTCAATGCCCGACCACCGTTATATACTACTTATGTGGATATAAGTAATCCACACCACTCTATTTATATCAATACATAAGTGATAAATGTTAGTAATGATTGCTCAGTGATGAAAGTATTGTGATCGTCATTAATGTTCAGGTTAAACAATGTATGAATCATAATCTTTCCGAATAATTTACTCTTACTATTAAGCTTAACTGATCGAATGAACTCACTGTTATTATTATTGTCATTATTATTTTCATTAGAATTTCCAGTATACGAATATAATTGAAACGAATCAAATGAAGATGGTTGAGAAGCATTTTTAAGAGGAAGAGGACCACCGACACCTGAACCACGTGTACGTTCAAGTTGTATATTCGGAACACTTTCTTGAGTATTATAGATGTTCGCTTGCACATTAGTAGATTCACATGGAATACAACTGTTAATTGATGCATGAACATCTAATATGCAGTAAAACAGACAGAAAATATAGAATTTCATGTTAATTTAGAGAGAACTTTATGAACGGTAATAGTGATGATGAGATTAAAAGCAACAAAAAGGGATGATTGCATAATCATTAAAAAAAAAACAATTAACTCACCGTTTATCAAACAAACAAACAAAAATTAACAACTTTGTCATTGATTAGTAAAAACTTAAGAGTAAAAATCGAATCAATTGTCCAATACAACAATTTAAGCACTTACTTGCTTAAAATCTAGTTTATCATTATGATATAAACATAATCATTAAAACCCACAAACATCATATACCTTGTGACAATATCTAATGGTTGTTTAATTTTGCAGTGACAAAGGTGACATATGACATAAGAACACCTTCATATGTATTTAGTTAAGAAGGTAGAAAGCTGTTCTGGATCATTCAGATCATTCAGAGAGATATTTATTCGGTATAACATTCTTTTTCATGAATTTAATTATATTTATTTGATGTTTTGTTTGTACTAATTTAGTGAAAACCATATATTCTCGGTTTTTACTATTTTCTATTATTGTATAATATTTACTAGTCATTACAAGTCATCAAAATATCGGCAAAATCTCCATATAAATATGTAAATGTATCTGATTAATGAGTTTTTTTTTAGAATGAATGAAAACTTCATGTGGAGTTAGTTTTTCTTTTGATTTTAAATTCAGTTCCGGTAGTTACACCAGCTTTTTCAAAAGTAATCAATATATTTAAACTATGTTTTAATTGAACATATTCGTATATGAAAATCTGTACCTTGTTGCTAATTCACTACTAATAAATTCTTAGTTTAATGACAAGTTAATCACAGATTGTGAAGTTGATCAATATTTTCGTAGTGAATTCAAAGCAATTAGTCCCTTTGATAAATTTCGATAATGTAATAATAATGTAATAAGACCCAATAAGAGTAGAGGATAAACATCCATCATCCTCTGTTGCTAAACATATAATCGAAACAGGTCATAAGATTGATCTTAACTCAGCTTTTGTTGTGTTGTTTAAAAGTGTAAAAGGGCGTATACTGAGGTTTATTGAAGCCTTAGCCATACGAAAATTCAAACCCCCTTTGTGTATTCAAAAACAGTTTGTTCTCTCCTTAAACCTACCCTGGTAATAAATGCTTATTATCCAGAGTGATTAGGTGTCAAGTTGTTTTCACATTATTTTATCATTATTATCCTTGTCTATTTCTTAACCTTATTACCAGTCTAGTAGTGAATTTAATTGGTCCCATTTTATTAAATTCTCCTGATTCTTCATCTATCACAACGTAATTATATGATGGTAATATTTGCATAAAAACCAAAAATACCTAAACGAAATGACTTAATTTATTCTATACATTGTGAAACAATATATTATTATATGCATCAATTCAAATTTTTATGAGGTAAACCTGGATCTATTCAAAAAGAATGTGACGAAACTATAAATTACTTTATAAATGAAGGATTTAAGCAATTTCTATTTTGATCTCATCTAGTTAAGTTGATTGGACATTAAGTCCAAATGTTGTCAAATGAGTTACAAGGGCAAATATATCGATTTATTTATAGTTTTTGGTCATTTAGTTTTAATATCGTAAAAAGAACCATGTGTTAAAGTCTTAATAGACTTCCGTCCAGTTGAACAAGGTTTTACGTGAACTCACCAATCATTTGTTAAGCAAATAGTCTACCTGAGTTTCATCTTTTTTTTGTTTAACGACCAAGAACACTACCTGTATATCTAGTATGCTTAAGAAATGTACTACTTAACTATTCACGTCAGTATCCCCCTCTTATAACATTTTTTCTGTAATACTTAACTTTAATCATTATTTAAAACACATGACCAGTTCAACTTTTTCAAATCAAAATATATAGTGTTTGAGATGATGTAATAAACCAATTTGTTGATAATACCCATAGTAATTGAATATATAACATTGCTTGTTCAACAGATAGCTTGTAGCTAATTTAATTAACATGAATTATCTGATACTTTTTATCGTGAAACAAAAGTGTAATTAATTATATACAAAATTAAAGTAATCGAAATAAAGTTAAGAGTCTAGGTTTCATACACTCAATAAACTCCCAATGTAACCAAAGTTTTGAAATCGTTCAATTTGAAACGGAAATCCAAAACACTATCATTTTCTTTAGAAAATATTTTTACAAATAAGATCTCTTTATTCAGCTGAATGAGTAACAAGCTACCTTAACAATGGTTGAAGATGATACATAAACGGATAAGTTCCCAATGTGTAATTATATATATGGTATGATCTGTATGATTACTACTTTTGTTAATTGTAATTAAAAGAATTTACATAATTCATTGAGAAAATGAAATGGTCACTACCTATTTAAAAGATAATTAATTCAATTAATATTGATTATAATTAACTCTAAATAGACCAAATAGATGATGATAGGTAGAAAATTAGTTAGTTACTTCTCTCTTTCTCTTCTATTATGCATGAATTTTAATGAACAAATAGGCAAGTAATAATGTATATAACTACAAGTAGGATAATATTCATTTATTCATTCATTCATACAGTCAATAATTGTTATTAATACTAATAGTGACAAAAGCAATGGGCGTAAACCACCTGTAGAAATAAATATATGTGCATATTGTTATGCAAAATTATTATGTAAAAGGAAAGAGATAAAAAGACTGGACAGTAGTATATGCGTTTCAATTATTTAAACTAAACTTGGAAAGAAAATAACAATTGAAACTATGGCATACACATTTGTATATTATTTAAGTTTGATTTTGAATGTAAGTGTAATAGATACAATGTAGTACAAAAATGTAGAGGGGGTTTTTGACTGCGAATATTATATTGTGGCGTATGCTGCTTATGCTGTAGATATAATTAAGTAAGTAAGTAGTTAACGGAAAATAAATTCCTGGAATCAGAAGATTGAAATGAAGAGAACAAGAAACAACAGAGCAGTTTAAATGACAACAGGATTAGAGGAATAATGGAATATATAAAGGGCAACGCAAAGAAGATATGCAAATGATGTATTTAATGTATGATTTACATATTTTATTAAGTCATCGTATGATTTTGTTACACAAAATAATGGAGATTTTCCAACATTAGTCTTCGTTTACTGCAATATTACTGTTAGGATAGATAACGCCACCAATAATCTCAGATTTATTGCATCTGCGCAGGTCACTATTCACCACAACTCTTAGATTCACTTTACTAAGAACAACTGTTAAAGGTACCATTTTTGATTAGTCATTAGATCAAAAAATCTATCATGAAATAATTAGATCTTGAGCTGCATACTGTGATATCATAGGATAAGAAAATATCTTCAAAAGGACAAAAGGCATAATGTTTTCATCATAACACAAAGAGTTTACAAGTGTTATATTCAAATACAGCAGTTACTTAATTCGGGAATCTAAGTCAAGACTACGACATTAATTATTTCATCGTCTACTTGCAAGAGCTCTACATATTTTCAATACGGAAGACACACATTGAAATACAAAACAAGAAATATTGGTTGAGCTAAGAGTTCTCCTCTAGGGTAATCATTTATATTTTGTAAATTTCCTCCTACAGTTGTCAATAAATAGTTCTAAACCAACCAGTATGTTAGAAAGATTATTGAAAAAATTGTTTATTAAGTACAGTAATCACTTAAAGGAACGTGTATATTGTTAAAAACTAAATTTTTGCCTCATTTTTAAGCATAAGGTCAAAAATATGAATGGTATAATATGAACTTTCCAAATCATACCATGATGTAAATTTTTTCTTGAATGGTCCATAGTATTCCTTGAACTACCAGAATCAAGGGGTTTAGACAAATGATCCATCGTGTACAAATCATTTGAACGAGGAGTATGCGTAGATAATAAAGCACTACGCCCTGTTCCCGTTGTACGAGAACTGGGGGTTGATGGTGTGACAGAACCCATACCACGATCATGCGATAATGTGAACTGATGATTCTGTAAAATAATAATAATAATAACAATAATAATAATAATATTAATAATGAAACATGTTGAAATATAATGGACAAAAGCCTTATATTGTTTTTTCCTCAAATCCACATAAAGCCTACTGAATAGTTATCAGAAAACTAGTGCATTTTTATCATTAACAATAGAAGTGTTGAACAGTAGCAAATTATTAATCACCTCATGATAACAAACTCACACGCCCATGAAATATGTCAGATATTTCTGGGTATAATTTTGAAACTAGACAGAAATAAAGTACATAAGAGTGAAATAAAGAAATAATTTTATTGGAATACTAGATGTAAACAAATACATTGGACTTATGTAAATATACTGTGAAGCTATTCAGGCAATACATAGTTGTTAAATAAAAGGCTATGCTGAAAAGTACTCACATTTTCAAGATTAACTCATTAAGGATTTACATAAGGTTAATATCATCAAACTAAAATTTTGTATCGATAAATTGATATACTGCGTCACAAATGAATTCTTCATACGTCACTTACATGTAGGTATGGTTCATAGATATAATGGTGCCAAAATCGATCACCATTCACTCAAATTAGTGATCAGGTAACACATATATGCTTAGAGAAATAGCTTAATTAAAGCCTAATACTCAGATTCAACTGTGTTTGCTTCTTCAATTGTAAACACGACCTAAATGAATTTATCCAAAGCTATGTGAATGTTATCTCTCATTAAATTATAATATAACGCAGTCAAAGAAAAGCGTATACAAAGTATACCAAACACGAAGCATTATATAATAACCTTTTTTTACAGTATATGTTAAAAAATTAGTCACTACTTTTGATATTGAGCGGCCTGCTTGAACATTCGGACCATCTATTCCTTCCATTTGGATATTTCAACAAGTTATCTGTTTACTTTTGTTTTAAAACATCATCGTCTGATAATCAGATAACCTACTCAGGTGTGTTTATGAAATGTTTACAACCTTTTGCTGTACAAATTACAAAAAAGACCAATCATAGACATCGTGGTTTCTGGTAATATGCAGCGAAAAGAATGTACATTATTCAGATGTCGATTCCTGAAGTGCTAACTTCTAACAGGCGACCTACCCAGTATTTATCGTCAGGATCGACTAAGAAGTAAGAAACGGAAACCTGTTGAAATACTTTGTGCCAAGAATTCTATATTGTGCCAAAAATACAGTATTGAATAAAGCTAATAATAAAATAAAAATAACTCAAGCCAAGCACGTTAAAAAAATATGATAAAATGAAAAATTTGTCGCAATTCCAAAGTTACAATTTGACAAATGGTATGTCAATTAAGAAATATTGTGTAAATTACCTACATACAACTAATCCGCGTGACACAATGAAATGGTAAATACAACTGATGGCCACAAACTAAAAAAAATAGAAATCATTATCGAATGGAGCATTCTTTCTAGTTAATTTTCCAATTACTATTCGTTCGAACAGAAAACTGTTTTCAAATATTAATTTAAATGTGGTAAGTACGATTAAAGTCTGCCCTGAAACTGCATTGTCATTAATAGGAAAGCTAAGCCTGTTTATTATTATTATTATTATTATTATTATTATTATTATTATTATTATTATTGTAAGTACAAACAACATTATTAATCGTTTATTTGGATCCTCTCATTGATTTTTAGGACTGCTATTGATCAGTCTCTTATTTGGATATATGCATCCTGTACGGATTGCCTCGATATTGTCTTAAGTCACAAGCATCATAATCTGGATATATCTGCACCTCGGAGTTGATGTTCACTCCGTGACTCGAACACAGTACCGTTTGCTTCAAGCACCATCACTCTATCCACTTAGCTACTGAATCCTGATAGCCACTAGCTTGTGCAATGGGTTGAAGTTTAAATTCATTTTGTATTGTTTATTATTGATCAAAAAATTTTGCAGACTAAAAGTTTAACAAAGAAAAGAAATTTAATTTTGAGGCGAAATAACTACACGATTTTTACTTAATTTTACATCAGCTAAAAATATATCTCTTCTGGTCAACAGAAAAGTTAAGGAAAATAGAGTGGGCGTTTCCTGAATTTAAAATGCATTCTATCTTACATTTTAAAAAAAGCCAACACCATTACATTCTAATCAAAATAATCCAGCCATCAGTCAATCATTCAGATGGGAAATTAAAGAAAACCAATGGAGAGTTTGTTGAAAGACAAACAAATAACAAGCATTATATATATTTTTTCCAGGGATAATCAGTCTGGTTATTTTATGATCTTTTTTATTTGACAAGATTTAATATGAGACAAACGAACGCACACCTACATATACATACAAATTCTTTTAAAAAGATTGATAAAGGCATTCATGAACTAAGGATTTCCAGCAATTATAAGGAACAAATATCTTTAAAAAAGGAAAGGCGATAAACCAAGAAATATATGTCGTAATCATCAGCTTCAGAAATTTGCTGCACAGTATACAATTAATCATTTTGAGAAGACGAAAAATTAATCTTTACTTAACACTAAATAATGTTTAAGATTTTTCTATACTTTATATGATCTCATCTAAGATAAATTACGTTAGTTTCACTAACAAACTACAATACACAAAATAGTAAGGGATTTTTGAATAGATGGACTAATTATGTTAATTAATTATAGAGTAAATATGCCATAAGCTGTTATAGAAGAATAGATAATCACTGTGAGTTGCACAAAACAACAAACCCAACTTACTGAATCAAAGTAGATAGTATGAGTTTCATGTACTGATGGAATTGGTTAAAAAAAGAGACATAAGGTAGATAACATAGCAAGAAATATATGATACTACTCAGCGATTTGATAGTAGTCTAAATTTGGTTTTTAAAAAAGTATAATGTGCATACCTCTTTCTTTTTGCAACTATTGATTAATTTCCGAGGACTATCCACAAATTCTTCACATGAATCGAATTCCGAGCCCACACTTGTTGTTCCATCGACATGATTAAAATTATCACCGAATAGAATTTGTTTCAGATCAATATCTTTACTGGGAAGACTAAAACGTCTTTCACGTTTCTGATGAGGCGAGTCTTGTCTCGAGAATTCATACGAAAAATATTTAGGACTCTTGTTTGATTTGGAGGGATTAGCCTGTAACAGAAATAACTTTATGTCTTAATTAAAATTAACATAAGAAAATTAAACATAACCAGAAAGCAAGTTAATGGAATCGTGGTGAGAAAAATCATATGGCTCTAAGAACATTTACGAAAGTTTACTGACAAGTACATCTATAGTGTTATAATACTTTCGAGATAATCACTTACCTTAAAAAAAAATTTTGAAATTCAAATGGAATGCACTGATTTCTATCAGAATGTTAGTATAAAGTACATTGTACAATTTCGGAAAAAATATCCCCTATGTCGGAAGTGAGATGGTTACCCGGTAATGGTATTAGAAAATGGTTACGCTACGTTACGAACTGACTGAAGTTCGACATGCAAAATGCTATACACTGGTTCAGTGGTCTAAAGGTCAAGAGATCACAGCGAGACTTGACAGCTCCGGGTTCGATCTCTGATGGGGTTTTGGATGCGTACTGCTGAAGAGTCTCATACTAAAATAAAACAGCCATCCAGTGTTTCCTAGTTTTAAATGGTTATTTAAATAAAGTCAGTTGGCGATATAAATTACAAAACAACTTAACAGAGATCTCAATACTCGATCAGTAAAAAGATGTATAGTGAATTAAATACATCTAATATACTAATTATTATAGTCTTTCAAAATTTTCTCTTAGTAACTTCTCAAACTGTCAGTTTTAAAAATTACAATCAAACGATATTCAATGATAAAGATAAGGGTGAAGTAAAGAGACCTCACCTATATATTTTCAAGCACATGGTGTGCCACAGCTGTGCTCGAAAGCAGCCACAAATTTACAGACTTGTAGTATCGGTTGTTATGTTAAGCCCATATACTTTATCCTAGCTACTGGCCAAGCCAATTCGCTTGTCATGAGTCATATTTTGATCTTGTTAATCATTCGCTTATTAACCTTGACTATACTTTTATATGAGCGTATACGTGTACACTTCGTATCCTATTCATCATATGTCTGTCACTCATTTTTGTCTGGCTATAAATGTTGATTAACGCTTGCTTAAATTGAGTTGGCTTCCCCGCCAATCTCCAATACGCATCATCTTTCGCCTCGCTCTCGAGTTGGCTTCCCAGCCATCTCCGATATGCGTTATTTTTGTTTCGCTCTCGAGTTGGCTTCTCCGCTATCTCCACTGCATGTCATTTATGTTCTGCTCTCATCTATTTACTTCATCGTTCTGATTCCCTGGCCAGATCAATGAGTGTAGGAAATATATGTATTCTAAATCCATTCTCGTATTTGACTTATCATATTCCGTTATTCACCAACGCGGATAAAGTCATTTATTACATACGAGGATAGACAGTACTTACGATCAAAAAGGAATCAGATTTAGGCCACTACAGACTTCAAGTCATTGGTATTAAACGCTCAATTTGACCTGATTATTCACTAACGCCGTTGTATAATAAAAAAGCCACTAAGACTTTATTGTTCATAGGCAGAAACATCATTTTCCCATTATTTTCTAGTGATAACAAAAACAATTTTCGTCAAATTACCCGATGGTATTCTAACGAATGTTCATGTAAACCGTTGTACAAAACAGTTTGATATAATACCTTTCCTTATATATGGACATTTTTCGTCTGTCCTATGAGTGGCACTGTTAGTGGTAAAAGGACAAGTGTCCGATTCCCAAACCACGCTATTATTAAAAATTCTTATGAATATTTAAATTTTATAGAATATATAATACACATCCAAATGATCAAGCAACACTACACATAAAACAGATGAAATATGACAGAATTGATCCAATTGTGAAAACATATGAGATATTAGACAGGGATTTGTTTAGTGACATAAACAAACTGTCCAGTTGTTAAAATGCTAAGTTTCGTGAGTTCTATATAAAATATAAACACTAATTCTTGGATCGTTGCATTATACAATTATTGGAAGTGTTGTGTATATACTATCAGTTGATGATAACCAAACTATTGGTTTAACCTAATAAACTCATAATAACTTACAGACTTAAAAAATATAAATGTTAGAGTCTATACGGATTTCAGGAACCAAATGTTCCCAATTTCCATATCGTTAGTAGTAAAAAACACATCCATCGCTACACTTTAAACTTGGAGCAAAATACATGAGGCGTTATCTTAATTCTCATTGGTTAAATCAAGGTCGTAAGTATATTATACTTTTATTCACTAAAGAATAAATAATGAAATGATTTGACTTACATGCTTTGCTTCATCTGACGATGATTTAGGTAAAGTTACGAAAGAATTCAAGTATACATTATTAGTAGTGATATTATTTCGACTATTTAATTCATATTGACTGGATTCAAATTTTAATAGATGTGCCATAGTCCACATTTTATTCAGTTCACTTTCCAATATTTTTATACGATTATTCAATTCATTTGTTTCAGAATTGTTATTAACAGTGACATTACTATTATTATGATGAACAGTGTCATTTTGCATCGTTGATTCTTCAACTCGAAGTTGTAATAATTCAGACTAAACGAATTAAATAAAGTCCACAATAATATTTGGAAAAAAATAAGTATGAAAAAAAAGAAACAAGAATTGGCTTTTATGTATAAAAAAAATAAAATTATGTAAAACGGACTTAATATTTAGTCACCTACCTATTGGATATAAAGTAGAGCTGGATCAGCACTAAGGACTAAACAAACTACTACTTAGTGATCAATCAATGTAAATATCTCGGTTCTACAAGAGATAAGTTGAGGTTCGACTAGTTCTGTATCTACATCTTAGACTCTGAAACATGGTAACCTGGGTTTGCATCCACCATATCGTATCAGTTCCTTGAATATTAATGTTAGGTGGTTAGAGACAGTCGGCAAGAAACCCTGCTTAACCTATATTACTTACGAGTCATCACTCGCTAGAAAGACATACTATCAAATTTATACTACGAAAACTGAAAAAAGCTCGATTAAAACAAATAAAATAGATGTAAACGAGGCATTGGATTCGCTTTTTTGATATTTGGAGGACACAAATGTCAAAATCTCCTTTGGCTTCTATCTAATTTGATAGACTAAGGTCCAAATGAAATGAACAGGCGTTGTCAAAAAGAGAATTAAATCAGAATGTCCACTGCTTTTATTACATAATATACATGAAATACGATCTTCAAAACTAGGAGGGGGGCGTGAAATGGCTAAACATATACACTAGAAAATCTTTGGATACGTTGCAAACAATAAATGAATAATGATGAAGTTAGATGTGGAATACTAAGTAAAGGTAATATGAATCTTCATACTCTAAAGTACTTGCCATGTACGTTATTGATACATAACCATCGACTACCTTGCCAGAGTATACTGATTAGCTCTAAATCAGGTCGGCGATGAGGGACAAACCGCCGAGTAATTTCATAGATTTGGGAAGGGTAAAGGTAAGTGCAAACTTCCTGGTTAAAATTCGGGAAATAACTTTAATATGTGGTCGAAGATACTATGTGACAAGGTTTATAACAGGTCTTAGTAGTGTCAATGTATCCACCTAGGTAGTTTAGTGAAAGTTTTGAATAATCTGATGTCACTCTCATTTCCACTGCTCTATTTCACTTGTACATTTAATCCTTTATCGGAATACTAAAGTGAAACATAGCAACTTTGACCGATACATCTCTGTGCTGGGTTCTACATTATTCATTATTATCTGTTTACTTGATAGTAAACAGTTTGTCTGCTACTAAATATAATTTAGTCCTGGTCTTCTTATCGAACGATAGATACCTATAAGCGTCCTGCTTTCCTCGCATAAAATTACTTGTTAGTAATGGAATGTAGCATTTAGTTTTTAGATTATACATGAAATTAAAGAGCATTTAGGGGTAAAAGAAAAATATAACAAACACTATACACATTAGAACTAGCACTTTCCATACAACTTTAAAACTAACAGTAAATTACAAAATATCAAAGATGAGTCAATGGTCCAGAGAATACAGAATTCAACTTTTAACCAACTGATAGCAAATTCGAAATCTGCCGTGTTTACTAAGGTTCAAAAAGATAAGTAGTAGTTGTGCCAATAAGTCTTACAAAAAAAGACATTTAGCTCAAATTTTAGTTCATAAAATGCTTATGGATATTAAATAAACCGGATTATGAAACACCAATCAAATAAACCGTTTCCAACATCATCTTTAATCAAAACCAAAAACAGAAAACTTACCTTACACAAACAGTTATTGAGTCGTAAATTTTATTGGAATTATACACATGAATCCTCGGTTTGTACAATAATATAACTTGACCCTACATAACCCTAACTCTTGCAGTCCACAATAGAGCAATCGTCACTGGAAACTTTTTACATTTAATGTATTAAATAACTATTATAAAATCACCTAGAAGTGATAATGAAAAATCGACCTGTTGTATTGACGAGTGACCTACATTATTTTGAGGTCTCAGTTTATTATAACATTTAAACACTCAAGTTTAAATATCAGAGTAGAAAATAAATCAATGTAAGCCACAAGATTCACATTAATAGTTAAAAACAGAGGCTACATATTTACTTCCCGTAATCTAAGGATTTCATCAAGTCAACTACTGGTGAGAACACTGTACCTGACCTAAGATTTCAAAGCCTATGTGTTGACGATAACCTTTGATAAGTTATTGATTGACTGTTAGTATTTTACCAATAAATTAGAAATCTCGTCGATCTACAACAGGATTATTATTATTAAACATTTGTAAAACAAGTCTATCATTAAACGTAACTAAGTAAGTCACTCATGAATTAAGCAAAAAAAATCTGATAATAATACACGAACAATCTATAGCTAAAAATGGACTTATTTTTAAGCCTTCAGACAGATTTTCGACTTGTAACAGAAATTACTGATTAATCTGGAAAGTTAGTGATGAGCACAATTGTAATTAACAAAATATAACAATGAACTCATCTGCAAGCACTCTCAAAATTCAACCTTAGAACAGTTCCCTTTCAATTAACTTTTTTACTAATATTGACAATTCATGATATCAATTTAAACTCAACAACTCCCACAATCCTATACTGATAATTCCAGCTACATTTTAACTGATCATTACACATTCAGGCCCTTAGAACAAGAAATAAATAAGTCTGTAAACGGGGTATATATATATATACAACAATTAAAGCAAATCTTTCGACATACCTGTAAATGAGATAATTTCATCTGAATCTGTTCCACATCTGATTGTTTAAATGATTTGTATAAAGATTTATTCTCCGGTTGTGATGATGACCTAGTTGGTTTTTTCTCTTCCAATAAATCAGACTATTCATTTGAATAAACAATTAATGAATGGGAAAAAAATTAATAAAACATAGTGAGAAGTATATGTTAATAGGCTTCCAACTGATATGTGGAAAACGTGGTGATTCCGAGTAAATGAAGTCTAATAATGAAAAATACAATTCATAAAATCATGAAAGTCAACTTAGTCTATTTAACACACCCTAAAGAGTTGAACAGTGATTCAAACAAACAAACAAAATGAGAAAACTATTTCTCTCTAAAAAATATATATTTACTCATTTGTATTTTGAAAGTATATGATACACACATGTTCAGGAACCAATAGGTAAGAGGGAATACTTGAAAATAAAATGGTAACGCCTATTCGGGAAAAGTTCGAAATGTGATATTTAGTAAGTAGGAAAAACGTCAATAGTTTCATTAAGTGATTGCCTTATTATATATACATATATATATCACAATGATTATAACTTGCCTTCTACAAAAAATCAATTATCATAGCATAAGTGAAATTAAACTCATCAACACATGAACTATGGGCTATAGGTCAAGGTCGGAGTCGAACTAGAAAATATTTGGGTTTAATGAAGTATACACTCAGTTTTGATTATATCATTAATTGTACAGTTATAAATAGCAAGAAATAAAAAATGATATTATATATTACATCTTTAGAGTATCCCCAAAACAGGAGCGTAATCTATCACAAAAGTACATAAAACCTGGATAGGTAACATGTTGATTGTTTTGTAACTAATGTACACTAGTATAATGAGACTACTTGCTACTACGGTGGTGTGGGTTACTTATATCCACATAAGTATTATATGGTAATGGTGAGGCATAGAATGTATTTTGGCAGAAGATCGATGATGAAAGAATGGGAACGAAGCGCAATCGGTATGAAAATGCATGAACAATGAAATCAGAGAAGATGGACTGATGTTTGCAGAAGTAACAGTCAAGATTGAGACAATTGATTGTTATTTTGCAAATTAACTGTTTACTGTATGGTTATCAGATATTAGTGAGGTAGTCTGTAATTTGTGCTTAAATATATTGGATTGTCCCCACCTGTGTTCTTGTTCACTACACACACACAAATCATTCGGTTTATGTGAGGGCTGGGATATTGTCCGGGCATCCAAACCGAAGCAGTATAATGAGACAACGATATTTGGATCTGTAATATAACACTGTTGTGGATTTCTAGTACACTCTGATTAGTTTCTACTTATGAATGTTATCTTTCTTCCGAATGTAAGCTTCCATTCGTTATTCTCGATGACACCTTTTGTGAATTATTTGCTTCCTTAAACAGTTTCATGGATGCTTTCAGTGGGCTATTACACATAGTACTACAATCATCAGTTTCTCTTTAGTTGACAAATCTTTGCTTGTACTTGGAACTTAATTGAGAAAGAATTTAGGTCGTTTATTGTTTACAATCTATGCAGTGTATGCTTCAAAGTATTCACACTTATCATTTATTGGGACTTTTTAAACATTGTTAAAAATCGCTTTAGAAAAATCTATTGCACTATTTTTCAAGCCTTCAACTAGTCCACTTTTAAAAGCAGGTGTTCAGCTTTATAAAAAAACAACTAATGCTTTAAAGGCATAAGACGCTATACAAGATAAGAATGAGGTTTTTAAAAATGTGGATGGGTGGCTTCTACCTGAAGTTTGTGCTGATGATGTTGTTCAAAAGAACGATGAAAGCTCCACGACCAAACCATCCGGCTCAGAGAACAAAACTCTATCAGAACCTATCTTAGTCACTAGCTACCATGGAACTGTGACTCGATATTATTCCATAGCCCTGTGGATTAGACGCTGAGGTCAAATATTCTCTAAGAAAATTAACTGCTTCGATTCTGATCCCCAAGCAATACCCCAGTCCATACACATACGGTAATAAACACTAATGAAGAAAATGATGATTACGATTCATTTAATTAATACACTGACGTTTGTAAGCTATGAAAACCATAATTATATTGTCATGTTGAAATCTATTTTATTTCATCTTGATATTCAACATTGTTTTGTTCCCATACTCGCTCACTCTTTTATCTACTAAAAATATCATAATTTCATTTAAATGGTTTATTTTTTGGTTCCAATGGTCGTGGAATTTAAATATACAATACATAGATAAGCTTTAACAAAATCAGTCAAGAATGCATTAAAATATTCTGACAAATGAACTCGACTTACTGATTTTACATCATCGAGAGGTTTATCGAGTGTCGGAGACTTAGGACCCTTATCACGAAACAATGCAACTGTTGGAGATGAGCGATTAGGTGGTGGATTTGATTGAGGTAATTGACCTGAAAAATTAACATATTACGGAATGAGGGTAAGAAAGTTGAATCACTTGTTAATAGAGATTACTGTGACAACTTTCAGGCAACTAGCGAAGATAATCATGAAATAATGATTATCACGGACGAGAGTAAAATACTGCATATCATTTAATTTAATTCAAACTTCGGAATAATGTGGAGCAAAAAACCTTTATGTGACCATTAACTTAGTTCAATATTTTAAGGAATCAAGTTACACTACCTACTAGGATTAAGTAATATAATGCAATATCGCAAATTACAAGATTTGAAAAATAATCCCTAGTCCTCCATTGATTTAATTCCCTTAGTGAACTCATCAATTATAACTTAATTGCAAATTACTAATTGACTAGTGACAAACTAAATTATCATGTTATAGGTCAGTCGAATGCATTTAATTTCGACGAGTGGAAGAGAGGGAAAAATTTTATGAATTACAAGTAAATCTTGTTCCACTCATCAATTGATTCTACGAATAAAATTGATACATACGATTGTCAGAAAACTTGGATCATTTTTTTACGCGTTTACGTCACCCTTAAAACCCGTGATGTACTGCTCCTTAATATCGTTTATTATTACAATTGATTTTTTTACTATTAGTTACCAAAAGATTGACGGTGAAACAAGTTTAGTAAGTCCATATTTAAGTCAAGCACTTTGATTCAATTTCATTAGTTTTATATTTACTGAAGACAAATACATGCAAGATTACTATAATATTCGGATTCCCTTTAAACAATGAGTTAAACAAAAGGTTTCATCATGATAAAATAGACCATCTTCATTAAATTGTAGATAAGAGGTATTTTTTATACGACAATTCTAAAAGCCCTAGAGGTAAACATCTCTAATTGATCTACGATATGATTGTTTGTAAAGATTGCACTAGAATGAGTATTAAAAAGGTTAGCAAATTTTCCATTGTTATTTTTGCCAATAAATTAGGATTTAATCGTATATAAATGGAAGGTGAGACTGTTGGGTATGTCAGGATTAAGTACCACTCAATCATATTCAAAAGAAACAACGGTGAAACAACTATATTCTAATCTTATTCTCACTCTGATTAGTTTCACTGTAATGCGTGATATTAATAATGAAGCATACATAATTCTCTTCATATCTTGTATCACAACACAACTGGCTATTGAGCTTAAACTTCTTATGATCAAAATCACTAATAGGATAGGAATCATAACTGAGTAATTAATAAACTGTCAATTGAATACCTACATTAAATAAACTCTTGAGATAAAGTAATCGAAAAAATCATTATGAACTAGGAATCTGCTTGTTAGTCTAGTTCAATAATTAACAGTCGATAGAACAATACAACTGCTTTGTTAAGAATTTTTCATATTAACCTCAACTAAACAACAATTCACCTTACAAGAAGTGATCCGACAGTTGATGACATATCAATGTAAATTAAAATTACATTGTATATACTTGAACATAAAAGAGTCAAATGATATAACACCATTAACAGTACACTTAACAGTTTTCTGTTTTAAGTCACAATAAAATAGGATGTCTGAAAGTAGTAGGCAAAATATTTACTTACTGAGTTTATCATTCAAACTGATCAGATTGTGATCTAATTCAGGATTTAATTCTTGATTTACATTATTCAATAGTACCTGATAAATTTAACAAAAGAAAAGTGTGAATTACAAGGATAACCAATATTGTCTGAATATGGTAGAGTAATGAACTGAGGTAAGTTATAGAAATAAATGGAAAATAAACAAGTTGTATACTGAAAATAATCATCTTAAAGTTTTATGATAACAAAGATTTAAACTTAGAGAGAAACAAATTCATTGGAATAACACCTTGACATAAAGTCTGCTAGACAAAAGTATATACTATGAAATTAATTAAACTACCCTATGTTACTAATACAATGATGTCAAAGTAAGATGAACTGGAATTTGTCGACATAGTTTAAATAAAAAGCATAGTGAATGAGGTTAAACTCTGTAGCAATACATGAAAGTTTAAAGAAATCAGTTGAAGTTATCCGTAATGATTTCAATGTTCACTGAGTGTATCGTAACTAGTATTTCCTATTCAGCTATTGAGTGAGTGATGCATATTACAGTGAGATTTACTTTTTTTAATTTCTTTCAATAAGTAACTCAGTACATTTGTGTTTTTCATTCAGCATATCCGGCTTTGATACACTTGATATGCTCATAACATGCATTCTCAGGTAATTCCAGCCGCGAAGTCCACAAACTACTGTACTACCAACTAAGCTGTTAATTTTGTAAATATGATAATCAAATAATTAGGTGCTATTAATTCAAGTCAAGAATATATATATATATATATATATATATATATATATATATATATATATATATATATATAGATAGATAGATAGAGTAGTATTTAAGAACGCTATACCACTGTTCTTTTAGCGATTTACTATCACTGATATGTTGTGTCACCACATAAATGGTCTAATTGCAGTCATGATTATAATAGTATTATTAGTTTCAGAAGTGCGGTTTTTTAACGATTTTTAGAAAAAGAACAATCATAATGGGACTCGAAGGGTAAAATGATTTTATTTGAGCTAAAGATGTGAACAGACCAAAACTACAACAGTAAAAATAATATCAGAGATGGATGGTGGCTAATAGCGTAATCCAAGATGTGCGTTTCGTCCTACTCGGCACTCATTGGCTGTTATAACTGGATCCGAATTGATGTTCAAACTGGAACCCGAACCCAGTGCCGTTTGCTTCAAATACTGCGTCTAGACATCCATTAGCTTATGCAATGGGGTGAAGTTTCGTCCATTTTAGTACTGGTTATTTGAATATTCCCATTGATGTTTAAGACTCCTAATCAGTCTATTTTGACATATCTTCAACCTATGTGGCTTGCCTGGATATTTCCTTAAGTCACAAGGATTAGAAGCCGCCATCCATCTCTGTTTATAATCTTTGTGACTTAAGGAAACCCACACAGGATGAAAATAGGCCAAAACAGACTGATCATCAGGAGTTCTAGACATCAATGGGAAGATTCAAACAAGCAATACAAAATTGAATTAAACAATAAGATCATTTTAAAGATGAAATAGTTTAACATATTTTAATTAGTGACATTTAAATGATAAAACGATGATACGGAAAACGATGGAAAATAAGCTTTGTGCGTGAAAATTAAGATCGTAGTTAAGATAGACACATGTGTATGTATGTGAAATAATCGTAATTGCTTCATCACAGCTATTTTTGTTGCAACAAAACAGTAATTTCCACACTTTTATTCTGTATACATAGACCAATTTGGAAAGGTTTGTTGGTAATGGGCTCTGTTAAGCAAAATATAGTGTTTGTTAATTGTTTTAAAAGAAGTCGAATATATCCATTCAGTAGTCTCTATCAATAGAGTGTTGGACGATTACACTTGTAAATATTTTGTTCTTTTAATAAATATTTAGTAATATAGACCAAATCCCATTTATTTATGGGTTAGCTCCCTATCAGTACAACCGTAGTTGTTTTGTAGATTTTTCTCTAAAAAGTTAACACCTTGAACAGTTAACGAATGAAGCCACATTTTCTAGCTGACAGTTTAGCGTCTATTATAATTAAGAATGTTTTTTCTCCGTAATTCATAATAAATATCTTAACATATCAATGTCCCAGTGTTTATATCAAATCTATTGAATGTGGTTAATTTAATTTAACGTGTACTTAATGTTAATAATGTTTAAAATGCCAAGAGTCTTCCATACTTCTTAAACAATGGAGTTTTTTCATCATCATCGTTAATAAGACTACTCGGGTTGTACTTGATCAAGGTTAGAAGTATCCTCATCACTAGTGTTATACCAACCCCATGATTTTGAAGGATTAGGAGGATTTACAAAGTAAAAATATTAACTACCAATATATTAAGAAATATCTACATAATTACATTGAGATATCATTACAATAAAACCATAAGTAAATTAATTGCTCACTACACTACATAGTCAAACTTTGTTGAATCAATATAAACCCATGTTTTTTATGAGAAAAAAAAAGAGAGAAAGCAGAAAGTAGAAAACAACGATAATAAAATGAGAAAATCCCCCTTTAGAGTAACATTTACTAATCATGATTAAGTAATCCTGTAGTATGGTCGAGTCATATCCATATGAGTAGTATATGGTGATGGTCAGACATAGAATGTATTTTGGCAGAAGATCGATAGGGAAGGAACTGAAATGAAGCGCAATTTGTAGGAAAATGCATGAACAATGAAATTAGAGAAGGAACAGTGAAGATTGAGGCAATTGGTTGTTATTTTGCAAATTAACTGTTTGCTGTATGGTTATCAGAATTTAGTGAAATAGTCTGTAATTTGTGCTTAAATACATTCGATTGTCCGCACTCGTGTTCTGTTCATTACAATCCAACCAATTCAACTAGAGGTAAACTTAACTAGACATCATTAAATCAGAAAACAAAACAACAACAACAACAAAACGACTAATTGTGTTTAGACTTTTAAACACACACACACACACACAAAGATAACTTTCTATAGATAAATATTTCAAAACTTTATATCACAACAAGTAAGTTCCACAGTAATATGTTCCACTTACAATATCAGAAGAAGTATATTGATGTGTAATATTAGAATTTTCATGGATGATATCATTACAATCATTCTCTAGTTTATTATCTAAGCAATTAGGATAGCATTTATTACAGTCATTATTATTATCATTTATATTTGAACACATTTTCTTTTGTACATTGATTAGATGATTATTAGATGAACATTTGTTTTTTATGAATGAATGATTATTTGTTGGTATACATTGAAACATACATTTACCTAAATAAGGTTGATCACCAGTATCATGAATCTTAAAGAGAGAAAAAATAAAAGAGACAAAAACAAAATAATATAGTACAAATGAAAAATAAATTTTAAGAAAACAACAACAACATAACGTTAGGATAAATCTGGTTTCATCGACACCTGAACTAATTATAGGGAGTAAAGTAGTTGAGCGTGTTGACCGCTTCACTTATTTTAGGAGTCTCATTAGACCTTGTGGTCTGGTGTGTGACGAGATCTAAGCACGGATACAGAAGGCTCGTCTAGTTTTTGCCAACTTGCACCATTTATAGCATAGACGAGATATCCGTCTACCAACCAAAGGATGGGTTTACTGCTCAGCAGTTCGTTCCGTCCTACTTTATGGTAGTGAAACATAGTCGATAAGAGTAGAGGATATTTATAGGCTACTAGTTTTCGATCATAGGTGTCTTCGAAGCATTGTTCGTATATTCTGGGACTAACGAGTAAGTAATGCAGTTGTTAGGAAACGGGTTCTAGGTAAGGATTGCAAGTCGATTGATGGAGTAGTGAAACTTCATCAGTTGAGATGGCTGGGACACGTGTTACGTATGCCCAACCACCGACTGCCCCGACGTGCAATGTTTTATGGTGTAGGAGTAGGGTGGAAAAAAGCTAGGAGCAGCCAGACCAAAAAGTGGCACAAATCGATGAAGTCACTGACAATTGGACTGAGCCATGTTGGTAGGTGTAGACTATCTGATTGGGATCCACGAGATGATAACAACCGATGGTTAGAGACCTTGAATGACATGGCTGAAAATCGTTTGCAATGACGAAAGTGCATCTACTCTTTGTATTCTGTCCAATCCTAATCTTCTGAATTATTCATGTCCGTATCCTTTTTCTCTTTCTAAATTTATTTCACTGGATTTTACTTCTTGAATAACATCTGAAAACCCTAATCTTTCGCAATATTGTTTATACTCTTACTACCTCTACCAGTATGTAATTTGAATCGACAACTGCATCTCTGTGTTAATGTGGTATGGCAACTCGAACTAATGTACGTACGTACGAAGTTCTACGTTGTAACTGACTAAATTGACTGTATGTAACTTGAAACATAACGCTACAAATGATATAGATTGAATAACGACAAATACCAATTAGCGTTCTTTTTAATTAAAAAAATCAATCAATCGTCCTGATATGATACTCATCAGCAATTCAGTTTAGATAGATTCGTGAATTCAATTGTGAAAATACTACAATCTCTACAAATTCTCATACTTATAAATTTGAAACTATTCAAAGAGAATCGTAGAATTTGTTAACCATTTATCTAAAATAAAAATGTTAAACATTCTTAGCATAAATCTAGGAGATAAAATTTTGTAAACAGTTCAAACAAATAAAATGTCCAAATATTATCATAATCATATTTAAATCTGGTTTCCTTATATTATCTAAACTACTTCTCCCTTTCCAAAATTGGCTCTATATGAAGTTATAATTAACAACAATGTATATGTATATATAACTAATAGGATATGGGGACCTGAGCAGTTATACATATGTACCAGCTTCTACGTTGTGACTGACTGACTATATGTAAGATGTGATTTTGTAATTGTTCTTAATGAAAGTGTAGTAAATAGATAATTAGTTAGGACAATCGAATGTATTTAAGCACAAATTACAGACTATCTCACTAATATCTGATAACCATACAATGAACAGTTAATTTGCAAAATAACAATCAATTGTCTCGATCTTAACTGTTCCTTCTGCAAATATCAATCTGTCTTCTCTGATTTCATTGATCATGCATTTTCGTACCGGTTACGCTTCATTCCTGTTCGTTCCTTATCGATCTTCTGCCAAAATATATTCTATGTCTGACCATCACTATATACTACTTATATGGATATAAGTAGACCACGCCACAAAAGTACGAATAAACTTTGTATTTAAGTATCAAATAAAAGCCGATTTAACTATTCACCTAACTGAAAGTTTTATTTCTGGTAATAAAGACAAATAAGTAAAAAAAATAACTAGATTTAGTTAGTAAATAAAGACTCCCAATTAATGAATGATCAATCTATATGTAGAGGGACTTCCAGAAAAATAAGCATTAGGTTTGGTTATTTTTCTGATAGTCCCTCTACAAAGTAAAATTTTCTAAATTTTTTTCCCACAATATCTTTTTAGTCGTTTTTTATTACTCAAATAAACATTTTGTAGTTACGGTCTGAAAACAAAGCTACTTCTAAAAAAGTGTATTTCCAGACAGACAATTAGGCAAAAAAAATAATAATAACATGATGAGTCATAATTAAATTAGTCGAATTTTATATTGGCCAATTACATTACAGAATAAAATGATAAGCCGTTGATTTTATCGATCCAAGGGGATAGAAAAATCTTCCATGTAGTGTACAATATGGAATTAAACACGCTAGTGACAAAGTAAAAAAAATCCAAGGAGTGAACAATGTTGACAAAATTGTATTAGTACACTTTTCAATCAGGAGTAGAATTAACGTCTGTTTCATTAGTCATTTGTATAGGACTTGGAGCTATCACAACGACTGACAGAAAACTTAGACTATTATAAAGAAGCAATAAAAACATGCTTAAACAAATCACGCAAATTATGGTATACTATTTTCTCATCTTAAGCAGAATTCTAGGATTCTAGCGACAATCTTATACCATTCCTCTTCTTACTCAATAATTATGAAAATAAGTCAAGCCAATCACATGAATATCAAGGATTTTGTTCCAGCTAATTAAAACGAATTTTCCGTTTACAGGGTAAAGGGATCTGAACGTTGTTTAGGGCAATTATAACCGATCCATAAACCGTGAAGTACCATCATTTCCACTGGTGGCACATCTGATGAAATGAACAACCGGAGTTTCGATGAGTTTTGATGTTCTTATATTAAGGATGATTACTGAATTATAGATTTAATCGCTAGTTCGACTTCATTTTTGATCAAACTGTCATCCAGATTGACTAGAGAATCTCAAGATATTTTACATACCGAAAGATGATATCGAATAAAACTAGACATTATTATGCTGAAATATCTTACAGGAAAACAGTTAAATATATTATTGCAATAATACAAATAGGATTTCGACTATAAAGGAGAAATAAATTGTTAATTTGAATTATTTTGGTTCTAAGCGGGAAAAAAGGTTGTAAACGTATGTTCCCAAAGAAATGTATCTCAGTTGTAGCTACACATATTCTTAAACTATTTATTAACGGTCAAGTATAAACTCTTATTCAAAGAATTTCGTAGTCGGTTTGGAGCGGTGAAACGCTAGTTTTGTTTAAGACATACTAAAAATAAGTTTTATAGAACACATCTACAAGGAATACTTTACTTAGCTTTCATAAAAATGTAAGGACCACAACAAATAATATTCATTTTCTAATCCAGATTTAGATTACACAAAATTAGAATAACTTATGATCATAAATAATCCATATTACGAAATGATATATCGAAAAATTCATTAAAGACCCAATCTTAGTACAATACGAAAAAAGCAAATATTACTTACTTGGTGAACATCAGATGAGTTATCTCGTGGTTTTGATAGACATGAACCAACTAAGCCCAACTTCTCATCAATCTTATGAAAAGCTAATCCCTGTTCTAATTCAAAATGTTTTAAACATGCGCGTGCTAACTCCTCAGATTTTAAATGAAGCTATCAATTTTTTGAAAACATAAATGAAATATTAAATAAATGTGGTTACGTAAGCACAACAATTTAAATATAAATTTGGCCTTACGCTAATAAGTGACCTGACGAGACAAAACAGTATGACTATATCCCACCCATTACTAAGTAGAAATATTCCTTATAGCAAACCGGGTCAAAAAGAAATTGTGAATTGTAATTGGTTGAGAAAAAAAACAGAAAAATGTGAGATTATTAGCCGTTTTAAAAAAACATGTCTGCATAGCACCAGGGAGCGGTCATTATAAGAAGAATTATTAGATATATATATTTAAAAAAATTCTTATTGTTCGATGAGAATAATACAAAAGACTAGTTAAGCTTTGTTTAATTGAGTCCATAGTTTTATGTTTCCTATTTAATATTACAAACTAATACTGTTAAGAGGTGGTTTTAATCACTACGACCAAAATTAGGCCATCTGATGTAACACCAAGATACGTCGTATTCGGTATTAACCAACCAGTGAGAAAGTATGACTGAATTGATTATGTGTTAATCTCCTTAAAGCGACTTCTAGTTTTCCAACCACAAGGCTCGACAGGTTAATGGATGAGTATCGACAGATTCTACCTTAATATTAAACTAATGGTATTCAGTTTCAGATAATGGTCACGTATATCCTCTGACAGATTTCTGGGGCGACAGATAGTTAGTAACAGGAATCTTACTGGATCGTTAAGCCAGAAATTTTAGTGTCGACGACAATTTTCACTATTTGACAAACGGTTTTAAAGAACTTTGCAATACAATCTCATCTACGAAATATGAGCATTAGACAGAAGAGAAACAATAATGATATTATTAGCGAAGAACAGAACAACTAAAAAGTACGTGCTGAAAAAGGTATATAACTAGAGTAGATTGATAATATACACTTGCAACTGTTAAGGTTAATCTAAATCAGTGTTATTGTGACGTGTGGCTGTTGCCAAGGCAATTATTGTGACCTTTCATATCCCAGCATTATTGTGAACCCCTCAACATTGAATATAACAGGTAATGCATACATATTCCTAATGGTTTCTAGCATATACTGTGACATGTACTTATTTTATTGTCATTCCTTGAGATAATAGATTTCTTGTAAAGTCCTGTCTCTTTTCCTTGAATCCACCTGCGACAAAAACAACATTGACTTTTCAAATATCCACTGTATTAAAGTGTTAGAAAAACAAATTTACATGACAATATTAGAATACAGAAGCACGTTTCTAGAATTAAAGACTTCTAGGTCAAACTTATTGGTAGCTTATCATCTGCTTCCCCTTAAAAACCAATACAGAGTAAAGTGCCAATGATACAATTCAGTCCTACAACATATATACAAAAATATACGTCAGGTAGAGAATAAGTAATTGATGTTTGACTGTTATTTTTTGTTTAACAACGTAACTAAACAATCCATGGCTTGAATATGAATTGTCATTTAAGCGTTAAATCTTACACTAAATGGTAAGCACATACGGATTATCGCAAACTGTAATACCTAACACAAACCAATGTGGATATATTTAGGATAAGTTTATTTAACAATGACATAATGAAACGAATAGTGAAGAAGATTGAATTTTTAGTGTTTAGATCAAAGTCGATTCAGTATGTAGCCTTATGTAACTTTCAACTAAACTATAAACGACTAAGAGTAAATAATATATAATTTCTTAGACTATCTAAAGTGCTCAGCTTAATTTAATGAGGCAGTTCTAAAAAGATGCGAAGTTTCTAAAAGAGAATAAATAGATTGTTCTATTAATAAAAGAGGTTTGAGTTCATATTTATGTGGATGTCCACTTAAATAAGTGGCAAAAAAGTCGATTAAAAAAACAGTGAAAGCTTTTTATTACCAAATTATCCTTAGCATGTAATTCTTCTTGTAAATGAGAAATTAAATCATTCTCCAATTTCCTTTTGCGTAGAGTTTCATTTAGCTGAAATTGTTCATGTGATAGATCTTTTTTCAACAGCGAGTTTTTCGTCTCTACTTCTTTTAATTGGCTTTCATACATGTTTAACTTGTTTAAATATCTCGATATTTCAACTAAAAGTAAAAAGTGAATATGCCGATTAAATCTTATTATCCATTTGATACAAAGTAAATTCTAACTATCTTTACAACCTCACCTTGAGAGAATCGTTGTTCTGCTACTTGTCTTTCAAATGGAAGGACTTCTTTGTTGTCCAGTAAAATAAGTGAACATAAATGGAATATAATAAATATCCGACAAAGTGACTGAGTGTCAAATTTTTCAATAGTATTTTTCACTACAGCTTCATCACTACTAGAGCTGTTATGAGTATTTATTATAAGTTGTTTAACCGCTGGATTGCCTTCAAATGTGAAAGCTGTGAGATTAGATAGAGATCTCAAGTATGTTATTTGATGGAGCTGTAAATAGAAAGGTAGAAATCAGAAATATAATAGGTTATCAAATCACCATAAACAAAATATCTGGAGGGATGTTTAGCTCCAAATAAAACAAACAACCTGTCAGAATGAAGGCAGTGTCAAAGTAAATTGCTAATACGTGAAAACTGGCCCGATCTTATATCATAAACATGGTATTACTAAAAGCCCTTGAACTTTAATTTTCCAAGAAAGCCGTAGAGAAACTAAAATATTTCTTAAAATTATCAGATACTGTTAACTCTGTGAATACATCAATCACTCATAAACACAAAATCAGGTACATATGTGCATCGGTGCAAGTTGTGGATGCGTAACAAGTGCTCACAAAGCTATCCATTGGTAAAATGTATGGCTTGTTGTGGAACGTATTGGTCGTAAAAGTAAGGACATCACTTGTCCGCAGAAATCAGATCCACTAGATAAGGTTTGAAGTATTAAACGAAGTAGCACGAAAGTGACACCACTGTAACCTTACTACAGCAGTTGAAGACATATAACGTTACCAACATCAATATGGCCAAAACAATCAGCATCTTCAGTAGCCTTAACTTTTTCACGTTATGTAAAGATAAGAATAAGGGTTTTTGGTCAGTTCAGTCGGGAATTTATGCATAACAAAACCCAACATAAGTAAATCTTAATTTCTGAGATCTTCCCAGTTTCCAATCAGTTAATATCATAAGAAAGTGCTAAAATGTTACTCATGCAAACGACCTAGAAGTCAGCGACTCGAGTCTTGTTAGAATATAGATTGAGATACAAGTAGAATATTAGTTGCTTCATCTGTATCAACGAAAGGATAGGAAAGTCTAGCTCATGTACAATTATTTAACCAGATTAAAAATAAGGGTAGCCAGTAACAAGACGAATATGCTCATCTTTTGAGCAACAACAGAAAAGTACCTAATAGTTCAAGTAGAGAAACGTATATTGGCTCCTAGCAGGAAAATCGACATACAACCAACCAGACCAAGTCAGTAAAACTCCAATGAGTCAACACTGTGGGACATAACATTGACTGTAACTCCAGAAAAGACTGAAGAGTGTGAAAAGGCGAAAATCAAGAAAGGAGGATAGAATTAGATACCACAGATATAAAAACAGTTCCCTTTAACTACGATTGAGGAGCCAAACACTTGGCACTGTGAGGAGCAAATCATCCCTATAAAGTTTTGGAGCGGAGACTGGAAATCTGAAGTTTATTTCGAGAACAGTATTGTTAAGACTAAAGGGCTATTTAAAAAACGAATCAGACTCCAAAGGCTGCAGAAGATCTATGAGGTATTACGTCATACACACACTTGATATAATATAGAGCCAGACTACTCAGGGTGTTATTTTGTCCACATATGGCAGGAACTTGATCCTATGAAACGGGCAAAAACTAAAACAGTAAGCAGTTTTTACCATAACAGCTGTCGTTTGCTGACAGTAAGGAAAATCGAACTTTTAAGGTCTCTAACTCTTGGTCACGACGAACGTTTGATCCCCAGCCAGGTACTTTCCACGTACCTAGATAACTATTTGCTTTCTAAGTAAGCGACTATCCTATTCTCCTGTCCTCATCGGCATTGTTATGTGCTGATGATATCGACATATTGAAGGTGATACAGAACAAACAAGAGCTTCAAAAATATCTGGACAAATTAACGAAATGAGACATCACTTGGTAAATTCCAGTTAATACCTCAAACTACATGTTGCCCATTAAGGCAAAATGTAACAAGCATTGAGTAGTTCCGAGTCACTTCCATTAGACACAGTGATTTGCATTAGTGTCAGTGAATACTTGAAAACTATTTTACATAGCCGTGTAGTGTCAGTTGGGAGTTTTAGAACTAATTGGACTATACAAAGAGTGACCGACTACTTGGATGACTAGGCATTCATCACGCTGTATGCAATATTCGTTCAGCTAAAACTCCAGTATGGCATACAAGCAATAACGATGAGACTATAATTTACAGATGATCTTTGAGCAACGCTAAAATGTTCTTAGGATGTCCACTTACTACGGTTAGATGAGGGTTATAGATTAGTCTGAGGAATGAGGATTAAGACTTACAATTGATGGTTATGGTTACGAACTAGGTTCGATGTTTTCACCACGAACTGACATCAGCTATAATGCTAAAATGATATCTAACCGAACGAGTGAATGGATTTAACCCCCAAAATTCAAGACCTGATATCTCAAATATGATTGGTTTGTCCATAAATTATAGTCTCGCCGCAATAACTTGTTAGATTAGAATCGGATTTCCTACCAAATCACCAACTGAAAGAAATTTTTAACATCAACGCACAACTAAAGCATCTTTGACAGGCGCAATCATAAATGATTGAAACAACTGAGAGAAACCATTCTTGGGGTTAACACAGGAATTTTGGTCTCATAGTTGTCCCAAATAGAAACTAAAACCATGTTGTACATGCGTAGGGCTGCTCTTAATCTACAGTTTTTTGAGAATACATTTCCCTACTTGGTACATTTTACCCCGTAAATCTAAAGTACAACCGTCCTTACAACTTACAGTATCAATTTGATTGTAGTGCAAGTGGATTGTTTTCAGCTTCGGTAACCGTTTAGGCAGCCATTTAGGAATGGATGTGATTTGATTGTTATTAACCTTCAGTACCTGTGAAATGAAAGGATAAAAAACAGACGTACCAAGAGATTTGACAATGACTGGATTCCATTAAAGGACGTGATACAATTGTGTGAGATGTTTAAAACAGTCAAGTGACAAAGCGTTGATAAGCCACTGATTTTGCAAATACGATTGTATGAAAGATTCAACTGTCTTAACTCACAAAACTGTTCCAAATTCTCTATCTTTTCGATTTTGTAATTGTTATTCTTGTTAGACAGATTAACAGCATACGTTTGTACCGGTTCTTTCGAAGTTTTTTTCATGAGCAAATTAGACGTCATATATTGCACAAACGAATGATCTTATGACTTGAATAAAAGTGAAAATTATAACCCACCTTTTGAATTGCTTACTGCCATACTGAGACACTTATCACGTTTACGATGAACAAGCATACATGACAGGTAACTTTCCATCCATGGTCGTCTTACATATACGCTGTATACTTTGAAAAGACAAATAAAGAAACCTGTGAGATTTTACAAACAATTGGTATATTCGACAAGTGGATAATATAAGACGACACCAAGTTCAAAAACTAAAGTAGTTGGTGACAACTTGCGTTACATCCAGAAGTTTCATAGTACGCTCTGACCTAACGACCTAGAGTGCAATAAGATGCATGTATTTAAACAAGCTCAAAAACGACATAATTCATTTCGGTTTTTTGAACACGAAACCACATCTATTCATCCGACTTCACTAATTCTAGTCACTCAAAGAGTTATCTAAGGTGTTTTCTATCTTGTACTTCAGTGAGTGCTTCTGAATACCAGGAACCATCATATTAATAGGTAGGTGGTTGCAACCTGTGTAAAAATTAAGGTTGTAGTGTCGTTTGACATGTTAAGCTCATACACCTTATTTTAGCGTCTGGACAAGCCAATTCACCTATACATCTTTACCATGCTAATTATTCAATGATCAACCCAGACTTTTTTTATGTGAGCGTAGGTGTGTGTACACTTTTTATCTTGTTCATCACATGTATATAACTTGTTCTTGTATCATTATAAATGTTGATTAACGCTTAATTAAAGCGAATTACCTTACTCGCCATCTCCAATGCCAGTCATTCATGCCTCGTTCGCTGATATTTGCCCACGTGCTTATAACTTTCTGGCCTTAGTCGTTTGTCAATAAAACTGTAGTTGCCACTTCTCTTTACCTTCTGATTTTATGCCCCGTTTAGATTTGTATTATGACGGTCATCGAGGTGAACCATTAACGAAGCACGGCACTACAAAGTGGCAATTCGAGTGCTAAGAAAAGACTATTGATCCAACAATGGCAAATAAGTCCATAATTTGGTAAATTGTGAGAAGACCGAACTGAAATAACAATAGGGGAAACCGAAATGATAAGTTACCACTGTTATGCGGCAACTACAACCGTGGTAATTTATCCATAAATACATTACGCACAGTTGGTCCAAGAGGAAGATGATGATCCACTGGTGAGTAGGTGTTTTTCAAATCTCCTTTTAAAGCTATTTCCTCAGAGAGTTGGGGTCACTCCGGTTGGAAGAGCATTACAAATGAGGAGTACTCTTGATGAGAGAGAGTGACAGCACGCTTTGGCGTTCGCTCTTTGATTAGTAATCTTTCAAAGGTTGCCTCGAGAAGCGTGAAACTTGTGTTTTAGTAATGTTCTCGCGTTGTGGTGGTTTGAGGGACTTAATACGTTTAATGTTATCATGATATCACTTTTTCTCCCGTAGTTCAGAGAAAATAATCCCAGATGCTGAAATCTATCCTCGTAAGATTCACGTTTAAGCCCTGTAGAAGATCAACGTTGATGTTCTATCGTCGAAACGATTGGGGGCCTACTAGAGTTAAACGAGAATGGTGACGAACCAACTAACGCTGAAGTTACACCTCGCGACCAGCCCTTACGTGGATTGAACCATCGACGCATCAAAGGACCATGGATGCTATGAAGACTATAAAACACAAAAGACGTTATTACAAGAATATATTAGTTAAGGGACAAACACGAAGGTGCAGAAGTGAAACAACAACCACTGCCGCGTGGGCCAGTCCATGGCGTATTATTCATTTGATGTGCGTTGACTATCCTTGAACTTGACAGGGATCAATGATCTGTTCGATATTCAGTGACCCTACAATACTCCCCCACCAGATACAACGGCCATTTGAATCGATACCAAACATGTTGGGAGTAGTCGCGCTCCGGAGGTTGCCAGACGATTAATATGAATCCTCCGGGTATTGCCGAGCTGTAAAAGAAATGGAAAGGAGGCTGCAGAAACTGATCGGGAAACTACGAGTAATAACACGTAACAAGGACGTTGGTTGAATGTTAAGTAATCAACCATAGAATAATGGGGAAAAAAGATGACATTTTAGAGTTTTATCAATTTGCGTTGAAATAATGAGCTTTGAAAAGTGATTGAGGTCCTCAGATGAGAAACGTTGAGTCCGCTGCAAAAGTAGTGATGTCACAGTGATAGTAGGATAAGCGTATTTAAATCGATGCCAATGTTTGCACTGTCATCGGTTCAGAGTAGAAAGTCAGTAAGTGTCGTTGACAACTGTTCGTAAGCGTCGATTTCTAGTTATATCTATATTTGACAGACTAACTGTAAGTACAGAAGTATAACCGTGAAGATAAATCGTGGTTTCCTTGTGCGAAGCTTCTGATCAACTTGCAGTCAGTTTGGAAAAACTGATAACTGCTGTGAAAATCAATATGGGTCGAAGAATAGAGAGAGAGAGAGCGAAAGGTGACACGATGAAATCTCTAAAAGATGATAAATGGTGAGTGCTGCACATGTGTTTGATGAGTGAACCGAAAAATGTCGAAAAGAACATAAGAAACCACTCTCTGGACTCATGTCAATGATATCGGTGAAAAATGCTGTCAGTGTTGGGGTCGAGACGACAATATCGTTGTCAGTTTGCAGGAGATGCGCTCGACTGCGTAAACCGATGATTCGCGTGAATGAGTGTCGTCAAACCACCAATTGAACTGGACAGGCTTTAGATCGTCGAGTAGTTGAACAGCCGATTGATGTACCGAAACATCTATTAGGTAACAGCCACGCGGAAACAAAACTTCATAGGATAAAAAAAATACGACGGCGAAGTTGAATAAGTACAATAGTTCGGATGTGTTGTAACGTCACATCGAAGTAACACCCTATCGTATACTGACAATTGTACTGAACGTTCGTTTTGGCATCGTTAATATAGCAATTGGATGTGTAATAGCAAACATGTACGAAGACTATCGTGGGGTTTGTGGAGAATTTCAGAAGACGTTTAGATATTTTCCAAACCCGTATTGCATGTGAATAAGCCGAAGACGGAATTGAAGTGACATTCGTACAATAAGGAAATCGAGCCATGATTTACTATGTGAGATAACAGCAAATACAAAGCGCATAGTAAACATTAATTTAAATAGTAACCACCAATGTAACTAAAGTTTAGGTTTAGACAACGTGATCGTTTCGTAAAAAAAGCATATTATCTAACGCTAAGTGACATCAAGTACGACGAAGTGTCTCATTAAGGCATGGACTAAGATTGCCCGTGTATATGAAATACGTTTTTTCGTAATATGTTGACTTACGAGTCATAAATGTACATAGGTTCGACTAAAATTTGACTGCAGTGACAGAATGTATGACTACTCTAAGTGAAAGTAACCGCGAAATGTTATTAGACATCATAAACATTATACGAAATTAACTAACACAGTTATGAAACTCGCCTGGGTTACTTTTGCTCTAAAGTAATTGAAAGTTGTAGATTACATTCGTAGATTAACGAAGAATTGTAGACTGAATTGGTATACGTCCAAATTTAGTTTAAGCCAAACACGTAGAAATGCCTGACGAAGTCTAAACAAGATCTAATATTGCAGGAACTTTATAATTCAAACTCACTGTAAATTTCTAGCATTCGTATCCTGTTTCGCCATGGAACTCAGCAATCGGAAATTAGGCAGGCAGTGGTCAAGAAAGTAAAATATTCTAGAAGATAGTTTCTGATAGTAGTTAGTTGATAGTGATTAAGCAGAAAGATGAATTTAATAATCGACAGTTAATCATGTATTGGTTATACAAGTGGATAAGTTGCAAACAGATATGCGTTCGTGTTGCCTTGAGGCTATACTTACGAGTGGTTGATATTTTAACAGACATATTACACAGGAGCATTTACATGCTTCTGATGCTTGTTAAAGAACCACGATAGTCGATTATAGTGGTAGTTGATTGGTTAGTTCTATCGATTGAACTAATTATTTCAGTTGAAATACTAATCAACATTGATATGAAGCAACGAATGTTCGCAGAAACTGATAAAGATAGCCGAAGTTAAAAATGAAAAATTGTAAGTATAGAATGCAATAAAAAAGATCATAATGATAGGTTGCGTTATTCGAAGTCTTGCTCACCAGTGTAGAAGGTCAACGTTGATGTTCTATCGTCGAAACGATTGGGGGCCTACTAGAGTTAAACGAGAATGGTGACGAACCAACTAACGCTGAAGTTACACCTCGCGACCAGCCCTTACGTGGATTGAACCATCGACGCATCAAAGGACCATGGATGCTATGAAGACTATAAAACACAAAGGACGTTATTACAAGAATATATTAGTTAAGGGACAAACACGAAGGTGCAGAAGTGAAACAACAACCACTGCCGCGTGGGCCAGTCCATGGCGTATTATTCATTTGATGTGCGTTGACTATCCTTGAACTTGACAGGGATCAATGATCTGTTCGATATTCAGTGACCCTACAGCCCTATCAACCACTTTGTTGCCAGTCTTTATACGTGATCTAAAAGATATATGTCTCTTTCAAACCTAGTCTTTTCCGCTAATACTGCTGAAACTATGTCTACTTCAACTATTCTACGATTTCTGATAGTTTTATCTCGGCGTGCTATTGTGGTAACTCGATAAGCTTCATTTATATGGTAATTAGAAGTATTCAAATTATTGTAATAACTAGAAATTCACGAAACAGCTTAATTTAGGCTAAATAAAACTGGGTGAGCACAAACGAATGTATTGTATTTAGAATTCGAAATCAACAAGTAATCAAGTACCAAAACAATCGTTAGTTCATACAAATACCACAATTTATGTCCGATATTTTATGTTTCATACGACTGAATGACATAGAGAGACTCTTTAAAACATTACTTTCTTTATTGATAAACTAATTCAACTTAGTATTTGAGGAATAATAATGCCGATTGGAAAAGAAACTTGAAAATCTGTTAATAAGTAATGTGTGCATAATTCATGTTGTTGTAATTTGGATTATTTTAGTGTACAATGCGCTGTTGGGATTTTTCATTATCATACGCTTTTTATTGCTTGCATGTTTTACAAACGATTCAGAATATTCTACTTGATTCGATTATATGATCGATTACTCTGTGCACATGATTGAAAACCACATTTCGTGTGAGTGTGGGAGGTAGACCTTCTGATTTTACCATATCTTGATCTTCCGTTATTGCAGATTAAACGCTCGTTTTCGACTGTTCTCTGCCTAAGTGAATACTCGTGAAAAAGGATTTTCATATCATACATGGATTAAAATATACTTTGTGCGAATTCAAATAA